CCTGTAACCAACTTTTCAATCCAATTGAATTCACAAACCAACACCAATAATAATGTAAAAATCAATGATCATTTTTCATCTTAAACTGATCAAAATTAATTAATTTTAATCGATCAACAATAAAAGGGTAAGGTTAACTAAACCAATTACTAAATTCACTGATAATTAACGGTTACAATTTAGCTAATCACTTTCTTTAAAAATCTACAATTTAAAAGGATTGGCTTTAAGACTGTTATCAATTTCATTGATTGTAATTAAATGGTTTTTTTATCATCCACATATACAATTAATGGGATATTCATCTAATAATATTTAGATAATTACAATTTAAATTGAATTGTTATCAATTTCAAATCAAATATCTTATACAATCATGAATGGAAAACAAATTTCAATCATCTTACAATAAATTACGATTGTTAATTATGTATTGATTATCCTTAATTATCTGAATAATATGACACACAAGTAACTAATAAGTACACTGACCCTAAGGTTGAATATATTTAATCTAAATTATGATTAGTAAATTGTTGTTCAATTTTAAATCGTAATCATAAATGATAACAATCCTAATAAATGGCTGATCGTCAATTGAAAATATTATTAACTGTGATTGAGATATTCAATTTGATTGTGAACAATTGAACAACAATAATAACCAAAAGTTTACAATTTTGTCCTAAATTTACATTTGCAAATTGTTGGTTAATATGGTGAAACCCTTGATTGCGATTCTTAATCCAAGATTAATTTAAACAATTTAATCTAAACAACAATCAAGTTAATTATATTTTTTTTACTTGATCATCAACTGGTTTACCATCAGAACGAAGATGGAAAAACTTTTTTTTCTTCTTTAAGAAATAATAACAAACAAACTCGATAGGGAAGAAAAAAAGTTCTAATGATTAAAGTTGAGAGAAAAATTTTTTCGTTCTTGAAGTTTTCGTTTTCTTCCTTAAAATAATTCAGTCGCTAATTAAATTTAATTGTTACCGAAAATCGGGAATCACTACTTTTGGTAGGATAAAGATGATGATAATATATTCAATTTAGGTCAATTGTTGATTGTAATTAGCATTTGAATGATGAAGATGATCAATAAATTAAGACAATTAACGGAGAAAAATGATCAATATTAGAGAGAGAGAGAGAGAGAGAGAGAGAAAATTAGAAACATTTAAGTTTAACCTGAGATTGAATTGAGATGAACGAGAAAACAATTAACTCTGAACAAGATGATGATGATGAGACGATGAAGATAAGGATGAGGATGATAATGAATGACCTGAAGTTGATCATTGATGCATAGACAAGGTTGACAGATAATAAGAATCACTTTTCTTGGAGAGTAATTAAATTGATTGCAAGTTAATCAGTGAACAAGTACCAAGTAAGTGAGGCAAACAAACGAGGTACGAGAATGAAAGTTTTTTGATTATATTGCATTTCTTGATTGTTTCATGATTGTGAGTAACATCAATTTGACAATGATTTGTGATGCATGACAATAATATATTATATTATTGGAGACGTGTTACAATCACATCTCAACCATGTTAAAAGGTAACATCATCATCTTCATCATCTTACAGGTAAAGAGATGATGATGATGAAAAAATAGAGAAGAAAAAAAAATCGAGAACAAGAACTTGATTTTTTTTTCTGTTGTCTATTTTTACTACAATTTTAAAGTGTATCCGTTAAGATTTTCTTGATGAATCAATTGATTGTTTGGTTGATTGTTGTTAAAAAATAACAGTTAAATTGGGAATGAATCCAATTAACTAAATCCACTATTTGTAAATCATCACCATTTATAATTAAACCATTTTATTGTGATGATTACTGTTGATAGTAACCTTTAGTTTCTCAAGGTTAACTTATTCACTTTTTTTTTCTTGATTGTTTTTGATTGTTTTCCTTTTATGTATAACCTTTAGCTTCACTGATTGTAACTCACTAATCATCATTCATCTTTATCATTCATCTTCATTATCATCATCATTGTTATTCAATATTCAGATTAATCTCCTGAAAGAATCACAGATTATCCTTATCTTCATGATTACATCTTCTTCCTCATCCTTTTTTGTTTGTTTTCAATTTAACTTCCGGTTGATTTTTTTCTCTTAGTCTCTTCCTTAATTTTCATTATCATCATTTGACAATTAAATCATTTCCTATGTCACATAATGAGAAACAATCTAATTACAATTTGGAGAGAGAATTTAATTGTCTCCATAGAAAGTAAATTGAAAAAAAAGTAAAAACAATCAACTGGTAATGAGATGATCAAGATGTAAGATTAATGAGAGACAGATACAAGTATAAATTTAATTGTTTCCATGTCATCAATTTAATCCTCATCATTATGATGAAAATAATTGTGATGATAATTGGAAGGGGATTAAGCTAATCAACTGTCACCATTGAACAAAAAATCAGATCAATTTAAGGTTAGAAAAATACAAAGAAGATAAAAATATCATTTCGATTTCAATGGAAAGAGATTGAAAATTTTTCCATGTCTATGAATTTTTCTCATCATGTAACTGAATCGGACAATAACCTTTATCTTTGTTTACAAACAGAGAGAGAGAGACAGTGAGAGAGAAAGATTATCATCATCATCATCATCTTCTTTTCTCTCTCTGTGAGTTTATCTATTGAATAATATTACTGAATAAGCTCAATTCATTTTATGCAATTTGTTTCTTTTCCATTGGAATCAATCCAAGAGAAAAATTTTCTTCTCTTCCTGATAACCAGTAATACTATTCGTTTGTCTTGGCCAGCATCCTCATCCTTCATGGTGAAAATGATGATCATGTTGATGATGATGTTGTGATGATGAGGATGATTAGGATGATGATGATGCCAATGATAACATAAAACCTTTTAAACTGGTTTTAAACAACAAAACCCAAAGACATTAACCTAACATTGAACCTGCAAACCCAGTGAGTTGATATTTGATGATTTAACTGTCTCTCTCTCTCTCTCTCCTTAACAATCAACTTAATTATCTTTTAGTTTGTTATTATATTATCAATGTATAATTGCTGTATTGATTGTTGATCTAAAAAAAATTCTAATATCAATTGAATCAATTTTTAATATTAACAATCTTGAATCTTAATAAATATTTAACAATTAGTCACTCTCTTGAGTTGCTATCAAATTGAAGTCTATTAAATTGTTGACCTAAATTGTTGTCATCAACAACATTTTATATTTTTCTTCAATGATTAAATTGTTAATTCATAATCAAGGATGATTACTATTTTCAATTGAATATGAATTACAATTTATATATATGAAAACGCAAAAGTATTATTATCATCTGAATATCGTGTTACCTTTTTGGTTGTTGTTGTATTCAAACAATTTAGCTAATAATATAAACTTTTGATGATGATAATGATGATATCAGAAAGTACAGAGGGAGAGAGAGAGAGCGAGAGGTCAGAATGATAATAATGAGAGAGAGAGAGAGAGAGAGAGAGAGAGAGAGAGAGAGATGACCAGTCCAATCAATATCAAATTACTGAAATAGATTCCTACTTATGATAATCATTTGGGTTCTAATCTGAAGTTTGGTTGGAAATTATTTTTTTCGAAAACAAAAATTACATAGAAAATGCTATTTTTCAATAGGCTTACTCATCGAATGAGTAACTCGCTCCTTCTCATCATATTATCATCTATTTCCTACTCCTCCTCTTGATCATCATCATCCTTGGTTCTCATCATCAAACTCCCTCTTCCATAAGGATAGTGCCTACTTTTCATCTCCTCTTCATCTTGATTATCATCTCAAGATCTATGATAATAATTTATTATTGTGACAAAATATTTTTGTTCTAATTTCGAATTCGAAAAGTGGGTGGAAGATGAAGAGAAGGAGTACAGAGAGAGAGAGAGGAAGATGAGAAGGAGGAGGTTGGTGGCTTTCGGCAAGTGGACGATGTGGTGGTGGAAAATGAGTGAGGTGGGAAAAAAAGTTTTCCGAAATTCGATTATGTTTCCATTGTTCATCATCATTGGATTTATTTATCATTATCTTTCCTTTTGATTGAATTGTAACAATTTTCGGTATATGATCAACAATTAATCATCTATTCATCATGATTAACACAATTTACCAATTTCTCTCCCTGATCGCTAATGCAAATTAACCTAAAAAAATTTCCTTAAGCTTAATCCAATAAATCGGATTACAGATTTTCAAAAGGCTGCGGAAAAAAATTCATTTTTATTATGCTGATTATCACAATTTAATGGATTAAATAATAATAATCAATGCATGGAAATTGTTTGATCATTTAGCTCAGTTTGTTTTTTTCATCGCAATTCAATTGTGTCAACGCCGTTGTTGTTATGATTAATTGATTGTGCATGTAAAGGACACACTGATTATTATGACAATTAAGAATAATTTACTTTGATCTATGTAAATTGTTGATTTGGAGAAGCAAAAAAAAATCAAATCAAAAAGTAAAACGGATACATGAGATTTGCGAAAATGGATCGATATTCAAATTGAAAAGAGAAGCAAAAGTTGAAGGAAGAAAAAGAAAGAGAAGATAATGAAATAGAAAGGAAAATGATGATGAAGATGAGCAAAAATAGACAGAGAATCTAAAAATCGACAAGAAAGAGAGAGAGAGAGAGAGAGAGATGAAGATGCAAACCCAATGATGGAACGAAGATGAAGAAAAATCTTATTAGTTTTATCTTCTCTCTCTCTCTCTCTCTTCCTCTCATATCATCTTTTTATCATTTTCATTCATCTTCTTCATCTTCTCTTCATTTAAATCTCCCCTTGACCCCGCCCTTTCCCCTCTCATTATTTCCCTCTCATCATCTTCTCTCTCTCTTTCTCTTCTCTTTCTTCTTTATCATCATCTTTCTTTCTTTCTCTCTTTAACTCCTCCTTAACTCCTTTAGTTGTGTTGTTTAGTTAATCACATCGCCGATAGACTTGAAATAGTTTAAATCCAGTTGGCCTCAAGTTAACTAACTTCAGTTGGTCTCATCTTAATCAACTACAATCAACAACAATAACAATCAAGATTTAATAGTAATCAAGACTCAGCAATCAAATTATCATCTCTCTCTCTCTTCATCGTATCAACATCATCACCCAAAAACCAGAGACAGTGATTTAGTTTGTTGTTGTTTTTTTCGCGAAAGTGATTCAAATTGTTTCAATTTTATTCATCTGCTAATATAAATCATCAACAATTAACTTTAATTGTCAACAATCATGGTTGAATTAGGAAGTATGTCGGATACCTCATCAACCGGAAATTCACCAACATCAACAATTGATTCGGGATCAACAACTCCATCCAATGGATCCAATTATTCACCCTCAGGGTCACCTTTGTGCCGTCGTCGTCCTCTCCGTCGGGAAGATACTCAGAACCGACTTTTTGGTCCACCCGAAGATAGTCCAAGACGAGTTCGAAACACCCTTAAATCGACCGTTTTCACCCAAAACGCTGTCGTTGATTCGAGTCCATTGAAATCGGCTAAGAAAAAGATCACAAGTAAGTTTCGAATTATTTTAATTTCTTTTCGTTTTTTATTTCATCGACAACAATTAGAAAGTTAATCATCTTTTTCTCGGCAATTTAATTACTCGAACTTAATGATTACAGAACAACTTGAACGTTAATTATCAACACAATTAATTGTTTGTTAATCATGTTTGTCCCGGTTGATTTTCTGATTACAATTAATTAAATGAGAGATAATTATATTATTTCAACCTAATTGTTGTTGACCAAAAGTTTATCAATAACCTAATCTATCAACAATTAAGTTAATCAAACTTGCGATTACTACAATTAAGTAAAAGCCAAGTAATTAATGTTTACATTTGATTATTTAACATGATGATTATATTATCAAGTATCTTTGGTAACCATTGATTGTCAATGTGATCAACAATTAACAAGAATTTAATTTCTCACTTTTAATTGTGAGACAAATTAAACAGACAAATATTAATACGATTCAAGTCCATTACCTGATAACAACATTGATTATGATGATGTTTCATTGATTAATTTCTCAATCAAATGGGTACAATTTAGTTGATTGATTTAACTCGTATTCCTTATTACAATTGTTGATTGATTCACCGATCCCACCACCACCCAATTCACCACCTCCACCTTAACTTTCCTTCACCTTAAAGTTTCTTGGGTGGGGTTTTTGCCTTGGAATAGTAAACACCGAATCTGAATGATGGTGAAAAAGAAGATAAAATGACTCATACTCTATTACTTTTTTCCCATAGATTTTCATCTACACATCTCTTCCTCCTCCTTATCATCCTCCTCCTCCATCATCATCATCATCATCTCCTCCTTTAATCATCATCAAGTCCATTAAACTCTCGGTGAATCTAAAACTCGTGACAAGTTTACCAATGTTCAGTTGACTTCCTTTTCCCTTGAATTTAATTCCTTCCAATCAAATTAATGATAATATTTATTCAATTCCATGTCAATTGTTTCTCTTTCTCTCTCTTTCTCACTATTTCTCATCCTCCCACTCTGTAAATTTACCTGGAAACATGGTAGATGCGAGAGAAAACAGGAAATGAATGAAAATCCCTGAGTAATTAATAGATTATCCAATTTGTCACTTGAGTAAGAAAAAAAATCAATTGGAAACAAAGGGAAGAAAAAAGTTTCTCATTTGGTCTGTGGGCCAATTTACAGGCTTTAGATTGAAATTATCGGCATAACCCAAAAGGGAAACGGATGTACACCTAATCTGATCATCTCTCTCATTGAGTAAACGGAAATAGATGAACATGAATGAAGTTTAGCTCAGTTTTAGTTTCAATGTTTTTCTTTTCTTCTACAAAAAGGTAACCTAAGAAAACCCAAAAGATGATGATGAAGATAAGAAAAGATGAACGTGAACGTGAACAGATGTCTCCCTATGATAATGTCCCCCAGAGAAGTTGAGGTCAGTTGAAAGGTCATTTTTGTAAGAAACAATAATAAGAAAACAACAGAAGAAGAAGCAGAGAAAAAAGAAAAGAAAACAAAATGTTCTTTTCCAAATTGTATTATATTCTATTCTCCATGATTCTAATGTTTCCCTCTTCTTATCATCATCATCATGCTCTCTCTCTCTCTCTCTCTCTTTTCAATCGATATACCTGAGGCGTTGACCCACTGTAAACACAGAGTAAACCAGACACAAAAGTGGGAGGTAATGACACACGAACAGCACAGAAACCACTGTGAATGTTATTTGTCCCTCGTCGTCCCACCTTCCTCCTCCTTCCCACCATCATCATCATCATCTTTGGTACCCATTGCATTACCATTGATACAATAGATGCCAAAAAAACCCTAATGTAAAAAAAGTCATTAGCAATGAGAAGAGGCTGTAATAACCATTATTATTATCATTATTACAATTCTATCATCATAATCATCATCTCATCATCATTATGTCTATGTAAGTGTGTCTCATACACTTTACACACACACAGAAACATTTACAACTTCCTCCATTGTGATAATCATATTAAAAAAAATTGAAAAAAAACTTTCAATTCTCAGGCAATGTTGTTGTTTAATCATTGACAATTATCATTATCATCTGATGATTATCATTATATTATTTACCATTCAATTGTTGAATTCATCTGAATCACTTTCACCTTCTGATTTCTCTCTCTCTCTCTCTCTCTCTGTTGACATGGTTATTTTGGTTTCCATTCATGATTTCATGATATAATATGCTGATTGTTTGGTGTCAAGTGTATTTGAAATGGTTGAGAAGACAAGAAGATAATATTGACTATTATTGTTCAGAGTGGGAGGTTTGTTACTTACAGACATACACCGTAGTATGTGAGGGTGGGGGAATGGTGGTAGTGCTGGTGGTGGAAGAGGAAACATGATGAATGATAGTCAAAAGTAGGAGGATGATGATGATGAGTGAAGGATGATAATCATCCATGCTTGGGCCTTTTAAAAAGCCATTTTTATGCCAAAAAAATTGTTGAAAATGTTTTCATGCTTGATAACTTCCGTTTCATCCTCATCCTCATCCCCACCTCACCATCCATACCCATCTCCATCTCTCTCTCTCCTTCTGATGATATTTTCGTGAGATATTTTTATTTATATCCATTTTTATCATCATCGTCCTTCATTTCATTGATATTCACTAATCAACTGGACTAATTGACAAGAAGCGTTGATTTTATTTTCCCAATCTCCATTTGATCCACTGATCCTCTCACCTCATTTGGTTAATTAGTGTGATGTCCATGAGATGATTAATATTATATAACTGTAAAAATAATGATCATCATCATTATGGTGAAATTTAAATGATAATGATGATGAGGATAACCTCTAATCTTAAATAAAGTTTCATGATGAAAGTCTCATTACCTTTTTTTCATCTCAACCTCTAACTGTGAATATTGTTGTTGGTGATGATGATGATGATGATGATAATGCTAATAATGATGATGTTCAAGTTAATCAGACGCATCAGTTAACCCGTTAACTATGAATTAAGTGTCTGGAGTAAAAAGGATTGCCCGTTGCAAACGTGTTTATTTCAACTCGTTTTTAACGTTGGTCATCATCACCAACACCAACACCATCATCATCATCATCTCATCATCAACAATAACGAGTAGAACTGCGTATTATTATTATTACTATTTACCCTGAATTAAGGGTGAAAAATATATACTTTGTTTGATGAATTAAGATGATGAGTAAAAAACAGTTACCATGACCTCGAACCTGAACTCGAATCCAGAGTAGGACAGAATATACTTAAGTTTTTTCCTGTTATTATGTTGATAATGATAATCCTTTTGATTCCTTTATCCTTTTTCCTATCATTAATCCAAATCCTATTATGATTGGCACCGATTCCAAAAAGTAACAATCAAAATGTTTGTTTATTTATAAAAATTTCAATTGAAAAGATGATGATTAGTTTTCAATTGATTGTTGTTGATGAAATTTTTTTCTTCATTTGTTATAATTTACTAATTGTATCTTCTCATTTACAGTTATCCGTCGTAATCCAATTACCGGTGAGGTTTTTGATGACATTTACAGCGAGCGGGTGGGAAAGGTAACCGGATACGATATTATCCGCGGCGAAAACCGATCACTTTCCTTACCCAATACACCGGTTCGAACCCGCCAACCACCGGGTGGTAAATCATCTGGAATCTTTTCCTAAATTAAAATGAAATTGCAAAATGAATGGGACACTAATTGACACCAACAACAATCAACAACAATTAAAAGGAAATCAATGTTTGACCATTTAATATGAAACCAAATCAACTTGATTCTCAACCAACAACAACAACTTAAAAACAACAATAATAATTACTTTATATTAATCTTATTAATTATTATTATCAACTGCTAATTAACTAATTACATTAGTATGTGATTGCAATTTATATACAATAATTTAATTACAATCAATGGAACAACTTGAAACTCTCACAACAATTAAGGCTTCGAAGTCTCTTTTTTTCATTAGATTAAAAAACTTTAATTTCGTTTTCTTTTTTTCTCTCTTCCTATTTTTCCTCTCATCCCATTTATCACCTCCACCGAATCATCATCTTGATTATTATTCATTAATTAATTGCTTAATTATTATTACTATTTGTTTCTTGACATTTATCATTGATTAACAATCAACAAAATAATATAAAAAAAAAACATTAATGAAAAAACAGAAAAAAATTTACTCCGTTTTTTTTTCATTCAATTTGATTTCTAATTATAAGTAAATTTAGTTGTAGATTAATTAACTAATTGTGCTGATTTATATTCACATGCATCAACTTTGACTTCTTGAGTTTGGAATGATTTTAATTTGATTAACTTATATATTTCATAGTATTTGCAAGTTAACAATTAACTTTTAATTGTTCTGGAGCTGATTTTTCAATTGCTTTTTACATTTTTAATGATTGATTTTTGACAAATCGACAATTTGATTTAATGACGACTTTAATTAACTGATTAACTGTTTCACACCTTAATTGTGACTCTGGTTTTGATACTTTTATATATAAAAATATATATTGTCCAGCTGATTAACTGATCTAATTACAAATAATTAAAATGAAACAAAAACTTTTACCGCAAAATTTAAAAATGAAAAACTTTTTTTCCTTCACCAAAGTGTTTAATTGTTGATTGATTTAGATTATTATTAATCATTGATAAGAGTTTTAACTAATCAACAACAATCAACAGTTTTACAACAATTAAACAAAGACTGATTGATATTTGTTGACATTTCCAGTATCCAAACTATGACAATTAACTTTAATCAACTATTAACTATTAAATAAAGTTATATAAGTTGATCACTTTAATACATAACAATAAAAAGCCAACATTAAACCAGATTAAGTTGATTGAACAATTAACATAATTTAATCAGAATCAGGAAATTGATTGAAATGTAAACAATTAACACACAGACAGGAACAGTAAATAGTTAATTGTTTGATATGATTAATGTTATGTAATCAGCGACACAATCACAATCAATTAAATGTCAATCAAGCAGATTTTAATGGCGGAATTGAAAACGATAATCAAACAATTAGAAATATTGATTAACAATGATAATCGAGCTGCGAAAAATGTTAATGTTAATAACTAAATTAAATTGTTTCCAAATTAACTAATAATCTTATTATCTAATTATCGCATTAATAGATTGCGTGATTGACCCAATTTTAACATTGGCAATTTAACAATATTGTTATTATTAATAGTTGAAGATGATTAAGATGATAATAACTAATCAATTCGCCTAAATTGTTGTCCTAAATTTAATTTTATCAACTTTAATTCTGATGGTAAAAGAAAACGTTAATATTATAAACGTTTATTATTTTCCAATCAGAATTGATTAATTGTTGGGTGTGTTTTATATTGATTATGATTAAAGGGGGTGAAATTGGGTTGGTCAGTTTGGGCTATTTTCTGATCAATATAAATATATATAAGTTGATTGTGATTAAATTGTGATTAACAAAATGATTTCATTTCGTTTTCAATTTCTATTACTTTCTACTCAATATTAATGATGAAACTTTTTTTTCTCAATTCAAATTGTTTTTTAATGATTAATTTTAATTGTTTCAAAAGAGAGAGTAATTTAAACTGACCAAAGACTGACCAAGATTGTCAATTAATAAGCTTTTAATTTCTTACGGGACATTTAATAGCAATCAGGTTGATCAACTAGTTGATATCAATTGTGGATTCTGTGTTGATTTAGTTTATCTTAAATGGTTTGGATTAATTTTTCTAATTGTTTTCATGATAAGATTAATAGAAGTTGTCTCTAGTTAATTAGTTTGGTTGATTGTTATGGTTTCACTTTCCTGATTGATTAAATTGCTTGAATCCATGATTTAATCGGTAGTTAATTGTCTTTTGGGTTAATGATGTAACGGTGTTGCAGTTATTGAGAGGAAGAGCAATTGATTTGATTGTTGAAACAATGTTGATTAAGGTAATTTTGGGATAACGGATTAAACTATTTTCTTTGTGGTCAATCATTAGCCATCATACTGACCATTATTATGGTATAGTCAATGGTCAATGTTGACGTTTAGGATTCAATTTATTATCATTATCATTGAGAATTAATCATTATCAGGATGAAGTTGATGATTCTTGAAGAGGGAGATGGGAGATAATGGACAATGTGATGGTCATTCATGGGGATAATCATGGGGTCATCTGAATGGTTCAATGGCCTTTCATTGGACAGCAACATGTTAGTGGGCTAAAGTTGTCAATTTGTATCATGATGACTAATATTTTCCGGAATGATGAAGATTCATCGAAGAGAAAAAGTAAAGTTCTAGAAAGAAAAGTTATTCCTGGATCCATGTTATCGTTTCTTTCCAGTGTTGACAAAATTTCATGCTGGAAAAGTGAAAGTCAAAGTGTTCGCACTCTCATGGTTAATGATTGTCTTCATGATGATCATGGAGAAATAAAGAAATGAAAGTAAAAGATGTGAATACCAAAAAAAAACGAATTTCGTCTCAATTTCTATGAACTTTTATAACTTCTTTTCATGAGATTTACTTGTTTTCATTGATGGAGATAAGAATTGAAATTACACTTGAGAAGACAAATTTTATTCTCTCTCATCATTCATTCTCTTATCATCTTCATCATCCATGAGAATTTTGTCTACCATGGATATAGATCTTTCTCTGAACTTTCAGAAAGAATATAAAAGTTCTAGAATCGAGTTAGGTCAATCGTCTTTCCCTTCGTCCAATAACCTTTTCGTCTCTCTTTTTCTCTCCTGGTTCATGGTAATCATCATTATCTCCATCATCATCCTCTCTTTCTCTTCTTTCTTTTTTCCCTGAATTAATCAATAAAATCATTTCTACTCTTGACTAACCTTTAAATTGGTCTAGGGACAAAACGATTACCAAGTTTCTATTTTCCCTTTAGAAATAGACTGCTGGTCATCCAATGGTCAGTTTATCTTTCCTGATAATTTCATAGTTGATTTGTTTTCTATTATATTTTTTATTTTCTCCTCTTATTAATTATCTTGTTTATCTCCAATCATCAGAATCACAATCATGATCATTTCTCAAGGTTCCACTTTCCTGGAATCAAATGAACCACCAGCAATCAATTTCCATTGTTTTACTTTCACGATTGTTGGTTGATTAATTTTCGCAGTTTTAATTTTTTTTGTTTTTACCTTCTCGATAATCAGTATTATCCAAACAACAATTAAAATACAATTCAATTGTGACTTGCACATAAGCTCTTGACTACTTAATTGTTATAAATGTTAATTTGATTACTATTTGGTTAGATTAGATACAATTAAGTGAGGATTAAATTACCAAAGTCAAGGTTGTATTTACATTCATTTGCGTTGTTGATTGTAAACAATTAACGTTGAAAACTTGATTAACTATCATGATTAAGGGAAATTATTTACAAAGGTTATTGGATGATAGTTAGTTTCTTAATTGTCACTGTTGATTAAGTGTTACAATCATCATTGGCTTGATTGTTTCTCATTTGATTTAAATGACAAATTGCAATGTGACAAATTTTGATTTTGTCAATCAATTAATTGGTTGTTACTTTTTGATCACAATTTGGTTGATAATAATCTTAATTGTTTGTTGATTTTTTTCTCACTTAAATTGTTGATGATTAACGATGATGATTGTAAATTTACACTTGAAAGCTTTTAGTTAATCAATAATTATATTGGTGTTGTTTGGTTAACTTTATTGGATCAAATTGAAAATCAATTAACCCAATTAATTTAATACTCAGCACTTAAAAAAGTTTTCATTTAATTTTCACTAAACTGCAAACAATTTACCTTAATCACTAATGATTAAATCTAATTGTGATTATTTAAAAGATTTGATTGTTGATGAAAACTTTTTGTATAATATTATCTGTTTATCCCAATCAATCAACAATCATTATAAATAGTTAATCAATACTAACAATCAGTCTGATTGTTGTCTATTAACCTAGAAAGATGAAAAATGAATCAAATTAAATTAAATTAAATTAGTCAAGAAACAGAAATAAATATTATATGATATAATTAACTAACTAAATTTAGTTTAAACCATAGGAAAGCAGGTTTTAAATTGTCAAGCTGTTAAAATGAAATTAATCAACCAGCAATTAGTAATTTAAAAAAATCTACTGGACATTGGAAACTGGATTAGTTATATTGACTTGACAACAATTAAGAACCATTCATATTAATGATTAGACAAGAAATTGAAATAAATAATCAAATCATCTGAAAGCAATTATGAAATCAAAAAATGTAACATAACAAACTTGGGTGGTTGGTACTTTTAGATTTGAGGATTGATTGTAATAGTTAACTAAATTGTAATTAACTATCAGTTACCCCCAATGATGGATGATGATGATTATCAATGTAATTAATGTAATCAGTTTGTGTCAAAGTGCCAATGTAATTTAATCACTAGACCATTAAAAAGCTCACAGGTAAACCCCAGTGGGTAGATGAGGTAATCCCGATGATTAGTTTCTTAATTGTTAATTGTTGATCTAAATGGCAGATTAAATCATCTAACTGCTTCCATCTATATGTTACCATTAAAAGTGAACAATTTAAAGTTTCCATTACCGCTCAATACAAAGTTTTAATCATTTGGAAAGTGATTAACTTTAACCATTCAGCTAAATTGTTGTTTTGATTGTTTAGATCTTTTAATTATTTAGAGTTAACTGTGAACTTTTTTTTCCTGATTCCTAACTAGATGCTGTTTAATTATTTGATTAGCTGATTAAATATTAGATTGTTACAACTCAACCTTGATTGTTGATGTTTTTTTTAAGTTAATTGTGTGTGTTAACATTTAGATATGTTTAATTGTGACAATTATTAAAAATATACTGTGACTTAGGTTGATAATCAGTTAATCTAATTACGTCTAGGGTAATAATTAGATTTTGATTAATTGTTGAACAAGAAAAGTTTAATCAACTGTTAAGCTCATTTATTAATCATAAGAGTAGATTACAATTAGTAAACAGTGTTTAATTGTCTAACCTCAATGGATGATTAGTTTAATCTTGTTAAATTGTGTTTTTGCTGCTGCTTGTCATTTAAATTGTTGCTAATTAATAACAAAATGGATTTACAATTGAAAACTATTAATCAAATCAATGGAAACACAAATAATGTGAGTAAAAATCATTTTTGTTTAATTGTTGGCCAATGATCATAACTGATTGTATGTTGATTTTAATTATTATTAGTATTTCAATTGAAGATTATGAACATTTTGATTTATCAAGTTGTCGGTGATATTTTCCTCTGTTAATTGTTTTGTTAATTGTTCCCGCAAAGGTAAAAACTGATTGTAAACTCAAAGTTAATCATGATGATAACGGTAACTTAAAAGTAACGGCAATTAAACATGGTATGTCCGTGATAACAACTATCCTATTTGTGGCCGGGGAAAATGCCGGAGCGGGTTTATTGGCACTTCCAAGTACATTGAACAAATCGGGCTGGTGGGGATTACCTTTAATGGTGATGATAATATTTGACTCGGCGGTGGCCGCTTCGTTGATCGGTAAATGTTGGCTTATTCTCGAGGAGAGATGGCCTCAAGAGTATCAATTAAATTGTCGAAATCCATACCCAGAGATTGGTAAAATGGCCTTTGGTCCTAGAATGAAGTAAGAAATTGTTAACCATAATGTGTCTCATTAATTTTAATGATCGACGTGTCAACTTATCATTTATCAAATAAATGACCTACAAAATTTAGGTCTATGGTCACTATTATGTTACAAGTAACATTGATCGGCACTTCGGCTGTCCTCCTATTGGTCTGTGCCCAATTATCCTCTGACCTGATTGACCGTAATCATAGTCTCTCCTATGGCCTGTGGATACTTATCATTGCTTTTGGTATTTGTCCATTCATGTGGCTTGGTACTCCGGTTGAATTTTGGCCTGCAGCCGCTATTGCACTAGGAACCTCAACAATCGCTGTACTTTTATTACTCTTTGAGATTGGCCGTGATTTGGCCTCAACTTCATACGATCAATTACCAATTGCATCGGAGGTTAATCTAAGTACAATTTCACTTGCTTTCGGGTCATTTATGTTTGCCTCTGGCGGAACGGGTCCATTTCCAACCTATCAAAACGACATGAGAGACAAATCAAAGTGGACACGAGCGGTGGTCATTGGATTCACCGGTAAGCTTAAATCAAATTAATCGAAATCAAATTGATCCCAATTTCCTTTCAGTCTTATTTTTCCTGTTAACACCTCTTCCGATCATGGGGTATCTCGCCTACGGGTCAACGGTCAGTACCAATATTATTCACTCGATACCGATCGGTATGAGTCGGGATATTGTGGCCATTTTGATGGCTGGACATTTGTTTTTCGCTTTTCTTTTAATGATTAATCCGGCAGTTCAAGAGATCGAAGATAAATTCAATGTACCACATAGTAAGTTAATCAAAGCTGTAATTAGACAATCAATTTAATCAGTGAGATCAAAATGAGAAAATTGAAAATAAACTAATCCAAATGATCACATACAAATCATCATAGACTATTGATTGGCAAACAATTACCAGCAAATTGTTACATTGATTTACAACTGATTTGAAATGTTGATTGTTACCAAAATGATTAATTGTCTCATTATAATTGATTAACAGCTTTTAATTGGAAACGAGTTGTAATCAGAGTGACAATGTTATTCCTGATTGTTTTCATTTGTGAATCGATTCCAAGGTTCGGCAAAATTTTGGACTTGATCGGAGGATCGACGATGAACTGTTTGGCCTACATATTTCCGCCCTTGTTTTATATACGATTATGTTCAATGAAGAATCCATCTTGGCCTGAAAGGTAAATTTCGTCGCGCAATTAAACGACAATTAAGTTGATTAAATTGTTAATTATTCTTTCAGGAAAATATCAACGGTCAACAAGTTGTACTTTTATAAGATCGTATTGATCGGAGTCATTGGCGGCATTTGTTCAACCGTTTCCGCGACTTTGGCCATTCTCGGCCCGAACGCATTTGTATTACCTTGTTACCTTGATCTTAATTGTACCAATGAATAGGAATCAAATTTAATTGTAATTAACTTTAAGATCTCTTTTTCATTCATTCCAAAACTTTGACAAATTTTTTTTACTTTGATTCAAATGATTTATTAATTATTGTCACAGTTTTTTATTTGTCTTGAAAAGTTAATTGTTGTCGAATGACAATTAACTTTGTGAATTTCAACCAAACAATTAAATGATTTACTCAACAATTAACAGCCTTTTTTTCAGGCTTTGTTGAGGTCAATACGATAGCTGCTGAAATTTTTTTCGCGATTTATTCACAATCAAAGATTCAATTGATTAGTAATTAACTGGTTTAAATTGTTGATTAAATTGCGAAAAAAAATTAGCCAACACCAAGATTAATTATTTCTTCAAACTTTGATTCCTAACAATTAACTATCTGCAGTATTAACCACTGATGATACTGATTAATTGTCGATAAACTTTTTTTTCTGGTGAACCTTAACTATCAGGTAACAATAGTTAATCATGAAAATCAAGGTAAAAATTAACAGAAATTTATTTGCACCTTTGTTGATTGACCTTTCACTTGAAAGGTTAACAATTAACTGATTGATAAAAAAACTCTTTTATTGTAACAATTAAGGAATATGTTCAGTTTGTAACAATCATTTGATGTCAATCTATTTGTTTGTTGATTTCCTTTTGGCAGATTTAATTGTTACTTGGTTTGTTTTTGTTATAATTTAAACTGAATTAGTCTCCGTCACTGACCTTGAGGGTCACTGTGGTCATTAAAGTGAATCCAATTACCAGGGAAAATAACTGGGCAAGTCCGCTGATTTCTGGACATCGGTCAGCTTGTAAGATCTCAAGGAAGACAATGTACAAAATGGCCCCGGTGGCAGCGGCGTTTAAAAGGATTAAAGTCAACGATCCGTCTTCGGAGAGACCTTGTTCCGTTAGAATGGCCAGTATTATACCGAGCGGGGACATGGCCGAGAAAAGGGTTATATGAACGGCGGTCAGTGAAAGGCTACAAGTTTTCTCGTAAAGTTCAAAGCCGATAGCGAAAACAACGACCAATTTATGTAGACAAATGGCAAAGAACATTGTCCAAAGGGAACTGACCGTCGATTGTAGGCCGATTGCGACTCCATCGAAAATAGAATGAGCCAGAAAAGCGACAACAATAATCAAACCTCGAGCAAATCTCGTCCATTGACTATCAAGTTTATCCAAATTCTGTTGATGATTATGAACATTTTCCACAGTTAAAGGAGATGTCGGCAAATCTTTTCCTCTCAGGCCAACAATCGACCCATTGTCGTAGATACTTTTAGTAAATGTATCATTACTGGACAATCGACTTCGAGATTGTTCAAATGGTGAACTGGTCATCGAACCATCGGTCGTTTTTTTAGAACCATTAACGGGACGAATCAAGGTTCCATAGTCACCTTCGGCTTCTCCCTCAGGTAAACATCGCACAATTTCATGATGGTCACCATGATGATGGTGATGAGCTGATTGACCGATCAGCAATAAAATAATTTCTTCAATGAAATAAGTTAAAAAAAGTCCACAACAAATAGAAATTTCAACCCAAGGAGTTTTATCAGACTGACCATCGCCTCCTTCTTGGTCACTATCATCACTTGAATACTCATCATTAGTGTAATAATTAACTCTAACACGTGATTGATTAAAAGTGTTACGTTGGTTACGATCATGATTATCACTATCATTGGTTAATATCATGATTGGTGCGGTTGATTTTATTGTGTTGTTTTCGTTGTGATTTTGTTGATTATTCAAATAGTTTTGATAATTTTCTTGAATTTCGGGAATCATATGGACAAAACAAGTCGCTAATAAGACACCCCCGCCAAACACTAATAGTAAATGTAAAACTTTGGCACTTTTACCACCATGGATTGGCCTCTGTTCCCCACCACCACCACTACCAATATCCACTCCCAAAGGCTCATCAAGATCGTTAAGGGTGGAAAGACGCTCTTGCCTTCGTCGCCACAATATAAAAACAATCACAGGTCCAAGGCCTGCGATCATCGTTAGTCCGAAGAGTCCAACAAGTGCTAATAGACGAGCACCAAGAAGGGACATTGTTAATCGTTAACGAAATGGTCGCCACCAATCAGCTCAATCGACACTAATTATCAGCCAAATGTCAAATTCAACACTGGAATCACTGGTTCCCCTCTTTTGATTAAATTGCTCGCTACAAGGAGATTAATTGTTAATCATTTCACTCATTAATTTCCATTGTGATGATGATCATTTAAAACTTAATCACTTAAACATCTACTCACTTTAATCATTATGATCTTGAAAACTTGGAATTGTTGTTAATTGTTGTTGTTACTCTGAGGTCGATGAAGTTCAATCAAACCAGTTAATTAACTGATCAACTAATTGTTTGTTTAATTGGAGGAGTATAAAAGTGGGAGGACAAATTAATACACAAAAAAATAAATTAGAGGTGGATTGGGTAACAATTTAGCTAATTGTTGAAATATTTATCACTTGAACATAAATTTGATGTATTGACAATTAATCAAATTTTTTATTTTGCTGAATTTAATTCAATTTTTGTATTAACCTTTTGGTTAACTTGATGATAATTAAATTATATTAAACTTACTAATTGTACAAACATATACCAACTAATCACATTGTTAGTGTGATTAGTTGATTGTTTTTAATTTCAAGTCATTTGATTGATTTGATCAAATTAACAACACACATTGAGATACAGCTACACTGATTAACTTTGATAGTGACAATCAAAGGTTGATTAGATAGCTAATTGGGGTTTCAAATACATTTGCTTTTAATTGTGTAGTTTAACAATTATCTTGGTTAATATATTTTCCTAATCATTTTTGGTTAGTTGATTAAAAAATCTCTTAGATTAATAAATTGATAAAAATGGTCAACAATTAATCAACAATCAACAAGCATTGTGATCATTACCAATATTTAAAGCTATGAATTGTCAACAGCAATCAGAGGTTGATAATTAAATTTTATTTGATTTGATTAAAAATAATTATTCTTTGGACGTTAATTGTCAATATATTTTATTGTTATTGATTGTTGATCAAATTAGATTTGAATTAACTATCATCGTGACCTTATTAGACAAGGAAATATTAATTAAACAATTAACTGATTCACTTTAAGTTTAAATAGATAATTGAAACAATTAACAACACATTGAGTAACCTGATTGTTAATGAAAATGAACAATTAACAACGATTAACCTTCAATTTGATTAAGAAACAATTACCAATGTATTTTTAGACAAAGATTAACCGGAAGATATTGTTATTAGATTGTCGATGATAATTTAATTGTTTGCCTTTAATTGTGAAGGGAATTAAAGGTTTTCCATGATCAAAGTTGTTGGTTGATCAATAGGAAGAAATTAAAAGGAGAGAATGAGAGATGGACAATCAACTAATTGTTCAAAATAAAATTCGAATTCATCAAAGGTTATATTAAGATATGATTCTTTGCGCATTCGATAAATTTCATGATGATCATGATGATTTTCATGATGATGACGATAGAAAGGAGAAAGTAACCATTGTGACGATGATAAAGAAGATGAGGTCTACCTTGAGATTTTTTTCTCTTTCCAATTTGTTCATGATCAAAGTGAAAGGATTGGTTATGAGCAGAAGATTTCAATGCCATGGAATAGGTTTTCAGGGTCATGATAACCCTGAATCCAGAGGATAGAATAAAAGTCAAGGTCGATTGTCTTCAATTCTCAATGAAACTAGTTCATCGGAAGCGTTTTCATGGACAAACTTTCTATTCTCAAGGTTCATTTCAGTTCAACCTTCCATAGGAATCGAATCAGAATCATAATTTTTTCCCTTCTCTCTCAATATCAATGTAATTCTGAAGGTGAAATCAAAATCTTCTTATACTCATACAAAGATAATCAGATGAATACTTTTCTCTCTCTCTCTCTCTTACTCCTTATACTGAGATTATCATAATGAAGATAATCTACAAAATCAATGAGAAATTATCTAATGTCCATGACTTCATACTCGTGACAATCAGAATATACTATTGATAGTAATTGAAATGACAAATATTAAAAAACAAAAGTCATAATTATTAATAGTTAACCAGATCAATTGAAGCTCGAAATATATTCAAACCCTATGATAGATTTTCTTTTTTTTCAAAGAATTTGAACTAAATGCTGTTTATTTTATGATGACGAGATGATCATGATGAGATGATTTAGAAATAATAATAATGATGAAAGTTAATTGTTGATTTCTTTTTAATTACTTTACTAATTGTTGAGAGAATCGCATTCAGCGCCATCTAACCAAAGAATCTAAACTTTGTTTTTAGTTCGAAAATTGCGCTTCACCGTAACCATGGCAACTTTCATTGAATGAGAAGTTTCCGTATCCGGAAAATTGGAGCTTTGGTTTTTGAGTAACTTGGTTAAGTGTAATCGTTGTTTTGATATTTAGTTTAATTAATTTGGTGTTTAATTAAATTGTTTTCCCTTCAAAATGTCTACTAAGCCTAAGATACAAAGTGTCCAAGTTTTTGGTAGGAAAAAAACTGCCACCGCTGTTGCTTATTGCAAAGCCGGTGGTGGACTTATTAAGGTTAATGGTCGACCCTTGGACTTGTGGGAACCTCAAGCTCTTAAATATAAATTATTGGAACCAATTCTTTTACTTGGACAAGAAAAGTAAGTAAAAATTTGAAATTGTCATCATTTTGAGTACCCATATTGATGGTAAAATTGTTTCATTAATTGTTCTCTTGGTGTGTATTTGTTTATTTGCAGATTCTCTTCGGTTGATATGAGAGTTCGTGTACGAGGTGGTGGACATGTGGCTCAAATCTATGCTATCCGACAAGCCATTTCCAAAGCACTGGTATCTTATTATCAAAAATTCGTTGATGAAGCTAGTAAAAAGGAGATCAAGGATATCCTAATCTCATATGACAGAACACTTCTTGTCGCTGATCCTAGAAGATGTGAACCCAAGAAATTTGGTGGTCCAGGAGCCAGAGCTCGTTACCAAAAATCTTACCGTTAAAAAAGATCTTTTGTGTTTATATACAGAGATATTCTTCTCGATTAAAACCCTCTCTTGAGTTAACTTAATCGTACACAAATTGTCTTACTTTACCTCGTGTATATAAAATAGACTTTGAAATCAATTCGGTTTACACAAAGCACAATGTGGTTGAACAAAAATGATTACACTTATATACGATTGACTAAAAGGGAACTTTTTATTTGAAATGTAAATTGTATTTTAAAAGGTTACAAGCAATTAGCTAATTGTGTTAAAAATCTTTGAGATTTCCTCGTTTCTCTTGTTCAGCCTCAATTGCCTGGAAAAGTGATTTAAAATTTCCAGCACCGAAACCATTGTGATTATGTCGTTGAATTATCTCCAGGAAAAGTGTTGGCCTGTCCTGAACTGGTTTAGTAAATATTTGTAACAAGTAACCATTTTCATCGTGATCAACCAGAATTTGAAGTTTTTCCAATTCATCGAGATCTTCCTTCACATGGATTGGACTTGATTTAAGTTGATTACGTAAATTGTTGTAATATGTTGATGGTACATTGAGAAATTGCATACCTCGAGCTCGAAGAGCTTTAATTGCTACAATTGTTTATGAAAAGAAAACAAATTAATCAATCTGATTGGTTAGGTTGTTAATCTTTGAGTGTTTAGGGGGTTAATTTAATTTCATCTCATTCATTAAGATACTAATTGATCGTGTGATTTCAGAATGGAAACAATTTATCACAATTTTCTCAACAAAAATCTCATGATTGTTGTTGATTAAAGATGATAATCTATTTGATTAACGATTTGTTTTTTGTTTATTATTCTCAATTTACCTTCAATTATATTATCAGTGTTAAGAGCGATATGTTGAATACCTGGTCCACCATAATAATCAAGATACTCTTGAATCTGTGATTGTTTTTTACCTCTCGCTGGTTCATTGATTGGTAATTTAATTGTTTCCTCAGGATTTGTCATCACAATTGATCGTAAAGCTGAATAATCAGTGTGAATTTGAGAATCATCAACTGACCAGAATCTATGGAAAGTTAATTGTTTCTCATATTTATTAACAACCTTTTCCATTTCGGTTTCTGGTTGATTACCAACACAATGATCAACGAAATTAAGACCAACCGGAGATAAATTATCAAGAAGTTTAATCTAAATAGAGGGAAAAAGGGGGAAACAAAAGAGTATTGATCAATTAGAAAATCTAATTGATCGAGTTGATTGTTCAAGTGAATATGAACTCACCTCCAACGGCGACTCCTCGTAACCTGGTAAAAAGAGTCCATTGTAATTGTCTCTCTCGATGAGAGTGTGAGTTGTATCACCGAACGTTTGAATTTGAGCAAATTTAACGGAACCTTTTCCGTCGGTTTCGGTCCAAATTTCTTTGACCACATTGGCACCTTGAGCTTTCGCTTTACTGACGATCTGTTCGATTCCTTGGACTCGCAGGGCGACGTCTTTCACTCCGTCGCCGTGAGTAATCAAATGTTGGCCTAACTCTTGATTTCCTGGTTCCAATGGGGAGACGAACACAAAGATGATCTTATTTTGTTTAATCGCGTGAAAGGCCAATTGCCGTGATCCAGTTTCTAATCCCTTGTAAGCCAACGGAGTGAAACCCATTTCGACGCAATAATAAGTGGCCGCTTGTTTGGCATTTCCAACCCAGAAAACAACATGATCGAAGTGAATGAATCGACTTGGATCATTCGATGAACCATTTGATCCATTAATCAATTGGGGCATAATTAAGTTAATTAGATGGAGAAAACAAGCAGAAATTAAACACAAAGAGAATAAAACGAAAATAAATGATTTAATTTCTCTTTTTGTTTTTCTATTTATATTTATTTTTCTTTTCTAATTAATCGCATTTTTCTCTTCAATTGATTAAAGTAAATTAGATTTCATGTTATCGTGATTTTGATTTGCTCTTCACTTTGATAAGGTTCCCTTCCAATCAATTAGATAAATTGTTACCATCGACAGATTATTGATTGTACTTTTGATTCCAATCTTTGTAGATAATACAATTCAAGTGGTTCGATGATTAACTGATTAGCTGATTAACGCGTAAATAAAATTAAATTAACGCGAAATAACATTTGAAAGATTAATTGTTTTAAAAAATGAAATATCTAGTGATCTTTTTTTCGTAATGTTTGGTTTATAATTTTCCAAATGTGAGGATAAATAGGATTGTATGAAAAAAAAAGTTGAATGTGATTTGATGTTGGTTTGTATTCATGAAGATTTAAACACGAGAGCTAATTGATCAGTTAAACTCGGCCTGTTTAATGATTACCCAAACATATCAAGAGAATAATCATTATTAATCATTTGGTGAAGAAGTTTCTGTTAAGGTTGAGGGGGATTTATTAACTGTTTGGACTAAGGGATGATTTCTTTTTTTTTGGTGAGAAAATGTTTCGTTTTGTGTGTTAGTTTGTTGAGAAAAAAACAATGTTGAAAATACGAAAAAGAAAATTATTTCCATTGTTATCTTTCCTTTTGGTGTGTTGGTGATTTTTCTTGTGAGTTGATGATAGTCCAAATTAAGCAAGCCTTAGATTAACGTCCTTCGACTGGGAAAATGAAAAGAGAAAAAAATGTAATGCATCGTAATTAAATTTACATATTATTTGAGTTGTTAATTATACTCACTGTAACTAGAAATATCAATTTCCTCAGGTAACTCAGGTATGTTAACATCAAAACGATCTTGAACTTCATTCAATACTTTGGCATCAGTTTCATCGCTAACAAAAGTAATAGCAAGACCTTTAGTACCAAATCTACCAGCACGAGCTACTCGATGGAGATAAGTGTCACTATCTTCTGGCATATCATAGTTGAAAACGATGTTTACTCTTTCAATGTCCATACCGCGACCAAAAAGATTTGTAGCTACCAGGATACGCTTGTGGAAATCTTTAAATTGTTGATAACGTGATAATCTAAAAATTAAACATAAGGATAAGAAGTGTTAAAATACAATTTTACAGAATGAAATTAATCTTTTCAATCCAGAAACGATGAAAAAAGTGCTAAATTACTCACCTTTCCTCTTGAGTCATAGCTCTGTGAATAGCGATGGCAGGGAAATTTTGTTCTACTGATAATTGAGCCAATGCTATGCATCTTTGAACGCTCTTTACAAAAATGACAACCTGAAATAGATGAATACTTGTTAGAAAAAAAAAATCTAGAAAATAAAATTGAAGTTTGCTGAAGTAAAAAAAAACGAACTTGATTAAATTCGAGAACATCTAAAAGTTCAAATAGTTTTCTGTTTTTCTCAGTGTCCTTTAGTTTAACGTAGTATTGTTGTAATCCATGTAATGTCAACTTGGCTTCATCGTCAACATAAACTTCAAGAGGCTGAAAATTGAAAAGAGAAAACAAAGGTTAATTCGCACCAATTGAGTCAAGAGTGTCACTCGAAATCAATAAGCAAAATCTTAAGTACGTATGATAAACAATATGAATTTAAATACGTGTATTGCTTGTGGCCAATAAGAGATAAAATATCAGTTCACGCATAGAAAATTGATTGTGTTGAGGCAATGTCCACCAAAACAAGCCATCACCACCATAAAGACATCAACTAAAAAACATTGGTTTTCCAAGAAAAACAATTCAACTGATTTAAAGTAGCAATCAGTTATTGTCCTCATCGAGACTTTAAAAGATAATAAAGACTCGGTTTGCTTTCTGTCTGACTATTATTTGACTTGGATCAAAGATACACCAGCGAATGTTGGTGATGAATGGTCCAATTTGTCTTTGAAAAGCTAAGATAAAAAACTCGTTGATCATCGGCTCGATCACGATTGTACCGTAAGCAATTGATGATGGCATTGGTGATGGTTATTATAAAATAAGGTCATTGCTTTGGTGAATTGAACCATGACAGATAGAATGCTTACATCTTGCATGAATTTTTTGCAAACTGGTCTAATTTCCTTAGACAAAGTAGCGCTGAACATCATAACTTGTTTCTCGTGAGGTGTAGCTTTAAATATTTCTTGGACGTCTTTCCTCATATCTGTTGAAAGTGAAAAGCAAAAACACGTGTGAACAATAAAAAAAAGGAGATGGTTGCTTCTAAGCTTTATAATGCATACCAAGTTGTTCAAGCATTTTGTCACACTCATCTAGAATGAAATGTTTAAGATGCTTGAGATTCAATTTTTTAGATCTGACCAATGCCAAAATACGTCCTGGAGTTCCAACAACAATGTGAGGTGTATTATTCTTCAATGTTTTCTCGTCACTGGATATATTCATTCCACCAAAAAAGACCGAGACCTTGATATTTGGCATGTACTTGGAAAATCGCTCGTATTCCTTGGAGATCTGGAAAGCTAACTCTCTGGTATGACACATGACCAAGACTGAAACCTGGAAATTAGAATCAAATGCAAAAAAAAACATTGATAAAAAATATTTTCAACGGAAAACAATTTTCAAAAGGTGGGAATAAAAAAGTACACATACCTGTCCATCGATAGGGTCAAGTTGCTGCAAGGTAGCCAATACAAAGACAGCCGTTTTACCCATACCAGATTTAGCTTGACACAGGATGTCCATTCCGAGGATGGCTTGAGGTATACATTCATGTTGAACTTCACTATTTATAGGTAGAGGGTAAACCAGGAATGACACATCTCAGGCGATTGTTTTACATTGATTTTTTTATAACTTAGACAATATACGACAAAACACTACAACTTGCTTGTTTAAAAACCAAGTGGTAGAAATTTGTAGAGAAGGGAAGAGGTGGAATATCTCACAAACCTTGGATGTTCAAAACCGCAATCAATGATAGCTCGAAGGAGCTCAGGTTTTAATAGGAAATCACGGAAACCAGAGGAATGAATGGATACGTAACCACCTTTCTTGGGTTCCACCGCATTGTTATTAGCTTGAAGATTATTGTTATCAGCAACTACTCCAGAGGTTTGTTCTTCTTCTTCTTCATAATCCAAAAGCTCGTTCTCGTTTTCAGCCATGTTTTTTGTTAGTTTATGTTTGTATTAGATTAAAGTTGAATGGAAAATTTTCAATTGTAGACCTTACACACTTTCTATCACTTTCTCTCTTTCTTACTAAACTTTCTTTCTCTCTTTAGAATATAGAAATCAACACAATTATTACCTTATGACAACTGGTTTTACTAGTAAATTATTAATCAGACGACAGTCACACACAATAATCAAATAAAGTAAGTTAATTAATTAAAGAAAAATAAGTCACAATCAAAACAAAGATAATTTGAGAAAAATTAACAATTAAGATTTTCTCTCAGAAGCAAATGGCCGCCAAATCGGATCCGGATCTGGTTTATTTCCCCTTTTTTCTTTTCCCTTTTCCTTTTATTTTCTATTCTACGCATGTTACCCTGTCGCCATCTATCGAAAACCTAAGTGACTAATTTCGCTCAGCTGAATAACCGGCGATTCGTTTCATCGAAATGTTTACTTTTTTGTTTGTAAAATTGTTCATTTTGATTGTTTAATAATTGTTGCTAATTATTTAGAAATTAGATTATTTTATGTTGAAAATTTAGATTTGTAAATTTTTTGGGTTAACTGTTGATCAGAGTCAAGGTGACCCTTAATTTGAAGGGTGATCCGGTTTCCATTGGAAACGATTACAGTTCATCTCATATGTTGTTGATTTTTTTCATTTTGTATTTTACTTTGTGATTAAGTTTTACAATTAACTGATTTTTTGTCCTTCTTTTTATTGTTAATTGATTTTGGGTGATTTTATTTTTACCTTTGTCTATTGATTAACTATGCTGTCTTCCAAATTAGCTAAGGTTTTAGTTCAACCATTATTGAAAACAACTTTAGCTCCATTGAACATATCAGCTAAATGTCTTCATCAAATGTAAGTCAACCTTTGTTGTTATTTTTTTTTATTTCAAATGATTTAACCCTTTTTTCATATGATTTGATTGATGTTTACATTTAATTGACAATTTTGTAAAAATTGTATTCTACAATTAGTTTGATTATTAGACAATGAGAAGAAAACAATTCGTTAATTTCTGATTGTGTAACCTTTGAGACAACATCTCTAATCATTATAATCTAATCATCTCTCATTGTAACCTTTTAATGGGCCAATGTTTGTTTACAACTAGAAAATGATGACAATTAACCTTAATTACTGTTAATTATTATTGATTTAATACTGTTCATTGACTTAATTGAGATGGTTCTTGATTGTTAGGTTTCGTGATTGGATAATTGCAGCTTACCAATTTTGATTTATTTGCTTGATTGAGTCAATAACATTATTAACAATTGTCCTTGATTGTTACCAGTCTGGTGAAAAAATGATTAATTTATATTTAATAATTAGCAACAATTTTGCCAGTGGATTAAAAATTAATTTTTTTTCCTCACAATTTAATAATTAGTGATAGTTGTAGCTGTACCTTCAATTTGATTGTTGTTAAATTTTCCAAAATTAAATCATCAATACAATTGATTGTCTCTAATTGTCTTCCCAATGGTTTCCATTAATTTCTACCGGATAGTTAATCTAATTTTCTTGATTATTTCACTTCCAAACACTGAGTAAGTTTTCAGTTTAATTTTTATTGATCAGGATTAAAACAAAAACTAATCATTAGGTTGGTAACTTTATCTAATTGTGATTGTTACTTTTTCATTTACTTTTGATTATGAATCAATAATTATCTAAATTGTCTTGGTAACAATTGACTCAATCGGATCAATAATTGAAATGATTTTTCAATCCAATTCATACTCGAATAGATTATTAATTAGATTGTAGAATAAATTTTCAATTTGATTACTGAGAATTTAAATTAATTCTTTTACCTTAATTTTCCACCATTCACCTGATAGATATTAAACTCTGTTCGTTTTTTTCTTTTCTTCTCTTCTTCTCTTCTCTGTCTTCATCTTCATCTCTCTTTCTATTTTATCATCTTCTTCTCTTTGTTTGTCATCATCTCTTTCTTTATCTGGTTCTTTCTTTTCTTTCATATTCGCCATATTAACTGTAAGAATCTCTCTTTAGTTAACTGGTTTTTCTCTCCAAGGTATTTCTCTTGTTTACTTGTTTCTCTTATTCTTTTTTCATTTTTATTCTTTTCAAATGAGATTTTTTTTCTTTTCTAATTAATTGTATTGATTAATTAACTTTCTAATCAGTAAATTGTATTGTCATTTTGTGCCATTTTACAGAAGTTTAAATAATATCGCCAGGAAAAACATGGATACTCAAGGAGTCGTCCCTGATGTCATTGATACCATACCAATAAACACCATTGAGGTACTTATGTGTATCTATTTTTTTAATTTGGTTCAATTGTTTTCTATTTTTTTTTAATTGTTCACCTCCAATTCTAATCTATCATTAATATCTCATCGATTCTAAACTAACCTCGGATCAATTTTCTTCTGACAATCTCGTTCTTTTTTCTCTTTTTCTATTGTTACCAATGTTGTTTATTTTTTTCTCTTCTCCATTAATTTTGATTCTAAGGTTAAATATCCAAGTGGTGCTGAAGTTAAATTTGGAAATGAATTAACTCCAACCTTAGTTAAAGATGTACCTACTCTTGTTAATTGGCCATCAGAAGAAGGTAAGTAATCACTTAGATCACCAGTAAATCATTTCAATTTGTAATTGTTTTGTTCTAATGTTAATCTTTCTCACCCATTACCAGGAGCCCTTTACACTCTTTGTATGACCGATCCTGATGCTCCAAGCCGACAGAATCCTAAATACCGTGAATGGCATCACTGGCTGGTTGTTAACATCCCCAACAATGAGGTTGGCAAAGGAAAAATAATCTCCGAATATGTCGGAAGTGGACCACCTAAAGGAACTGGACTTCATCGTTATGTTTTCCTTGTATACAAACAACCAGGACAATTAAATCCCGATGAGAAAATCCGAAGCAATCGATGTGGTGAGGGTAGAGAAAATTTCAAGATTCGTGATTTCGCCAAAAAGTATAAACTGGGCACTCCCATCGCTGGTAATTTCTATGTCGCTCAATGGGATGATTACGTTCCAAAATTATACCAACAACTCAGCGGTGACTAAATTATCTGGATTATTGCAACATTTATTATGCATCTTTGATCATCAAGCAAATTACCTTCTCTCTCCGACCCACCTTAAGCCATTTTTACAGCTCATTTCCTCGCTGACCCTTGTGTCATGTTGAGCTTTTTGTTTTCTTTTTCATCGATAAGTAAATCCCAAACTAGATTAATCTAATATTTTCCTCATGTGAGCTAGAATACAAATCCTAATCCCATAGAAATCAGATTACCATAAAATGTTGAGTTTTCCTAATTTCCGTTTTCCATGAACCTTGAATGTAAATTTTGATTGCATTTGTTACACTTGAACCTCACAAACAGATTCAGTCTAAGATTTTGTTTTTCTCCCCATCACTGTTATCAACAAATAATAACAATTATGTCGGAGAAAAAGTTAATTAGCTCAAATAAATTACAATTTAAATTCGGTTAAACAAAAAATCGTATCTTCTTATATTCACAGACACATGACATACATGTATAAAAGTCAAGAAGAGAATCGAAATCAATAACAAATTCGTTCAGAAAGTAGAAAATTTATTGTTAAGAATCATGAGAGTTTAAAAGAGATTAAGATTCATTAATTGTTGAGATTTAAAAAGTTCCACAATCAATTTTTCTGTTGTGAATTTTTTGTTCCAAAAAAAAGTCCAACACACAAAAAGATAGAGAGATTATTATTATCGGTTGGAACATGAGAGTATTTGGATTGGACTGAATTCTCTCTGATTTTCTTTTCTCTTCTTGATGATCATGATGCTGGAACACTTTCCAAGGTTGTTTTCTCTTCCAAACAAACAGATTCACCAATTCCACAAGGTCCAATTTCTTGACCATCGACAACCTGATGACCATTAGCCGAACCATTGATCAAAGGTTTTCCAGTCTCCTCAGCGGCGATGATTTGGTCAACAGCATCGGCGATGATTGTTTTTACTGTCTCACTGATAACCAAAGATTGATCCATGATTGATTGATGACAATTAACTAATTAACTATGGACACAATTAACAAACAAATTGGAAGGACACAGAAAAATAAGACAAACAAGAAGAATTGACAAAAAGGAAAACTGAAAGAGAGTCGATAAGCCAAAGTGACGCAAACGTGAATGAATAAAGAAATGGATTAAAAAAGGATTAACCCAACAAGATGATAATCTATATGATGACGACAATGATGATGATGATGATGAAGATGAAAATCTAAACAACAAAGAAGAAAACGCTGAAGAATAACTTATACCCACGACCGGCGAGAAAAGGAAAAAAAGTCAATGCTCTTACCTTTTCTTTTCTCTTTTCTCTTTTTTTCTTCTCTCTTTTTTCTCTGTCTGTCTCTTTCTTTATGGTTTTTTCTTTCATCTTCTTCTCTTCCTTTTTCTCTTCATCTTCATCATCTTTTCCATCAGCAATTTGTTCCCCTTATTGCATCCATCTTCTTCTTTCTCTTCTTCTCCATCTTCTCTCATCATCTTCTTGTAAATGGTTGTAAACATTTCTCTCATTCTGTCTACCATTTTCTCCCTTTCAAATTGTCACCTTTCTTTCTGATTTCTCATCATCATCATCATTTAGATTCATCTTCCAATCACAACAATCAATTTCTAATCAATTTCAATGGTCAACCAATCAAACGACCTGAAATCATTTGCCAGCGTCTTAATTGTCCAATCCAACTATTCAAATTTGTTTTCACATAACCATGAATCCTGTTTGTAACCAGTTATCTACAATTAGTATTAATCACATTGATTAATCATCATCATCATCACCAGTAAACTGTTGATTATCATGATGATCATGTTGTTATTCATCAGAACAATTTAAATTGTCCTTCAACATTTAATTCATGGTAAACAACAAGGAATCAACTAGGAATTGAGAAAAACAATTTCGGGAAAAATTATTCTCAACAATTAATGATTCAACTGATTGCGAGTAGAAGCAAATGATTTACCAACAACTGATTAAGTAATTAACAAATATGATTACCAATCAAATTTTGATCATTCAGTAAATCTATTCTGTAAACATAATTAACTTACGTAATTATAATTTAAACTAATCAACTGATTAGATTTTGGATTTTGATTCAATCAACTTTTTTTTACTTCGTTTCCATGTAAACATATTTGAACACCTTGATTGTAATCAGAGAGAGAAAGAGACAGAGATTTAAATTATTATTATTATTTCCAATGGCAATTAATTATTATTAAATTAATATTGAAATCAGAATCAAATGACAACAGCAATTGAGATATAAATTGTTAATCGTTGATCAAATATCGGCTATTTAATAATTGTCTCTGTTTAAAGAAACATTGAAATTGTTAATTTATCGTTTTCGTTTCATGAGTTAATTGTGATCTTTTTTTTAATCAATTCAATCAAAATGAAAACGATTCCAGTTTTAATCATAATTGTCGTCATTCTAATTGTTAATGGTAATTGTCTCAAATCAAATTCCATCACCTCTAATAGTAAATCGTGTTCGTCAAATTCACAAAATGGACAATCAATTAAAGTTTGTACGGAAATTAAAAGATTAAATGGAGAAATTGTTCTTAATCAAATTTGTACAACAATTAACAATCAATCAACAAACTGTCGAAATGTAACTGATTATGAATAATAATTACAATTAACGAGTTTCAATCAATTGTGTTGTTTTCTAATCCAATTCTAAATCAAAGGTTACAATTAAATAAATTGTTGTTTTATCTTCAGTAATTTGATATGATTTAAATTGTATTTTCATTCAATTTAAACTCTGGTGAAAAGTTAATTGTTACAGTTTCTTTTTCTTCCTGTTAATGTAGTATTTCAACTGATTAAATTGATTGTTTTAACAGCAACAACAATTTACTATTTTAAAATTGATTCCAATGAGATCTCGAGAATTAATTGTGAATAAATAACAATTTAGGTCATATAAACAGAAACGAGCAATCAATTTATTCAATTTAAAACATGAAAACAATTAGAATAATTTTCCAATTTAATTGAAGTACTTTATCTTAATCATTCGGATGATTAAAGAAAAAAGGAAGGAAGAAAATTACTAATTGTAATTGAATTAGAATATGATGATTTTTGATAAGTGTTCGGTCTTAATTGTAACCATAATATTGACCTTTTCGAATTCACCTTTAAATGGTCAAAAGTTAGAACGAAAGGTCGAAAAATTTATCGAAAATAAAAAAAGTGAGTCTCCTTTGGTGGAGAAAAAAGTGATTCTCGAAAAAAGTAACGGTACAAGTGAACAATTAATTCGAGATAATCGAAATGTCTGTGGACCTCAACTTCTATTATGTAACATGATGGGACAGAATTGTGGTCGATCGGCTCCCGTTCGAAGGCGACCTCGTCCTTATTATTATAGAGCTCGTTCTCGACCTGGTTCGTTATTCACTCTTCCACCTTTGGCCGATTTTCCCAATCTTCCCACTTTACCCACTCTTCCCAGTTTACCGGCGCTTCCTCCGTTACCCGATTTACCTCCGTGGCCTAAGGTACCAGGAATTCCCATTCCTGCCTTACCTCAAATACCGAAATTCCCAAATATTCCTGCTTTCCCACCTCTTCCACTGCCGGCATTCCCCGGTTAATCACCGCCACTCGAAGATCATTGTAATAAATGTTAATCGACACTCGAACTTCATTTTATATCATTTCCGATTCTTGGCTTCGCGTTATTGACTTTGAAAGATTTAGAAGTCGAAACTTGGATGAATAACTTTTTTCGTAGAAAAAAACCAAATATAACTATCTAATAATCAGTTTCTTAATTGTTGTAAATTTCATTAGTGATTAAAATCTAAAAACAATCTAATTGTAATTTCGCTTTTCAAATGTAACCGCTTTACTTTTAATTCAAAACAAAAGGCGCTCAATCCCATGGTTACAATTTAAGAATTAAAAACAAACAAATGTTATCCACGAATTTAATTGTCTCTCTAGTTAATTGTTCATCATCTAAATTGCTTCCATAATACTGTTGGTATTGCGATAATTTACTAGTTAACCAATGATTTCAACTCGGTGTTAATTTATTCTGTGTGATAGAAACTCAGTTTCTAACTTTGAACTTGTGCTTTTTTGTTGGTCCGTTGCTTTTGTTACCATGGCCAATAGGCCTTGGTATTATGTCAAAGGTCATGGTAATCGGGAAAACATTGAAAGGTTAATTGCTACGAAAAGAGAGCAAGATGATAATCGGTACCAATTAAGGCGACAAAATAGTGATTATTTTGATAAATGGCAACGACAAAATGAATGGATTGACCGGAAAGGCTTCAAAAAGTCATCATTGAACAAGAGCACTGGGAATCTTAATGTCGGTGAAAAAGTCCGAAAATCGGCCGTTTTTAAAGTACCTTATGACCTTGATTATGAGCCCGTTGATTATGGACCTAAAAAGATTGAAGAAACGATCAGTTCAAAGCGGTTAACGGCCTGTCAAGACGTTAAGGCTCTACTGGAACATATTATCGCCGCCGAAAAAGAATCAAAAAAATTGGAAGATGAGGAAACCTTTCTAACGAAACAATTAGAGGATTTACTTTTCCTTCGGCGACAATTAAAAGATAAACAAGAAAACTGGACAATTCGAGAGGCTAAACTGTATTATAAACGTTTCGCTAAAGATAAATTACGATTGAAAACTTTTCTCATCTGTGAACAATTAAGTAATTATAAGATAATTGTTGAGAGTTTATCCAAATCTGTGAACACACTTTCCATCAATGATAAAGAGAAACATGAATTAATTGGGCTAATTAGAAGTTCTCTTGACATAATCAACATGTATTTGGATGTTAATTACAAACGTAATTGTGAATCGATTCCCTTATTCAAGTAAGTTTGATTAACTAATTGTTTCCTTTATTCGATTACTTTTATAACCTTGTTCGTTGTCAATCAATCAGTTGCTCTTTTATTGATTCAATCGCAATTTCTGTTACATGTATTGTTGTTTACATTAAATTGTTCTCAATTTACTTAACTGTTGATATCGAACAATATATGGGAACAATTAACTTCTATTGTAAGTGATTAATTTATTGATTCTTTTCTTGATTTCTATTGATTTAGTGAAGAAGCTGAGAAAAAGTTAATTAGCCAGGAAACACTTTGGGAGCGAGAACGATCAGTTTGGTACAATTTGGTGCTTCGAGTGATGGAAGCGTTTTTCACAATTAACAAATGTAAACTCGAGGATAATCTTGATTGTCAGGAAATTCTGAGAGAGAAACGAGTTGATTTATTGAATCGAATGAAAAATTTACAGGAAAAATTTAAAATCGATTCAGATTTGGCTTCAATTCTTAATCAAAATTTGAACCATTTTCTAATTGATGTTAAATTTTGATTGTCCCTCAAACATAATCATCAACTAATATGACAATTTAATTTATAATCATCTTAATTATGTGATAATCACAATCTCGCAATCAAACTTTACATAACAATTGAAATTGTAACCCTGATTTTCAAGCAATATTTGTAAACTTTTTTAATTATTTACCTTAATTTATTTCAACGATTGACGTTTTGCAATAAACAGTTTTTTTTGGTAATCAACTGATTGTCAATCATTTGATTTTGTTAACAAAATTGGTTGAACATGAATGATTTTAGGCGAGAGAATGTTAATCAACTGATATTTGCTCTTGACCTTTTTAATTGTTGAAATGATCGATCATTGAACTTAATTGTAGTTTGATTTGGTTAATTTGTTGGTTTTTAGGTTCGCAACTTTGTTCAAAAGAGGAAATAGTTTTTTTGAGGAAATCGGTTACGGAAGTTTGTAAGTTACGATTAACTTCCGTTCATAATTTTAGTTCATTGAGAAATTTTTCTCAATCCCAATTAAATCGACCATAGAATGCAATTATATCAACTTGATTTAATGATCTCTTTGAAGGTAGAAAATGTTTAATTCAAATTAAATATCATCTTTTTGAAGAAGATAAATTTTCTCGATCAAAATTTTATATTTTCTCTATGTTGATAAAAAGATGCAATTGAAAAATTTACAAGGATAAATATAAATTAATCGTTGATCATTTCATCTTTTCATAGTTAATTGTTTAATCTTTGGTTGTTGTCTCTTGTTGTTCAAATTGTGGATATACTTTCACGACATCATCCCAACTCTTTGCACCGGAACATAAATCTCTAACTAAAGGAGCAGCTTCGTCAACCTGAAGATAATTAAAAAGACAAAATGATTAATTGATTGTAAAATTTTCATCAAAATTTGATACTTACAGGTAATCGGATTTGAGACATCGTATCTCTTTCTCGAAGAGTAACTGTGTGTGGCTCTTTTAGTGTATCGAAATCAATTGTAATACCAAAGGGAATCGCGATTTCATCAGCTCGTGAGTAACGTTTTCCAATGGAAACACTGGAATCGTCAATTTTATGAGAGACAGCGAGTTCTTTCAAATGAGTCGCTATTTTCTGGACAAAAGGGACAAAATCACTTTTACCGCTAAGTGGAAGAACGGAACACTTGGTGGGCGCAATGATCGGTGCCAATGTTAAATAAACTCTTTGTTCGTCTTCCTCTCTGACCTTAAAACTATGCTCGAAAACGGAATACATTATACGACCAATACCGAAAGAAGGTTCAATTACACTTGGTGTTATTTCTTGAACGTGAACTTTTTTTGCATATCGACGAACGGTAACCATTTCTTTCGAGATATCGAACGATTTCTCACCCAAAGCGAGTTGATAATTTTCTCCTGATCCAATTTTCTTCTCTAAATTGTTTACATCATCAATGGATAAACTTGACAATCCATCTAAAAGTATCTTAGCATCAGCTTTATAGTTTTTACCGATCATCGCTCGATTGGGAACACATTCAACCACATCGACGGTCATTGGTTCGGTTAAATTTTTCTCGGCTACAAGTTTTACTCCAGTTGCTTTAGAGTGTTGGGTGAGATCGTAACAGGATCTATCGGCACATCCGACACACTCTACCCACCCATAAGAGGTTAAACACTCAGCGTCCCAACAATCACAAGCATAATGGGCCATTTCATTGCCCATGTGTTGACGGAATCGCACTTTACCTCGATTAACTCCGACCTTGAGAAGAAATTGATAAATTCGAGCCATAAAGTAGGCAAGTGTTTCATTAGCGATTATTTTGTTGGCCACTGCATCGCGAAGTGACACTTCCTCCAAAGGTTTGCCATCCATTTGATTACATGCTGAGAATAATGGTAATTTGAGATCAGCAATCGACTCGAAACGAGGATGATCTTTGTTTCCAGGGTCAACGAAATATTCAATCTCTGCCATGGTAAATTCACGGACACGGATCAATCCAGATCGAGGTGAAATCTCATTACGAAAAGCATTACCAATTTGAGCAGCACCGAAAGGTAATTTACCTTGATTGAATTCAAGTAACCTTTTAAAATTGACGAAAATACCTTGAGCTGTTTCTGGTCTAAGAAAACCTTTGATGTGTCCACTTGGTCCAATTTGTGTGCTAAACATTAGATTGAATTCAATTGGTTCAGTGAGATCATTTCCTGTGAGCGGAGCTTTCATGTTGAACTTTTTCAAAACATTCGCCATCTCATCTTTAGAGAAACCATCAAGTCGAGCAATAATCTCTTCACATTCATTTTTGACCGAAGGGTCAAGAGCTTTATCTTCCATAATTTTCTCCAATTGAGCTTTGATCAAATGGTCAAGTCGATAACATTCACCAGTTTTCTCATCCTTGACCATAAGGTCAGCGAATCTCTCAACATGTCCAGAAGCCTTTAGAACGGGTTCTGGTGTTAAAATGGTACAATCCACTTCAAGAAGATTATCTTCAATGACGAAATGATTCCTCCATAGATTTAGAATATTATGTTTCATAGCACAACCCATTGGACCAAAATCATATTGACCAGAGACACCACCATAGATTGAGAAGGAAATGTCAACGAAAAATCTTCTTTTTAAAAGATCTTCTAATCGGGTTCGCTGGAAGATTATATCAACCGGTGCCAGAGACAATTCTTTGTCTTCCAGAATCTTTTTTCTGGCTTTCAATTCATTCACTGCTTTTTTAATATCAATGTCATTTGCTTTCTCCTCTTTCAGTTTACGGACCAAATCACCTAATTAAAGAAAAAAAATTGGAAAAAGAAGATTATAAACAAAAAAGAAAAGAATTTAAAAAATAGAATAGAATAGAAAATGAATTGTAAACAAATTACCTTGTTCTTTAACAGAATCTCTGAGTGGTTGAAGAATTGTCTCAATAGACTTATCTGTGTTGGCCATTTTCTTTAAAATACTTCGTCGATGAGCAATTAAACGATCCTGATGCCAATTTGGTGGTAATTTTTTCAATAAATATGTTGAACAATGAAAACTTTTAATAAATTGTTCACGTAAGCAAAAAATACCATCTAAACCTACATTCACCAAGTTACGGGTTAGAGTAAAAATCATTAACCAATTCAATAGTTAACATACGATTACAACAGAAGAGAGATAACTAATTACACTTCTTAAAAGTAAATCTACTGTTGCTAATAAAGTCGAAACAATTAATGTTAATTTAACCTCGATTTAAATGAGAGACAAACCAGAAAAAAGTCAAAAGTGAAAAAAAAACGTGAATGTAAACAGATTCAAATGAGAATTTAACACCAGATGTCGACACTTGTTCGTTTCTATTTTTCTCCGAAAAATTAATCTCATTTGATTAGAATTAACATTGAAAAGGTAATTTGATTTCGATAATAAACAATTACAAACACATTTCAGGCATTTTATTATAGCATTCATCTTAGCTACGAATGGAGAAAGAGAAATAGCCTAATGGTTAATCGTGTAGACGATTAAACGTAAATTTAGAGCTTAAGGTTAATTGTTGTTACAAGTGAATGATTGATCACATAGCAATTTATAAGCACACAGAGAGATGGATAATAAAAGAGATAGAAAGTTAATTGTTGTCAAAATATTACGAACAATGTGAAGATCAAGTTAATAAGCCAAAAAGTAAACCCAATTAAATGAAAGAATTGCTTTCAATTCTTGTCGATTCTCTTTATATCCTTTTGGTGTTGTTTGTGTGTGTCTTTCATTGATTGTTTAAGTTCATATTATAAAGTAACAATGTACAAAAAAAAGGTAAGATGGTTTTAATTGTTTCATGATAATCTGTGTATTATCATGGTTATTGTGTGTTCTTTCATAATTATCACCATCATGAGTGAATCTCAATTGGGAAACATGGGTCATCCTTTTTTCTCATCTGAAGAGTAACCGGACAATCTTTATGAGCCAAAAGAGCTGTTTTTAATTCAGTTACTTTTCTCCGTAAATTGGCAACATCACCTTGTAATCTATCATTTAATTTCTGCATTTCATCAGCATTCATTTCCAATGCTTTGATTGCCATTTTCCTCTTTTCTCGGCATCTCATTGCTGCAGCTCTATTACGTTCAAGTGATCTCACTTTCTTTTGACGGGGATCCTCTTCTGGAGCTGATTTACTCTTCCTTCCTGGTTTTACTTTGATACTTAAACCGCCATCATTATCGTTATCACCTCTGGTATTATTAGATTTAGATGATAAACGATGATGATGAGTTTCCGAGCCACTATCACTTTGAGAGCTGGAGCGAGAATCTTGTGACGATCTTGAAAGTGATTGACTAGAGTCACTAGAAATTTCGGACACTGTTCTCTGGACCATTGCTGTGGTCAATTTAATGTCCAGATTATTAGTGCTAGAAGAAGAAGATGAAGAGCAACAAAAAGAAGGGGAAAAGGAAGAAGAAGAAGAAGAAAGGGAGGTGAAGAGGATAATGATGAAAATGATGATGATGATGAAGAAGTTGCCAATAAAGAGCCTGACTGAAGAGCTGCAGCGGCAACAGCAATATTGGCGAGTTTAATTAAACTATTTCCCGGTGAGAAGGAAAGTGTATCCATGATGGAACACAAATTCGTAATTACAATTACAATTTAACATAAAAATCAATCAACAATTTAAATTAAAAGACATTCAAGTAACATTGGAAAGAAAAGAAAACCGATCAATCTTCAAACCGTTTTTTCTGTAAACATTTTTCACAACCAATTCTTTCACAATCTTCGATCTATCGAATCAACATCGATAGTTAATCTTTTTTTTAAATCTTTTCTCCGATTTTGTTGCAATCGTCAAGTTAATTGTTGAAAATTATCAACTTAGAATTTTTGATTGTCTACGAGAAGAATATTTTTAGATGGTTAGTTGTTTGCAGAAAATCTAGTTCTATGATAAATCAATCGTTTCTATTACTCTATTATCGTATAATGAGTATTTAAGTTGTTCTTGTTTGAAGAATTTTTTTAAATCATCTGTTAATTATTCAATTAATGGAATTATTTGAGGGAATGTTAGATTTGTTTGATTCTTAAGTTTTTGTCGCAACGAAAAAAATCTTGAAGAAAAAAATTCAAGATTACCGATTAGAAAGTGATTAGAAATATAATTTATGATTGTTAAAATGATTTAATAATCATAAGCTTCTTTCAAATTTGAATGTTGGTTGTTGAATGAATTTTTTATACAAAAATGGTCTCCATTTATTTCTTTCCAAGTTTTTTGTTACCAACACCAATCGGTCCTCGAGAAGAAGCCTTACTTTGAGCTTCTTTCAATGCTTTTTGCTCTTCTCGGAGTTTTTGTTTTAAAGCGAGATCATCATCATCCATGTCACCCTGTTGTTTCTTAGGTGCTTTCAATGGTTTCTTTTTACCTCCTAGTCAGATTGAAAGAAAAATGATAATAACAACAAACAACCAAAAAGAGAATAGAATTAAAAATGTATCAACAAAATCAATAAGTCACAAGGGGAGATATTGGCAAAGATTCAAATGAAAAGCATGGAGAGAAGAAGAGTGGAAAAGATAATCGAATTTCCATGAAAAAAGATTTGCAATAAAAGAATGACCTTACCTTCTCTTGATGCCATTTCAATTAAGACAATCAAATCAACAGAAATATCACAATTGATGAAAAAAGAAAAAGAAAATTAATGAGAAAATTGTCAACAGTCAATTCCAACCACCTAAAAGATTTCGAGTGTTGATCAGCTCAACATTTCTACTTGCAGCTGATTTTTCGGCTTATCCCTGAGTTTCATTGAAAAAGAATAAAAGAAAATGCGCCAAAATCAAACCTTCGAATTTAACTGATTCCAAAAGAGATTAGATGGATTTTGTTTGGAAAAAGTTTATTTGATTGTTGATCAACAAGTGGATTACATTGATTTAGAACTAATTGTGAATAAATCATTCTTAGTATTTTCAACTAGACTAAAATCATTTATTTTCTTCTGGGAAAATTGTTGCTGGTAAAACATTAGGGAAATTATAAGCAGCAGGATCTTCAGTAACATAACTGGGATACAATTGAATCTTTTTCATGACTTCATCTTCATCTAAGTCAATTTGTTCATCCGTAAAATCAGACAATAAGTTCTTGTGATAATAATCACTATAATCATATCGACGATTGGGTAAAACAAAACTGATTGTTCCATATTCTTTGGCTTTAACATATTCGGTTAATAAATCTTCATATTTAGCACAACACAAGTGGGTCCTTCGATTGTCCATAATCTGATCGGTAAATTCATCAATAAACTGCTTTAATAACAAAACATTTCGATAATCTAAAACCAGATATTTATCTCTAAATGAAAATGGAAAGAAAATAGAAACAAGATTAGAATGATCATAATCACTTTAATCAATGAGAATGAAACAATTACCTGCAAACTGGACATGGATTATTGTTCTGAATGTAACCATCTTCACCGATACAGTTTTCCCTCGTGTTGACCGGGATTCTGTCCATTGGCCCACGGAAATTACGTCGATACATTTGCCAAATTTTATAGTCACCATAAGTTTCTTTAAATGTTTTACTTAACATGTAACGAGCACTGATCTGCCAATCAACAGGTACCCGTCGATCCTTTTCGGGTATCTTTCGAGGCTTAGCTTTAGGTCGCCTTAAATTACCATAAATGTTTTGATAAGCATGTTTACCAGAATCTCCAATCTCATCAACTGGTTCGGGTAATTTTCTGGGCGGAAAACCTTGACCGGATCCATTCAAGATTCCACTTGTTGAAACACTTCTCTGAATAAGATTCGATTTGATTAGATTGTTAAAACGAAAATAGGACATGATGGTGAAAAAGAAAAAAAGATAAACAATCAACGAATTTGCCCGAAAAGAGGAAACCAGCTGATGAAAAATTCTATTAAAAGTCCATCAGATGGCATCAGTTTCATTTTCTTCGCTTTGTTTACCATTTTGTCTTTTTCTTTATTTTTCCAAATCGAAAGGATTGAAACAAATTGAATCATGAATTTTTGTTCTTTCATCAAAGGAATCACAATTTTTCGTCTTAAACTCGATTGGATAATCAAATGAAAGAGTTAAATTTCTCTTCTATTCTAATTAGTGTTTGTTACTCTTGACATTGGAAATTTGGTTATCCTCTTTCGCTGGGAATGGTGGCGCATTCCTGTAACTCCTGTTACTTGGAGAGCGTAGGTCGGTGGACGAGTGATCGGCAGGATCACTGGGTGTTGTCTGACTATGTTGATCGGACGTCCGCACTAAGCTCTGCGTCAATATGGTTACTCTTGGGAAACTTTGAGTGACCAGGTTGATCTAATGAGAAGTGTAAAGGCTCAGGACGGAAACGTAGCAGGCAAAAGCTTCCGCGTTGAGTAGTAGTGGGATCGCGTCTGTGAATAGTCATCAACATCTAGCCTGTCCGGTCCATTTGGACCCGAACCTTTTTTCTTTCTTTTTAATTCAATTAATCAAATTGCACCGCATAATCTATTCAATTTCATTTCATTTTTTCTCTAATTAATTCAAATCATATAGATTAGGCTAATTTTTCAATTTCACTTTTCTATTTAGTGGTAAACATTACAAACAACCTGTTGATTGATTGATTAAACAAAGAGTTAATTAGCTGTTTCAACTTTTTATTCTTTTAATCAGAATTAGAAATAGTGTTAGTTTGTGTGTGTGAGAGAGAGAGAGATAGAGAGAGAAACAAATAAAGGGAGAGAAAGAGAAATAGAGAGAAAACAGGAGAAAAAAGAGTAAAAGACAATCGGAGAATGATTTACATCAAATGATTAGAAAGCGAATGATTGACCACCAGCATTTGGATCATCCGTTGTGAATCGAAACTGGTGGTTGTCCTGATCAACTTCCGGTTTGATTGCTGATTCTTCATCATCGGCACCGAAATATTTTTCAATTATATCATAAGCCTTTTGGTAAATTTCAACATTCTCATGTGATTGTAAATATTCAATCTTATCAAGACCAAAACACTCTTCGATTGCCACAGCATATGGATTAATGGCACCAGGATTTGCTTTGTTGTTCGGTTCACCAAACTTAAGGATATTCTCTAATCCATTCAGGGCCACCTGTATGGTTTTCGGATCGGTAACAGTCAACAGTTCGCACATCGGAGGAATGCAACCAAGTTCTACTAGATATTTTACTTGTTCAGCTGAACCACCTGATGTTGCATTGGTGATCGCCCAAGCGGCTTCTTTCCTGATCTTGAAGTCTGCATTTGTTAACAGGTGGATCAAAGTTTGAAAAATGTCTTCTTTGATCACTGCTTGAATTTGCGACTTGTTTCCTGCGGTGATGTTAGAGATGGTCCAACATGCTTCCTTGCGGATCGTTTCTTTAGTAGAAGTCAACAGATTTTTAAGATGAGATAACGCATTACAATTTAAAATTATTTGTGTTTGAAGATCATCACCGGTAACAATATTACCAACTGCTCTTAGAGCTGCCGAAACCACTGCCTGACTACTGTGAAGTAAAAGCTCAACAAGTCGTCGACAAACACCAGAATCGATGACGGCTTGAATCTTTTCGTTGGGTCCATCACTAAGGTATGAAAGAGCCCAACAGGCATCGGCAAGAACGTCGGAATCATTGTTGTAGAGGAGCCTTGAAAGGACAGTTAGACTGGGGGACACCTGTTCAAAATTTGGGAACGGATTTTTACCTCTGCACAGGTTGCTCAATGTCCAAACCGCGTTGCGTGTCATTGAGAGACGGGAGGAGGTCGTTAAAAGTTGCAACAATGGAGACAAAACACCGTTATCCAGAACAAAATTACGACATTCAGGACTGTCACCAGCGATGTTACCAAGAGCCCAAACTGCTTGTTCTTGAACATCTTCGACCTTTGAAGACAACAGGTGGATGAAAACAGGAACGGCACCAGCCTCAATAACCTTGCGAGTTTGTGATGAAGTGCCTGAGGCAATATTTGTCAAGGCCCAAGCAGCTTCAAATTGAAGAGTTGGATTTTCGTCCCGTTTTAAAAATTCAACAAATTTAGGCACGATTCCTGTGTTGATGATCTCGTCAATCGGCGGATTTGGCTCCTTCGACAGCAATTTTCGAAAATTCTGTGTTGCCTGCAGCTGAGCAGCAACATTATCACTGTAAAGAGCTTCGATCATTTCACTGGTGATGGCGAACACTTGACCGGATTGACCACCAAGGTCAGATCCAGGAACGATGTCATCATCAAGACCACTTGTATCAGCAAGATTACGACGCTTGTAGAGCTCAGTTTCTCTTTTTTGTTTTCTCAACTGAACACCTTCTTCCTCTCGTCGTCTTCGCAACTCTTGAGCATCTAATGCTGTATTTTTATACCGTTGACGATGAGGGGCAACATTTGATGGACCAGACATAGTTGAGAAAAAAAAAGCTAACCAATATGAGAGAGAACAAAGACAAATACAGCAAAAGACGCAGAAATAAAAAGGATACGGAAACAAAGGTTATTTTAACACCCAAATAAACCTTAAGATGAACAACAACCTGTTGACTAAATGATTATTAATTGTTGAGAAATAAAAAATAAACCAATAAACAAATTAACAGGTAGTAACAATTAGCTAATCAACAAACAAAAAGCTTTTCTCAAAATTGAATCAACGCTTTTTCACTCCCCTACTCATGGAAAATGGTGACACCTGCTGATTGTCAACAAAAGAATAAAAGAAAATGCGCCAAATTCAAACCGTCGAATTCCATAAATGATTAGCTAATTGTTACAACCTGTTGATATGTTTGGTGATTTATTTTTTAGATCTCAACAATTAATAATCATTTAGTCAACAGGTTGTTGTTCATCAAGGTTCAAGGTTTATTTGGGTGTTAAAATAATTTCTGTGTCAATTATGATTTCATTAGATTTGATTATTGTCATTTATTGATTGTATTAACAATTACAAATGGATCATTTAATTGCTTAATTATAACATTTTTTTATGATTTTCATTGATTCTTAATTTGATTTTAGTCTAATTACAAGTTACATTCAAATTGCATATTCATGTCGATTTAATTAATTGTAATATTATCCATCCGATTGCTCAAAACTTTAGAATGAGTTTACTTTGTAATTTTGTTTATCATTTAATCAGGTGGGTAAGCGCTTTGGACGGTCAGGTTAATTGCGGAAAAAGGCCTCAAATCTAAGTAATTAATTGTACCAAAATGATCCCCAATTAACTAAGCTAAGAATCAATCAGAGAAGGTTTTTCTCTTCTGATCTAATTGCTCTTATATCATCATTGTAAACAAAATAGTAACTTGGAGTTCGCATTTTCTGTCAAAAAATAGAAAAAGAAATAAATCAATCAATCAATAAATTGAATAATCATTCGATTAGAATTAAGTTTTGTCAACTAACCACATCACGAATCTGTCGATTAGCTCCAGCCTTGATCAACATCTTACCAATATGTTCAACTTTACTCGTGGCCATCGCATAGTGAAGCGGAGTCCGTCCGAGCTGAAATCAGAAAAATGATCAACAAGTGTCAACAATTGAGAAGAGTAATCAACTAATTACTGTACTTACATTATCTTGGACATTAGAAGCTTCTGGATTAGCATCAATTAAACTCGATATAATATCTAGATTACCGAAAAGTATGGCGATATGAAGAGCGGTTCGACTTCGACGATTTTTGGCCGTTACCAGGGTGGCATCAGAATCGACCAGACCAAGAACACCCTGAATATAATCATTCTTAATGAATGTGTGTAACTCTTCCCGTGATTTCTGAAAATAGGTTATATCCTGAAGAAGGTTAATCATTGAGGTTATTTTCCGTTTCCTTAGAACGGCGGTTACATCGTGTCCCTCTTCGTCGACTACGTTGGTCAGATCATAACCTTCGTGAGATAATCGCTGGACAAAGCCCACATTTCTCCGTACAAAAGCATCTAGAATATAATTATCAATGACCTGAACATTATCTTTAAGAGCTGAATTAACGGCAACATCTCGAATGGTCCGATATTTTTCATCTCTCTCCGGAATCAAGTATTCGGCTGAGGCCAACATTTGATAGAGAATCACTTTTTTCTGTGGTTTCGAGGAGACCAGATGAAGAACCGTTCGACCGTGTTCATCTTTTACTTGGCACAATTCGTACTCACTAACCACTTCTTCCCTTTTCCTCTCATCGGACGATTCTTCACCCGAAGATAAACTTTCCGGAGGTTGACCTGGGACCGAGCCCATAATCTGACGGATACTTTCTTGTAATTTATTTTTCTCCTCTTTCAATGTCTCTTTAAACTGAACCGAGATCGTTTCCACTTCCTTTTTGACATCTTCTTCTGCAACACCAGGACTAGTACTCAATTTGCCTTTAGCACCACTTCCATTAGTTGGTGTTGATGGTACTTTTTCATTGGCATCTACATGAACATCAGCGGCAATCTCATGATGAGTTGGCCCTTCATCTTCCTCTAATTGTGAATCACTTGGTGAAGGTGTTAATCGTGATTCAATATCAGCAGTCGGTGGTCGTTGCCAAACATCAACTGACCCTGGCTCTTTATGGTTAGATGAACTTTCCGTTTTAAGTGCATAGTTTGACAATAGGTCACCAATGGTCAACTCATGAGGATTTTCAAGGTAAAAATCAGCAGTGTGACCCAATTTATCAATAAGTGACGGATTGGCTCCCGCTTTTTTCAATATATCATAATATTGTTTATCTTTTGAGGCCATAACGGCTGCATAGTGAAGGGGAGTCCGTCCCTCATTATCTGGACCATCAAGTGTCTCCGGAAATTGGGTTATTATGTAAACAAGAACGTCCATGTGTCCATGAAGAACGGCGAGATGAAGTGGACTGGAACCAACATGATCACGAGAAAGAGCAAACCTTTTGCGCGTTAATATTGATCGGACTTCGTTGAAGTTACCTCGAACTACGGTCTCATGGACATTTCTAATCTTTGCCATATAAGCTGGAACTAAATCCAAAAATTCTTGCACAGTTTCTTTCGATGATTTTTTACCGATTAACCTTTCACCTTGACCAGCGATAACAACATGTTCTAACCTTAAAAGGTCACCGTCTTTAAGCCAAGTTTCAATTAGATCGTTTAACATGTCCACATTATCGTTACTATTATTAGAAATCGGTGATGATCCGCTCATCAAACGGGATGATGATGATTCACCAGATTTGGGTTTCTTTTTACCAGAACCAGAACGAGGGGGCTGATCACTTTTAGCACCATTCCCGTTATCATCAACTTGACCATCGCCACCTGATTGTTGACCATTTAGACCACTAGTTTTCGGGGATTTTGCTGGATTTTCATTGTTAATTTTATGCTCTTCATCTAATTTAGTTTCTTGATCATCAACTTTATTTCCATTTGATTGTTGATCCTTTTGATTTTTTTGTTCTCTTGATGATTCTTGATTTTGACTAATAATTTCATCTTTGTCCTCGACAATTAAACTAATTTCGTGATCATCAGATTTGATTTCATTTGAAGTTGACTCAGTTTTTTCATTCTCGTTAAGTTTTGATTGTTCAGAATTATTTTCATCATTTATCTCACTGGATTCTGGAGCAGTTGATTTACTGGGTTCATTTTCATTGGATTGATTAATTGATTGGTCTGATGATTTTTCATCTAAATTTATTTCATCCTCTTTCTCATGTGCTGATTGTGGTTTAGATCCTTTCGGTTGAGATGAACTTTTTTCTCCGCCATTTGCATTACCGATTTCTTCATCTTCTTCATCCTTCTCAATCTGATTAATTGCAGCTTCGACTGAAGCCTCTGAATCAGTTCCACCGGTTTTGATTCTCTCATCAACTTTATCATCAATTAATTCACTCGCTTCCTGAATACTAGTAACATCACCATCGCCGATATTCAAGCTAAGTTTAGATTCAGCCTGTTGAATGGATGATTCAACTAATCCTTGAACAATTTCCTTCGCTTGTCGTTCAACATCTGAATCAACATGAGACGAAGCTAATTGTTCAGTCTCATCTTCTGAGACTATTTCAGCTTCAACCTTAATGATTGGTATTAAATCAGTTGATTCACCATCACCACCAGTGCCTTGATTAGTATCTTCACCATTGGGAATATTTTCACCTAAATTTGATTCAGAATTTTGATTCTCCAGTTCTGGTTGATTCGATTCTTCCTTTTCATTGTTTTCGGAATTTTCTTCCAATTTCTCTTCCATTTTTCCAACCTCTTCATCTTCATCTTTCTCTTTATGCTCATTCTCTATTATTTTGTCATCAGTTCCGTCGCTACTTTTACCATCGATCGTTGGATTATTTTCAGTTTTTTCTTCGTTGAGTTTATTAACAGAATCTTCTTTGATCCGAACATTTTTAGCGATCCCTTTGGTACCAATAGTGGGACCATTTCGATTATTAAGAGATACTTTCTTTTTCTCAAGCCGATCCTTTGAACTACTTCGAGCACCGATTACTGAGGGCAGACTAGTTTTTCGATTAACTTTCATCTTTTTATCTTCGACAACTTTTTCACTTTCCGTTGACGATGGTGGAGTTTTCTTGAGAGAAGTGAACTTTTTAATTCCTCCTTTAGTGTTGGAACTTATTTTCTTGCCCTTAGGCAAACTTTTCTCCTCGATAACAGCATCTTGACGATTGTTTTCAATCTTTTCCTCGTCAATATTTTCACTTTCAACCAGCTGATCCTTTAAATCATCATCTTTCTCCTTAGATTCATCATCATCAGTCCTTTCTTCAATTTTTATCCCACTTCCTTCATCATCTTCAAACTTTGTCTCCTCGACGGTGGTTTCAGATTTGTGAGTTTCATTTGATTTATCGGTTTCCCTATCATCACCATCGTTCGTGGTCACTTGAGCTTCCGTGGACTCATCAACCAGTTCAGATTGATCAACTGGACTTTCTTTAACCACTTCGTCACTAACGATAACCTGATCATCGCCAGAATGACCAATGTTTTCATCTGCAGTCTCTTGACCAGATTCACCAGGAGAATCTTTATCAAATGTAAATGCAATAGACAAATAGAAATTAAAATAAAATAGATTTCAATTAATGTACTAAAAGAACCAAATTAAGTTTAACTGAAAAGTTAAACAAAAAAATGGGCGGCAAATAGAAAAATCGATTTAATAACTGGTGATCGATTTTTTTTCTACTTTATTCTAACAATTTAAATAATCTAATTTTTTTGAATTAATTGGAAATGAACATTCGATTAAGATTAAGAGATTAATTAGAAATTAATTAGTAGAGAAGTAAATTGATTAGAAGAATTTTAGTTTTCTGGTTAAAAAAGTAACCAGAAAAATCGATTTTTTACCTACGAATGTCAATCGATTATTCAACCAAAATTTTTCATAAAACCACCTGAAAGTTAATCATTTGTTGTTACTTTTAATTACCTTTAACAGTTGACTGAATTTCTGGTTCAATCGGTTGATTAGTGTTTATAGTATCAGTTTCATCGAGATTAACCTCCTTATCTTCATCAGTTTTGTCATCTAACTCATTCTGATCACCAGATTCATTTTCATTATCATCTTTCTGGTTACTGGTTTCATCTTGTTCTGGTTTTGGCTCATCGTTTGTTGATTGTTGATCAATTGTATCATTTTCCTTAATTTCTAATAGTTCACTTTTTGATTTACCATTTTCTAAATCGATCTCATTAGTGGAAATTTCCTTCTTGACACTTGGATCATCTGAGATGTTGTTTTTCACTTCAACCACCGGTGATGGATTATGATTGTTACTTAGATTCCGTTTACTTGGTGAATTATTTATATCAGAATTGTTAACAGCTGATGATGGGAATAATTTATTGTGATAAGCATCACCGGTTGTCTGTAATTTAAGGTAATGATCAGCGGTTCGACCTCTCAAATCAATAATCATCGGATCTCCACCAGCATCTAGAAGCTTCTTGTAAATTTCTTGCTGTTTATTTTGAGCAGCAATGTGAAGACCAGTCCGACCAAACTAAATTGATTGGAAACAATTAACAACATTATAATTGATCTCTTATGTTTATAAATAATCCAATTTACCTGATCCTTCAATAGAAGACAAGAAGAAGTAAATTCTTCCAACAAATAGTCAACAATTTCTGGTTGATCTCGAGATACAGCCAAGTGAATGGCCATTAGACCATTTTCATCTTTGGCTCGAATCAAATTTGGATCAGTTTCCAATATCCTTTGAACATTAGACAATTCACCATTAGTTATGGAAGCATGAAGTGTCCTGATATTATCAAGAAGATGTGGTAATCCTTTAAGAAATTTTCTCGACTCATCGCCCCAACTCGCCCTTCCCAAAAGGGCATCACCATAGCCATCAAGTGTCAACTCTAAAAGTGTCCCAGCGTCGCCTTCGTGTAAAGCATTGCTAATCTTTTCCCTTATACTTGGTAATAAGATTCCTCTTCTTTTATGTAAAGGCGACAAAACCTGATGATGACCATCACCATTTTTACGTTTAGAGTTGACCGCTAATCGGGAAAGCTCAGCGGGCAATGGTAACAAATGAACTCGATAATACTCAGCAGTTTTACCAACCTAATTTTCCAGCAAAATCAAACAAAAACACCAACAATCAATCGGATAATTTAATGGAAATAATCTTCTTCTATTCTTGGATTTTAATTGTTATCCAATTCATTTCCTCTCTCTCTCTACTACAACTTACCGAATCTCGAGCTCGTTGATCAGCACCCGATCTAAGAAGCACTTTGTAAATCTTTTGGCCATTTTTGTGAGTCGTTGCTGCAGCATAATGTAATGGTGTCCGACCCTCACGATCACGAGCATTAACTGTCTCCGGAAAGCGATCTAGTATAAATTGCACCACATCAATATGACCCAGAATGACCGCTTTATGAAGCGGAGCCATACCCAAGTGATCTTTAGCGAGAGCATAATCATTTTTATCTAAATGATCTTGAAGTCCAATTAGATCACCGCAAGAAACCGCCGCATGTATTTTACGAATTTTATTCATCACTTTGGGTAATGTTTCCTGAATATAATTCTGTATATCGGGTGATTCTTTAGCCTGATCGGACATTTCCACCTTCGACTTGACCCGATCTCCATGTCCCTCTAAAATGGCTCCTTCCAGGGAACTTAAATCTGCCTCTTGGATCCATTTTCTTAAATTGGCTGATGTAACTTCTCCTAATTATTTCATTTTCAATTCGCAAATTGGTTTCATGATGATTACCAGTAGATTGTCACAATTATAATATCAATAAGATGATAACAATAACAAAGATTAGGAGACATTATTTATAATGAGAAAACAAACTAATCAACAAAAATAATGGATTAGAGCCGATGTCTCTATCACTCTCTATGATTGTGACTTGATTGCGGTAACAATTTAAATCCTATCCATTAGTGTAACAGAAATAAAAGATTAACAATCAAAGTGCAAGGTAATCAAAGTAAAATCAAACAAAATGGAAGGAGTTAAAATCAATTGTGAAGATTGTATCAATATTTAGGTGATCAAAGAAATTGGTTCAACAATTAGAATTGCAAGCAATTTGGTGACGCAAGTTTCGAAATGTGAATCTAATCTATTAATTGTTATTAATAGATTGTTGTTATAATATTGATTATCGAAAAGTAAAATGGAAGGAAATTAAAAGTAATTCATTCGCCAGCAATTTAATGTAAGTTGTAATTTAATCAAAATTCGTTTCCAATCATTTAAATTGAATTTTGTTTCACTTCTTTCAATAGATCATCGTTGGACTTTAGAAGCAGAGACAAGACAAACGAAGGGAATGGCAACGTAATCAACAATTAAGATGGTGATTTGGATAAAATCGACTGACTAATTAACCTTTAATTACACATACACTCTTTAGCTCATCTTACCTCGTTTTCTAAATCGTCTCACTGATTTTAATCGAACTGTCGGTCGACTTTGGTTAATTGAAGATCGAGTTGATTTCCTCCGTTGAGCACATTTTTCAATTTTGGCATTTTGATCACAATAATAAGATAATGATGATGAAGATGGAGATTTAACATTATGAAGATGAGAGTGTTGATGAGCTGAAGAGGGCGAAGGACAATGTTTATTTCTGTCCGGAGGCCATATCATTGGATGACCTCGTTGGTAACAACCTTGAGTCACAGTGAAATCGTTAGATGAAGACCAACGATGGATTAAAATTCGAGGTGGTTCTCGTTTACGCTTCCCGGGTCCTCGAACTTTCCTCGAATTGGTCCTTCGAATTCTCATCTCATCAGACAGTTGATTTCTCTTCTTCTTATGAGAAGATCGACGATTTAAAGGCTCTTAGAAAGATGAATCAATACGTACAAAGGGTCAGAGGTAAATCTATATAAAGGTCATATTGGTCAAGTGACTAAATGTTATTTCGTAACTGAACGATAATAACAAATATTCAATGACCATTTTTCTCTTTTTATATTAAAGTGATTAATTAAGTTTAATTCTATATTCTTAGATGGACCCTCATTCATAATCTGGATGCTGGTCAGTTAAAAGGAAGTCGAAACTTGCGATCACCATTAGTCAATTGTTTGGATAATGTTAATAAAATCTTAATCATTTTCTTGTTTTGCTGGGAAAAATTAGAAATTATAAAACAAAAACTATTCTAGTTAATTATCAAGCTTGGAATCAGCTACGATTAGCTACTAATTAAACGCTGGAGCTAATCAATTGGTCTAACATGCAGATCATTTTGAATAAGTCATGATTCCCAATCTATTATATTTAATTTGCCAGTTTTTTGGAGCAATTATTTAACATCCACAACGAAATCAATAAAGTATTTAGATAGTAAAAAGTATTAATAATAAGTGATTTACTTAATATTGCCGGTGAAGAAAAGTTTAAACTACTACCAGGCTTTGAACGTAAATTGGCCTTGGTCAGAAGAGAGTGGGAAACATCACCCACCGAACCAGTGCTTGACCCTCCATCGGCATCGCCAGTTTCATGGTCACTCAGTCCAGTGTCACTTTTATATCCACTTAAATGAATCTCAGGCTTACGAGAATCAGGTGATAATCCTCTTCCTTTAATCGTACCCGTTATAATGGACATAATTGTAAATTCACAAGTAATTTAATTGTCAGCAACCAGTGGAAAAATAGATTGAAAACCATTTAATAGAATCACAATCAATGGTAGATCAATTAATACAAATTGATTGAAACATTTTTACTCCATCAACCTTAATTACTGTTCCTAATCAAATCGTAATCAGTATAAATCAACTGATGAAAAATTAACCTCATCGACTATGATAACAAGTTGATATTAGAAGTTAATGAACAACAACAATTAGAATTGATTATTGCGCAGAAATTGAGTTGGAAATGAACTATTGATATCTCTTTCTATGTGGATATCATGTCTATTATCATGGTGCTCCTGATAAGATAATCAATTGATTTAGTTGTATTATTATCATTACCTGTGTAAACCATTCTCGAAATAGGTTCAGAACTTTTCGTGACACTAAACCAGTTCGATCAATCAATTCTTTACCTTTTTTATATTCTTTGTTTTTACTTTTCCTTTTGTTTTCCATTTAAGTTATTATATCGTTATAACTTTGTTTTCACTCCCAAAATGTTCAATTCTAACGATAATTTAGGTCAAGATAATTCGAACTCGATTTAATCCCATCTATTAGTCTGATAACTCGATTAGTCCTCATGTCCAACTACAATTTATTGAATAGATTCAAATTTGATCCATTCTGATGATTAATTGATTTCTTGTTTTTCTTTTGAAGGATCGAATTGGATTACTGTAGTTACATTTGATTGTCATTTAGAACTTTTTTTCTCACTTACTTCGACAAGGTGATTTTGATTTAATTCGGTTTGCAGTGTTTATTGCGTAGTTTGCGTTTAAACGTTGACTTCGTTTCATTAATTGTTGCAAGTTAATCTGATCGGGAAAACGTAAATAGTATTCAGCCGATCGTCCTTTCTGTTGTAAAAACAAGAAAAAAAAAGTTCAACAATTACATTCATCGATTGGTCCAATAAGCGACACTGGTGATTTGGATAATAAGGTACTTACATAGTCTGGTAGATTAGCCGAAGCTCCGTTTTTAACTAGAACATTATAAATCATCCGATCGTCATCTAATCCTGCTGCATAATGAAGTGCTGTTCGTCCATCCTGAAGGTCAAGTGAATTTCATTAGAAGTGATTAGCTAATTGTTGCTGTTAATTTCTCATAGATAATTAGTTACAAGGGAGTGAATTATGACAAAGAAAAATCAAAAGTAAGAAAAAAATTCGAGTTTTTTTCTAAAAAACTTTTTTTATCGATTTCTCTCTCTTTCTTTCTTTCTTTCTTTCTTTCTTTCTTTCTTTCTTTCTTTCTTTCTTTCTTTCTTTTCTCGTTCTCTCTTGAATCTCTTCACGAAAACAGAATATTCTAACTGAGAGATTATCTCGAAATTTCTCACAACGATCGATTATCTAAATTATCGTCGATTTGAAAAGAAATTGCAAATTCTAATCCATATAAACTCACATGATCACGAGCATCCAAGGTAGATGGATATTCACTCGAAAGGAAAGAGGCGACTTCAAACTGACCATACAAAACGGCCTTATGTAACGGAGTACAACCAATTTGATCTCGAGCGAAAACGATCCCCTTCCGATCGAGGAGACTTTTCAAATCATTAACATTACCTCTTTGAGCTGATTTATGAAGTTCATTAATCTGATCCTATTGATACATTAAGAGAAACCAAAATATAAATGCTAATTATTAGTTAACAATCAATTCTAATCAATTACATACAATTAACGATGGGACATTTTTAAGAAACTCTTGGACAAGAGGAGCGGATGAAGTTTCACCAATCAACCGATCACCATAACCTTGGATAACAATTTCCTCGAGTGTTATTATATTTCCCTGCTTAATTAACTCTCTTATATTACTACGATGCATCAATGATCCTTTGGCACACCAGCAATTTAATCAACAATATGATTATGATGGATAAACAATTTAACATCCCAAGAGAGAAATGAAGAGTAAAACAATTAGTAAATTGTAATCATAATAGGCTCATAATAATAATAATAATAATTATCCGTAAAGGAAAAAACAATAATCCAACAATTTAGCAACTAAATCCAAGGAGTAAAAGTAATTACTGTGTGTTGTTTATGTGCTTGACAATTGTGTGTATTAATATAACAATTAAGGGAACCAAAATTTACCAGTAACAATCAATCAATCAATCAAACATTAAAATAGGATTGATATTAAATACTATTAAATAGTATTACCCAAAAACAAAAGCAGGTCAATTGTAACCTCAATCAAAACACAATGATTATTGCCCTTAATTGTTGTATTATCATTATCAGTTTTCAATGATAACAATCAAATTTTGCTCCATTACGATAACTAATGATGAAGATAATTAATGATAAACTCATAACTATCAGATCTTTGTTGGATTTTGTTGTAAAACTGTTGAATCAATTTTCGTTGATTCGTTGATTTCTGTTGATTGTAATTGTTTACTTCTTACTTGATGAATGTATTTTAGACCAACTTTGTGGATCGATGTTACGACTTGCTGATTTGCGACTTCGACGTTGACCTAATGGACGGGATACGATCGCACTTTCCCTTAATACGACAACGGAAACACCATCTTGATGATTTAAATAATCTTCCGGTTTCTTACCAAACTGTTTACAATCAAAGAAGAATAGAAAATGAAAAACAAATTATCGGAAAAAGTTCTAACCAATTATCATTAATATCTGAATGATGATCAGTATTTAAATTTAGAATACGAGTTGATACAATTAGTGAATGTTGATTATTGATTCTAAATGCTGGTGACCTTGATTTAATTCTCATTCGCATTTGAATAATCAACTAGACACTTTGATTGTCATCTCAAGGAGAAAGGAGGAAGACAGATAAAGTCCATGGACTGGTCAATCCAGGCGTGTCCATAATAGTAATATTTATAACCTATTATTAGTATTATTATCATGATGACTTCTCATTGATAATTAGGATTCATTTTGGTGAAATCTTTTATCCTTGACATACACACACACACACACATTCACTCAATGGACACACTGGACACACTGGACATTAAAAAACCGGAACAAGAAATTATTTGAAAAAAAGAGCAAGTGAACAGAGGAAAGGTAATAATGGACACGAGATTAACTGTTAACGAGAAATTATCACGTTATAATTTGCTACAGATAATTGTCACAAGTTAATCATGAATGAATGGAAATTGAATATCTCAAAAACAATTAGACTAATTAGTTGATTAACTTACCATATCTAATGATTTCTCATCAGCACCCGCTTCAGATAGCATCCGATAAAGATCAGCACTTTCTGGCAAAACGGCAGCGTAATGTAAGGGTGTCCGTCCTCGCTAATCCAACGGTGGATTAAACAAGAAAAAGGATTAAACTTTTACCTGAGTTAATCTCTTAATTACTATTTACATTTGATTATCATGAATCAATGAACATGAAAAAAATCGAGAATCGAGTAAGAAAAATGAAACCCAAATGAAATAATATCGATAATTTTTTCTTCTCTCTTTCTTTCCTTTCTCTCCTCTAGGGATTTATCTCACTTTTCCACCCTGAGAAACCCACCCCACTCCCACCTTTGGTTACTATTATTTGGCATATAACTACAACAATCAAAACAATTTAGGTCAATTGATCATGAGTTACCATGACACTGGACATTACGATTGAGGAAAAGTTTTTTTTTTCAAACCTTATTGAAAAATCGTACAATCAAAAGTTAATTCACTTATTTATTAACTACCAGCAATCAACTATGAATATTAACCAAGGATCATCATCTTATCATCAACTGATCCGTTTAATTGTTGTTGTTTACCTTAATTGTTTTCAATGAAAAGCAATTAATCAAATGGGTAACCTTGAATTTGACATGATTGTAAATTCTGGTGATGATTCTGGTTAATGTAATAATTTGATGATAGTTTATTGATAATTTTACTAGTTTGATTTGATAATCAACTAATCTTGTGGTCTAATCATTTGGGAGTGTGTAAAAATCAAGAGTCATTATTATTAATCATTGACAATCAAATCAGGTAACAAGAAACAAAACAAATTATCCAGTCTATTAGTTGATTAATTTACTAATAAAATGATTGTATTTTTATTTCTCATTGTATCTCCATAGTTACCTTAATAACTGGGAGTTAATTATTTAATAACTTTTACAACAATTTAATCAATTTTTTACTCTCTCATTGAGAGAGCAGAAAATTAATGATAAATTACTGGAAATGAATATAATATTTTGAGACATTGATTAACGATTGACGATCATATCAAATTGTTGGTTTACTATTATTATCGTTATTGTTTAATTGTCTCAAACAAAAAGTGGAATAATTTTCTTTCAGTTCTGATTGATTCGACCTGAATTTTTCTTTCCGTTTATTGTTCAATTTGATCATTAGAATCATGTTAATGATGATGATTGGGTGACAATGAATGTTAATTATGATGATTGAGAAAACAAAAAAGATGATTAACTCACATTATCTCGAGTGTGTATTGTTGATGGAAATCGTTCTAAAAAATATTCGATGATTTCTTTTTGACCATAAATGACCGCTTTGTGTAGAGGAGTAGCTCCCATTTGATCCCGACAAAAGGCCAATCGTTTCCGGTCGATTAATTGTTGAACATTACGAAGATTTCCTAAGGTAACTGCCCTATGGATCTCATCGATTTTTACCTTTCGATTTTGGGTTAGAACAAAAAAAGCAAACAATCAATTGACATAATCGACGAGTAGGTGGATAAGATTTTAATCATTTCATAGGAAAATAAAGAGTTAATCAACAATCAACGAAAACAACCAGTTCGAAATCAATTAAAACTAATAACTTTTTTCTTCTTTCTCGTTAATCATGTTAATTGTTATTAATTCTGTTGATTTTTTCTTCTTCTCTAATTGTGTTGAATGAATTATTTTTATTATTCTTACCATGTCGATTGATTTATCATCATTTTTCTGTATATTTAACATCATATTAATTTCTGGACTTAAACTTGGTGATCCTAATGGTTGATTGTGATTAAATTGATTGTTAGATTTAAATAAAGTTGATGGACTGGTTGATTGACTATTGTTATGGTTTTGATTGTTAACCGATGTTGAATTGACCAATTGTGTTGGACGCATTGTTATTGTCCACTATAGATGATCGTCAGCTGATTTCACAATTTAATTGCACAACAGAATCATGTGATTAGCTTAATTGTTACCATTCAGTAAAGGTATTGGACTTGATGAGAATGAAAAAAAAACATTATTATTATTAAATAAACTAAGAATAAGGGGAAAGATTGTCACATCTTTAATTGTTTGCAATTAAATTACGTTGTAGTATTACTATGTTCAGATTAAACTGTTCACCATCAATTGTTAATCTAAATTGTTGGTTGATTGTGATTACATTGCTGAAGAAACAATCGAATCAATCATTTCCTTTGGAATCTGCGTACAATTGATTTACTATTTTTAACCAAATCTCTTTAATCAGGTCAAGGTAAATTACTTTGTCTTCATTAATTATCAGGTAAAAATGAATAATTAGCTAATTTGTGGTCAAATTAATTGATTAATCATCAAAACAATCAGCAAATAAACAGAGTAAATGTTTATAAATCATAATATGAGTTTATCGATATCAACAAAATTAGAAAAAAAAATTTCTGGTTAATCATTAATGAAGAAAATCAATCGAAATCAATTGAAATTTGTAATTCTCATTCGGTTAACAATTAGTGTCACAATTAACCAACGTAATTTTGATTGATTGATGAACGATGATGATTATTATTGAATATAATTGGTGCAATTATCTAATTATATATAAATTTAAAGAATTGAGATGTTGATTTAAAATTAGAAAAGCAAATTTACAATCAAGAGGATTTAGAAAGGAAAAGTTAAATTACTAAATTATCCTGATTTACTTTGAGAAAGCAAAAAAAACTAATCATGATTAACTGTTTCACTTAAATCAATTAGTGACAGTTAAGAGTTAACATGATAAATACAATTAAATCGATTCCGGTTTCAATAGTTAACTAATTATATTAATCATGGATTGTTTTAAAATTAGAAAATTAATTTCATCCGATAATGTTAATATCTCATTGATCCGTATTAAGAATCATGAAAATTAAAGTTAATCATGATGAAGGGAAAATGTTACAATCATTTCTAATGATTAAAATTTAATCTTCTTAATAATCTAACCAATTAATTATATATAAAAATGGTGACAATATTAATAAATCTAATACTTTGGTGATGATGATGATTGGGATTATTATTAATTGTTGTTGATTGTCACCCACCTTTAAATAACGGGATATTTAAAACTCACAATCAAATGATTGTTGACAAACAAAAAGTTTATTTATGTTTACAAAATGATGATGATAAATAAGATGTAAACAACAGGACATTAGATTGTTATATTTTTTGATTGTCATCATTATCATTAAATTGCGTGTTGATTAACTGCAACAATCAATGATAATCAGACAAAAACAACAACAATCAGCATCAAGTGACTTGAGAAATATATAATTTGGTTGACAGAACATTAAAATGTTGGTTAACATGAAAGAAAGAGAGAAGATGAAATTTTATCATTGATACACATCAATACATTTGCATAAAGGTGAAAGATGAAAGATGATGATGATGATGATGATAAAATATTATGAAAGAGAAAGAGAGAAGAAAAGAAAGAGAATCCAATCCAAAGTAACATGAATTTGATGGTAAATGAAGATGAAAAGATGATGAGGATGATAAAAGGGAGAGACATGAAGGCTTGTCTAAACGAAGGAAGAAAGAGAAGAAAGAAAGTGAAGATAAAAACTGGATGAGAGAGAGAGAGAGAGAGATTATCGTTCCAACGAAAAAAGTTTGAGCTTCACTCGACGTTGTTGTTTGTTGTCATTGATAATTCACTTTATCAACAATCAGTTAATTGTTGTTCTGTTTTAAAATGTAAACTTGAATTGTGTTGTTAAAATTGTCACCATTAATTGTTACTTTTTCTTGTTGTTTAATCCCAATCATTGAGTTTTTTTCAGTCACAAATTCAATTACAAATCTCCTTTTGAGCAATCAAGATGATTAGTTGATAAAATAACTAAATCAATCATCATTTTTTCAAATTATCAATCAATTTGGTTAATAAATCAGCAGAAAATTTGAAAAAGTTGAAACTAATCAAAGTTTACCATTTAAATTAACTATCAATTGATTGGGATTGACACAAAAACACAAAACACCAAACCAAATGATCAATAGTTAATTATGATTATTATGAGATTATGTTTCCAAAGGATTAAATGGCCGTTAATCTGGTCTTAATTGTTGTGATTATTTGGTTTGTTATTTCAAGTCTTTCAACAACAATAACAACAACAACAACAGCATCTTCATCATCAACATCATTATCATCCTCATCCTCATCATCAGCTGATGATTCAAAAACTTATCTAGTCAATGGTAACAATCAAAATCCACATAAAAATAATTACTGGTTCTCATTTGCATCTTCATCCCCATCACCTGTAAGTCATTCAATCATTGAACTACCTGGATTATCATCATTATCATCCGCATCTATTGATAAACGTCATTATAACAATGATCTCGATGCCATGGAAAACAATCCCGCTCGTGATTACGCTATATGGTCGGCGATCGCTTCGTCTCTTGCAAAGTGGAATCACATGAGAGTATCAAAGTTACGACAAAGGTTCAAATTAAAGTCGATCAATTTTTCAAGATCAATTTCTAAATCGAAAGGATCAACTAAATTATCATCTTCAACCTCAACACCAACAAGTACTTCATCACCTTCATCTTCATCTTTATCTTCATCATCGTCATCACAAAAAATAGTCAAACATCATCATCGAGTCAGAAGGTAATGGAAACTTTTTTTTATCGAACTTGAGTTCTAATAACGTTCTAACGTGATTATTATTACAATTAACTCGTGATAATCACTTTTGATTGTTAATTACGTTTCCGTTGTCCATCATGTTAAGTTTATCCTGTTAATTGTTAACTAATGACTACAATATTAATCAAAAGTTTCAGATGAATATGATTTCTTTGTGTTTTGTTATCGTTTATTAATTTTTCCCCTCAAATCACAATTAGTTAATTATTATCACAACTTATTGATTGTTGAGACTTTCTCATTGATCTATAATCTCATTGAAAGTTCATTGATTGTAATCATTGACAGTTAATTGTTAAAATTTGTCAGGGATAAGAATCAACTTAAAAAAAGGAAACAACCAATTTTAATTATGTTTTAATTGTACTTCAAGTGTCAAAAAATATCCTTTAATCAACACAATCAAGAGGAATAATTTAAATTTCAAGTGATTTAATATTTATCCAAATTGATCACAATTAGTCACAACAATCAGTTAACATTAACAATCAGCAGAATAACAATTAGAGTAAACAGAAAAGTTTTGATTAAACCAAACAAATGAAATGACAATTTAAATAAGGAAATTGATTGAATATTAAAATTTGTTTCTCTTTAATTATAACAGAGATGAAGAAATGATTTGCTATCGCAACATTGGTTGTTTTCGTGATGAAGGTCCATTTGATTATTTGGACACTTTACCTGCCGCTCCCGAAGTGATCAATACAACCTTTACCTCTACACTCGGACCAATCCAATTGAAGGGTCACCAATTGACCTGACCAATACAAGCTTATCATTAACTGATTTTAAAGATTCGGGTCCAGTTAAAATAATAATCCATGGATTTGGTTCAACTGGACGAGATCCTTGGGTCCTACAAATGGCTGAAGCTTTACTTTACGTTGTAAGTATTGACCATGAAAATGAACCTTTTTCAACAATCAACTAATTGTCAACAATTAGTTAACCATAGAGACTAAAGAAAAACAAAATAGTCGAAAAACTTTTTTTTTTCTTCCACAGTTTAGTAATCAAGGTGATCTTAAATTGTAAACACTTTGAACTTCCGTTATAATAAGGCAACATATTGATCTTAATTTAATTGTTACAATTGTTCACCAAACAATTGAAATATCATCTTCAATGATTATGAATGGGAAAAGTTAAATTTCCTGCTAACGATTGGTACGATTGATGATTAAGGTTTAATCGTTAACATCATGTCACAAGTTGATTAGATTGTTAAATTAAACTACACAATCAAAAATTATCATTATAAATATTGTCTTTACCATGAGAAATTAACGATTTAATCATTATGATTAGTGGAAGAGTAAAAAAACTTTAATCAGTTGATTGTTGATCAATTGTGATCAAGTTGAACTACAAGTTTTCAGGTTTCAGTTTCTTGGTCTACTGAGTAATCAGTAATATCGTCATGATAATGATGATGAGATTTTTTTTTCTTCTTGATTTGATTACCCTGAATGATGATGATACTTTTATTTGATGATATAATTAAACTTTGACCATGACAATTTAAGATTAAATCAACTGTTGATTTTCAGTGATAGCGGTAAAATAATCATGATTTAACATGGATGATGATTGGAAATGAATTAAATTGGGGCGGAAGATAAAAAAGATGAGGATGAATTAGATGTTTAAATAGACTTGTTGTTGATTCGCTTTGTTTCATTTTCATAAGATGATAATGATGATGAAGATGAGGATGAGGATGAGGATGATGAAAATAAACTCAAGATGAGGATGAAGTAGTTTACCTTTTTGTTTTGTTTTCTTGATTCGGTCATTGGCATTGGAGGAGGAAGATGATGAGGATGATGAGGATGACCGTGGAGATGATGTTAGTTGTGGGGTGGAAGATGATGAAGATGAGGATGATAAACTTTCCACCCTCATCCCCGGTAACATCTAAATCTGGTCAATCTATTTGGGTCAATTGGTTTGGGATTAAAAAAGGTTTCTAATCAATTGTCAGCTACTGTAATCAATTGATTGTTCTTGGTGGTGAAAGTCATTAATTGCTTCCCGTTAACTGTAAATAATTAAGTCTTCATTTATTACAATCAAAAATTACGATCAATTTTATTATTACGATTAATATTTTATCTGAGTAAACTTTTCAATTGGAATAACAATTTATTAACTATTTTTGACTTCAATCATTTAGTTTTCTGATCGTTATTTTCAACAATTAAGTTAATCTGAATTGATTATCATGTAAATGATTTAGAGACAAAAAGAAATAATTTCTGGTGATTACATTTAATTGAGAAACAATTAAATTACCATTTTGAAAGGGAAAATTAAGAAACGTTATTGTAACAATTAAATTGGTCGATAAACAATTAACATCAATTACTTGATTGTTAATTGCGTGTTTCCATTGAAAGGTAAAACTTGATAATAATAATCAACAATTAAGTTATTTAAGTAACAACTTTTTTGACGAAAAGTTGTTACAGTCGAGTGACAATTTACTAATCATATTAATAACAATTTAGATGTTAATTGTTAATCAAATTGAATCAGCGAATCCGTTTCTCTTTAACAATTAAGGGGAAAATTTCAAAAGGGGGGAAGGTTAATCACAATATGATTAATCCAATTGTTGTTTAACAGTAATCACAATAGTTTCAATCAGTTTAACTAATTGTTTGGTTTAATTTTAACAGGACGATGTCAATGTGATTGTCGTTGATTGGGGCAATGGGGCAGCGTTGCCCAACTATGTCCAAGCGGCGGCCAATACCCAACTAGTTGGTAAACAAATCGCTCTACTAATTAAAATGCTGATGTATGAAAAGGGCTACAAAGCGGGCGATTTTCACTTGATTGGCTTTTCCTTGGGCGCTCATATCGCCGGTTTCACGGGAACTGAGGTTAAAAATATTTCTCGAATAACTGGCCTGGATCCCGCTTCTCCGCTTTTCGAGGGTTACACGGCAAAAGTACGTTTAGACTCGGAGGATGCCCAATTTGTGGATATTATTCATTCCAATGGTGACTCATTTCTCCGAGGTGGATTAGGTTCTTTTGAGCCGATGGGCCATGTTGACTTTTACCCGAACGGTGGACGAAATCAGGTCGGCTGTAACTCAGTGTTTGTCGGAGCAATTAATGACATCTTTTATGGTCGATGGCAATCACTTTGTCACCACCGGAGGGCATTTAGATTCTTTATCGATTCGGTAGTGGCAACTTGTAAATTTCACGCCTTTTCATGTGACAATTATGCTAAATTTTTACGCGGTGAGTGTTTCGACTGTGGTAAAGATGGAACCGGTTGCGGAAATATGGGCTATTTTGCCAATCAATCACCCGGTCGAGGTAAAATGTACCTTGTAACTCGAGATTCTGAACCTTTTTGCGGTAAGTTAATTGTTATCGAACTTAAAAACCAATTAACTTAACTGTTTCCAACTTGATCCTCATAATTATTATTGTATTCCAATTAAAAACAGCCAATCAATACAAGATACAAATCGTAAGCAGCAGTGGACAATCATCTACCTGGGGCAAATTGGAGGTCATTTTTTTAACCAAAGATCGTAATGAAACCTTCCAATTAACAAGTGAATCAGATGAGATTAAGGATGAATCCTTAATCCAAGGATTAGTTGTTGCTCATCCGCTGGTTCGTAATATAACCTCGGCCATTGTTAAATATACCAAATATCGAGGTTGGATTTACTCGGGTAAAGATTTTTGGGGAATTGATAAAATCTTATTAACCAATTCAGATGGAGAAATGTAAGTTGAAACCAATCAAATCACTTTAATTGTCACAATTAACTTTAATCTCGTATGTGTGTTGCTTTTAAATTGTTACAATTTTCATTTAAATTTCTCCAAATTAAATCATCTTCATAATCTAATTGATGGTTAACATTGTTTCTATTAAGTTAATTGTTTAATGCATTTATTAATAAGATACAATCAATCAACAATAATTATCTTTAATCAAATTTAAATTTAATTCAATTATTTAAATAAAACACAAAATTTGTCTGTTGAAATTGTTTTCAGTTTCCAATCTGAGAAAAGTAATTTAATAAATTACCTAATTAAAGTTGATTAAAATGCCGAGAACCATTAACAACAAGTTAAGGTGATAATGATTAAGCTTATAAAATTTGTTAATTGTTGTTAAAACAAAACAATTATTCAGATGATCTGATTAACTGATTAACAAACACAACAATCAGTGTTTGTAATCATTAATCAATGGTCCACATCTTTAAAATTGATTGAGAGACCTGAGAAATCAATGAGTTAAAAGTTTTGTTCAATTTAATTAACAATCAAATTAACTGAACCATTGATTGATCAAGACAATCAAGTTAATTGCTGTACTCTTGTTGTTGAGCAAAAATCAAATTGAAATCCAAAACTGAACACACAACAATTGCAGATCGGATTATCTTTTGATCTGAATAGTTTTTTTTTCATTATCATTTCTAAATCCTGATTCTTAATCATCATTAATTTTAATTGTTATCCCAACAAACAGGATCTCATATTGTGGTTACAATACAATCCTGGAAGACAGTATATCTTTACAATTAGACCTTGTTAAAGGTAATTGTACCGTTGAGATAACCGCTGATTCGAGTCACAATAACCGATTGGCTCGATTGGTTTGGCAGGTCGTCTCTGGACCAACTAAAGGTCGTCCACCTAAATTACTTTGGCGATTATCATTAACCTCGGAAGATATTTGATTAATTGTTCTCAACAATTAACTTTTCTTTTACCTAAATTGTCCAAAAATCTTGATGATTGAACAATACAAGTAAATATTGGAGGGGAAAATTAGGTCGATCACAATTAAATCATCGATGATCTGGATTATTTTTAACTGAACTTGAGACGATTATTTATTGATCTTGATCTCTTGTCCTTTCACCTTTACGATGACCCTGACCTGGAAAATGGTTTCATATTAATTGTTGCCTATCATTTAATTTCTTGAATGGCGTTCCACTGATTACCAATTGCTGATCACCATTCATGATAAATTTTTCTTGCGACAATTAACTGAATTGTTGGACTAATTTTTTTTCATATTCTTGCGCCTTTCCTGTTAACAATTAACAAATTGTCACATTGATATTAATAATTTTTCAATTCTATTTTATTATCAGATTTTTGTATCTACTTTTTTTCATAATTAAATCAAAATCTTTGATACGATTAAAAGATTTACTATTTTGATTATCAAGACATTGAACTTGAATTCATATCATCATGTTGATTCTGATGTTTATCATGGTTTTTTTTTCATTTCATCGCTGAAGGAGTGAAATATATCTTATAGAAAAGGAAGATGAGAGAGAAAAAGTTCTGAACATCGACTCAGAAGATTCAGATTCCCACCGTGGGCATTCATGATGATGGTAAAAGTAGTTATAGGAAAGAGAGATGAACAGTTATCATGATGCTCGGGAGCATCTTCATCACGATTTGAGTGAGATGATGGAACAGAGATACAGAGAGAGTGAGAGATGAACAATTGGAAGATAAAAGTGATGAGGATAACTTGTAACTCGAAAAGATGAAATAAACTTTTCGCAACTTTTTTTCTTCGATCAATCCAACAATCAACTAATTGTTTATTAAGTGTAGAAATTGGATTATCAATAATGTTAACAATCTAAATGATTCTCAAAGTGTTCATGTCTTTATTAATCACAATGAAAGATTGTCTGAGTTTATTGAGAGGAAAAAAATTCGATTGAATTTTTTTTCCTAATTTTCATCCCGAATTCAGAGTGACCTTTACATTAGTCAGCCAAAAGTGTCCAGGAATCTTATTCATATGAAATTTCCACATCATTCACCATAATAATCAAGTGGATGGAATAAAATATTCATATAATCTGATTGGAACAAAAAAAGTTTCGAATTTTTTTCTCTCTTTTTTACCTTCGATCAACATTTTCGACATACAAAAGTCCCAATGGATTTTGTGAATTACTGTTACTTGTATTTACTTATACTTCTCTATGTAACAATCAAAGGTAAGCTGATTAACTACAGATTTATGGTGATCATCACAACTCAATTAGCGTTCAAACGTAACTCATTTTAGTGATTCTATCAATCCTTTAATTATCTATCATTAAGCTAAAGATAAAACAGTTGAAATCGCTCAGAATTCATCATGAATATTATGAGTTTCATCGTTATCATTGATTGTGGTTTAATCTGTTTGTCAAGTTGAGAAAAGTTCTCGGAAGCGGAAAAACTTTGACTCGAAAATTTTCCTCCTCAACCTTTCTTTGGAACTTTTCGTTTTTTTGTTTCTTCCTCCATGGTAAATGTTTATCTTCATGGATCATGAAATTTGATGGAATAATGTTCATCTCTCTCTCTCTATTTGTGTCCCTCTTTTGTAATGATAAGCATCATCCCAGAGGAAACAGAGGAAGTAGAAATGGAATCATTATTATAAGAACTATTTTCCCCTGAATTTCATGGTAATATTCATTTCTCCTAAAGTATATATATTCATTCAGTATGAATGCTTCTCCACATAGATATATATTCTTGATGTTAGATAACATTTGAAATGAAACTTTCGGTTATCATGATAAAGATTAATTTCATCAGAATCATAGTGTAATATCTGCTTATCATCTCATGTAAAGTGTTCATGAGACTCAGGGTAATGTTAAGGTGATCAGATTACCTTTCTGAATATGAACAATATTTTTATAGGTCCTAGTATAGGTTAGTGATCAAGAATTCACCATGGAAATGATTTGGAATATTAAAAATTGGAGCTTTGAATATGATGAAGAAAAAAAGTCGAAAATTATTCCAAAATTCAAAAAGTTCTAATGGAAAAATAGACTGAAATTCATCAATTGGGATTCGAAACTCTTCAAGGGTCAAGATTAGAAGTCCAATAAATGGAATTATGAAAATTTCTATGAATTTACAAGAGGAAGTAAAAAATTCTTATATCATGAGATTAATCCATTCCAATTCATAATTACTCATGAATATCGAAACGATAAGATCTAATCGAATAAGTAAATTATCAGAATGAATAATTAACTAATTGAGAACGAATAGAAAAAAGTTTTCGAACTCAACTTTTAATAAGTAGAACTTTTTTTCTTTACTTTTACCTTTTAAGAAACTTTTTCAACTTCGAATTAAATCAACTTAATGATCAATTGATTATCATCAAGTTAAATTATTAACATGATGATGATTGGAAATTTGAAAAAAAATCAAATTCAATGAAAAGTTGATAAGCTTCATGATAATAATCATCATGATGGAGTTGATGATAAACTCCCACCAGTGGGATGACTTGTAAAAAGAGACACAAATTGTAGTCAAAAAAATAAGATTGACATTGTTACATGAATGAGATCCATTCCCATGAGAATCTGAATGATTGAATTACCATGATGATGAAATTTATGATGATCAGTTGCTGATAATGATAGAGATTATTATCAGGTATCAATTGTGACAACCTGAGTGCTTGTGAAAGTTAAGAAAACTAATTTAAAGAGAATTTTGAATTATTAAGATTTTTTATTCTCGAATTTTATTTTTCGAGTTGTTAGTTTTTAAAATCTTTTCGAAATGAACAATGAACAAATTCATTTTCTCACTCAACTTATCATCATTTTCATTCAATTCCCCATGTAAAAAGTTATCACTAATGAGAATTTTTCTCTCTCTTGTTGTTCATTTCCTTTCCTCTTTTATTCACGAGTTTCCTCATGAATTTAACTGAACAATCATGATGATATAAGATCTATGACCATGAAGATGTTACTCAAATGATTAAATTGTATTCTTAAAAGTTGATCCTCTAATTAAACTTGATCTTAAACAATTTGAGAGTTGAGATAATTTAATAAGTTGATGTAATTATCTTAGGGAATTGGAATTGATGAAAAATCCGAATCATTAGTTGAATTGTAAACCTGAGAATCAGCTGATCATCTGAATCAGAATTTTGCTCTTTCTTTTCTCTCTTTTTCTCCCTCAACTTATTCAGATGATGGATCAGGTTCATCTTAATCTTAATGTAACATCTTCACAAAGATTTCGGTGTAATTTCTCAGTTCCAAAGGCTTTTATCTCAATATTTTCTCTCTCTCTCTCTTTGGGCTCAGAATTTATATTCTCTAATAAAATTCATGACTCACTTTGAAGAATAGAAAATGTTTTAGGAAGTTTTCTCTTTCTATTCACATGGATGAATTTCTTCATGAATCTTTTCCTTATCTCTCTCTCTCTCTCTTACTAAAAGTACTCGGTGATAACTTGGCGAAAAAGAATCGACAGAATTTTCAGATTTCCCTTCATGGGATAGAACCACTTACCTACTTTAGATGTAACTTATTATTATCATTTGAATTCATGGTAAGCCTTTTCCATGTCAATTCTATGTGAATGTTTACATTGTCCGGGTGAAGAAAAGTTACTCAATCTTTTTTTTTGTGTTCGAACTTCTCTTCAAAAAAAAATCCGAGAAAAGTTCTGACCCTGAATTAATTCAATGTACATTTTGAGAACCTTTTAAACTCATAAAAGTATTAGAAAAAAGTAACAATGAAACTTTTCGACTACTTCGAAGTGAGTCAGAAATGGAAAAGTTCTACTCACTCTCTTTCGAGTGTTAATTAGCATGAATAATGTAAACATCCTGTGGACAAAAAAGATTCAAAAGATGAAGGTTCGAACAAAGTTTGTGATTTAAACCACAAAAAAGTTGCTCTCAAGTTTTGATTCTTTTCATATGAAAATATGATTCATACGATTCCAAATTGACATCTACCCATGAACATGATGTTTCCATTTTTAAGAAAAAGAATTCAAAGCCTCAGGCCTTCTAGACTTTGATGATTGTGAGGTTGTCCAATTGAATATGATCGGTCAGCTATCATGAACACTAATCAGTGCTGAAGATTTTCAATACTCGGTGGATATTATTGCATTATCATTGGAAAGGTAAAGTAAACTTTTCAATTGAAGCGTAAGACTTTTTATATTTCATGAAAGAAACATGATGATTCTGATGAAAAAGATTCAAGGAAGAAGAAGATAAAAAGATGATAGAGAGAGAGAGAGAGAGAGAGAGCCAGGGAGTGGAGATGAAAAGAGTTAAATGTTGGAATTGGTGTGAAAAATAAACAAGATTTTCATGGTATCCATGAAAAGGAAATACACAGAATCTGAGAAAGAAAAGAAAATTCTTTAGAGAATTTGGAGAGAGAGAGAGAGACATGGAAGATAAGGAAGATAAAAGAAAAAGAGAATTTTTTTCTCAATGAAGATGAAAAGTTTATCCACCAACAGATTGAGTGTTTGTTTATTATCTGTATCTATTTGCTGTCCATGAAAAAAGGTGATGAAATGAACTATCAGTTGATATAAACAGTAAGCTAACAAATAGCATGATATGAACATGGTCAATTCAGAATCAGATGAAAGTTGATTAAGATTCAAAAGTGAATCACCAACGATTTATTTCAATGAGAGCAGCAAAAAAAATTTACATTTGATCTGAAAAATTGATGATTCTTTTCACCATAAATAGTGATTGATAATTGTCTCTATTTTTTTAAATAGAGAGTGAGAATAACAAAATAAAAAAAAATCACTCAACTTATTATCTGTTGAACATGATAATCATCACCATGAAGACGAAATCAGTTGTCAATCAATTGATTCACAGTGAGAAAAAAAAACCTCAACATTAGCGCTTCAAGACATTTTTATCTGACATTTTCAATGTTCACCAATTCAATTGAATAACTATCATCATGTATCAATGAAAATCTACTGGAAATTTTTTCTTCTCCTTAAAATTATTATCAATTCCTTCATCATCATCACTTATCTTCAATTTATCCAGCAGAATCCTTCCCCTGAACCTTATTATCTGTTATATAACATTTTCAAGTGATGGGCTGAGGTGATTCTCATTCAATAACATGTAACACTTATTTCACACCCTCGCTCGTTAAAAAAATATTTATCAATCTCCCACCTTGTGAACATTATATAATATCAACCATCATCATCAGTGTTCAGCAAAAAATAGTTGAGTAAATAAAAGAGAGAGAGAGATTCATGGGGAGAGAGAAAAGTTCTGATATCATGTTAGCTTTTCAGCTCACGTTTACTTTTCCTTTTTTTAAATGATTCACTCAGATTCTGTAAAAATGAAAGATAAACTTTACAGATCTAATCAGAGGGAAATAGGAAGAGAAAGATATTTATCTTTAACTCAGAACTTTGTCCAGAACTTTTTTCCTTCTTCCTTTTCCTATCGAACTGATATTGATTTTTTCTTCTTTTGGAAAACTTTTTTCACTTTTCTTTCAAGTTTTTCTCGTCGAGTTTACATTATGTTGATTGTACCAACAAGAAGAGGTTAAATTATTTGACCAACGAAATTATATTGTGACTGGTCAATTGATGGTCAATCATAAACTTTGTTTATCTTTAAAACTGTCAATCAATTTCGTTAGTTAACCATTGGCTCATTTTTGTCTTTCTTTACAAAATTCATTCGCGATGATTTCAGTCAAATTGTGATAATGATTAACTGTTGATTATCATCATCCAAATTAATGGTTATTGAATCTGATCAATTGAAAAACAATACTCATGAGATTTACATCATTTCACTTTCAGTACAAAATGAAGATGAGTGAATGAAGATGAAGATGATAAAATCTCATGATTTAAGTGAATGGTAAAAATAACGGTAAAACCAATTCGAGGAAGAGAAAAAAAAATTAACCATTTATTTTAATTAATCTCAAGGCTCTTAACTGTTTAGCTAATCCTCATAGTCTATAAATAGTAAGAAAGTTAATTTGGTAAGTTAATCAACTCAAGGTAATGTAGTTAACTGAATAACCTAGAAAACAATCAAAAAAAACCCAATGACAATCAACCCATTGAAAAGGTTCAAATCAAGACAATTTAAAGGTTATCGGTTTAACTATTGTTACTTTTGTGATAATTAAATTGTTTCAAGATTAACATGATTATCATCTTGTAATCGGATGATGAAATTGTTACAGTTTGAACATAATGTTTACTGTTGATATTATTTGTATAAATATGATAACACTTACCTGGAGGGATTGATGAGCATCATGATGATGATAATGAGATAATATGAAAAATTAGTCAATTAGATGATAAACTTTACCTTGATCCACTCAATCAACTCAAGTTTCCCTTTAATATATGTAATATTTATCCTCATTGGGAATTCAGTTCAATCTAATAATCATGATGATCAATTTATCTTCATCATGATAGGAATCACTTTCTATTGACCATTTTTATCATCATCTTATCAGATTATCGGATGATAATCATTGAGAAGCTTTTACCTAAAGTAACCATTGAAAATGTTGATTCCAATCCCTTCAAGCTTGATAACATTTGAATTGATCCCTTAAAGTTTCATCATCATGTTTACCATGATAATCAACATGATGATCATCCTCATCTTTTTCATGATAATTATCAAATAATATGTTTCTCCCAATCAGATTTAAAGAAAAGTTCATGGGTTCGAATATTTTTTTTGCTCGATTCTACATTATTTTCAGATTCGATTGACAATTAAAAGTATGTTAATTCCTAATCTTTGATTTTATCTATTCAATGATTATATTCCCATCATCATGTCATCATTATCTTCATGGTGATCATGAAGATGATGGAAATAGATTCATCATCTCTTGTGACATCTTCTCATCTCACTCTCTCTCACTCTCTCTCTCTCACTCGCTCTCATTATCTTCATTCTCATTTACCTTTACCTTTTTTTTCTTCATCAGTTCAGTAATACTTATCCATCATCTGGTGACTTCCGTCAACCGGAAATGACCTTTTCCATCAACAATGACCATCACTTTCCTCGCCCCACATCAAACTTTCATTATCTTTCTGATGATTACAATTATATCTCAAGTTTTTGTTTACTTTCATATCAATCATTTAAATTAGACAATCAATGGTTTTTATGTACTAAATTGTGATCAGTAAATTGTTGCGAGTTAATATTGTTTAGACTGTCCAATATTTACACCTCTCTAAATTGTAACAATTACTCATTTCCATGACTTGATCGATTAACAATTAGAATCAACATTTTCTAGTCATTCTTAGCATTCATTTGATAATCAATTGATTGTAACTCAATTTATTTCATGTTATTTACTCACATCTTTTTTTTTGGTTAACTAACAATTAACTGCAGTAAATTGTAACAATCAAGAGACAATGAAAGAGGAAAAAAACTTTAACAATTTACTGATTATCGAGAGTAAAAAAAACTCAGGTAACAACAATAAGGAATCTAATCTTGATTTGATCAACTCAATTAAGTCTGTTGTTTTTATCAGTTAATTGTCAAGTTAATCAACACCCACAATCAAGTTTAAGCTAAATTGTAACATTATCCTTTACATGTTAATTTAGTTTGTACTTTGAATGATTCACTAATTGTGTCATTGTTATGATTATACAGATATAGTCATTGTTTAATCTGATACAATTAGCAATTTTATTTACATACAGTTAATTATTATTCAATTTCAATTAATCATTAGATTGTATCAATACTACTGAAATATAACCAAACTTACTAATTGCAACAATTAACTGTCATTAAAAGTGCAAATTAATTTGTACGGTTGTTCAAGTCCAAACAAAATTTACTTTTTATTTTGGTTTACAATTAACAACATTATCATGATTAACATGATTAATGGTTGAACGAGTTCGTGATGACACCATGATAATCATAATCCGGATCCCAGGGTAACAATTAGCTAATTGTCAATGGGATTAAAGTCAAATATATAACATACATGTATATTACTATTGAAGGCAAAACCAAAACCCAAATATCTTAATTAGATCAATATTTCAATCACAATTAACCGGTAATTATGTTACTCTTAGTTTAATTGTTGTTATTCTCTCGTTGCTTATTCAGAATCAGATTTAACGTCTCTCCAAGTAATTAAATTTGAAGTTCCTGAAAAAGTGGTTGCCGGTAATTCAACTAAATTAATTTGCTCAACGGGACCTGATTTCGGTAGATTGGCAACAATTAAATGGTATCGTAACGATTCAGAGTTTTATCGAGTCCAATTTAAACCTCCAAGGATGAAAACATTTCCCGCCGTGGGAATCCAAATAAACGTAAGTTTTAATTGTTGGAAACCTTTCATTTGTAATCTTAAATCCAATCAATCTAATTGTCCATTAATCCATAATTAGAAAGATAAAAATCAACACTCATGAAGAAAAATTAATATCATTGTTATTAAATCGAGAACTTGATCATGATAATCAGTTAGAAAGGTGATAAAAAAGGAAACTCATTAAAGTGTAATAACTTTTTTACGACAAAGAAAAAGTTTCGTCGATTTTGTTTTCCAAAGTTCTAATGAGCAATTTGAGTAAATTCTAACTGTTGGAGTTTAATTTGATACAAATTGATTATTATTCAGTGTTAGATAAGAAATAAAAACCAATGCAATCAAAAGGGATAAGAGGAAAAATGAACAAATAATAAAAAGGTATCATCGAAACAAAATAACATTGTTATCATCATCATCTTCATCTTCATCACTTTATCATCACCAAAATAGCAACAACAATAAAAAAGATTCATTCATTTTTAAACAACAATTTTCACAGTCTATTTGTTTGTCATCCTCATCTTCATCCTCCTCCACAATTGACTTGATAATGTATCTTATCATCATGTTGATCATCATGATGATCAATATCATTTGGATGATGAAGATGTTTAAAACTGTATCAACTTCATCCTCCTCTTTCTGATCACTTGCTTGTAATACTTTCAACATCACTTAGTGAAAACTTGATTTTCTCCATCATCTTTATCATCTCTTTGTCTTCCTTTTATCATCTTTTAGATATCATTCCATTTATAAACATAGATCACAATCCTCTCCACCCTTACCTGATTATCCACCTTGAATCCCATGGATTATATTCAAACATTTACCTAAGGAAAAACATCTGCTATGGGAAATAATATGCTGAGAAAAATGTTGTTTTTTTTCATATATTTATGTATCTTATTTACATGATATAACATTATCATTTGAATGGATGGATGAACCAATTCAGTTCAATAATCTCAATCTATGAGTTCATTCATGATGATAATGTTTACACAAAGTGAGAAATCAATGAATAATAATGATCAATTCAAGTGACTCAATTTAATGTTGAAATAAATTAGACGAAAATGATCAATGGTCATTATTAGAACTCGATTTTAACATATTATGACCAGAAAAACTCGTAAAGTTACATATCGATAATTTTTTCGTATCTCTTCAAATTATAAAGTAACAATTTAAATCTCAATTCTCTCTCTCTCTCTCATCCTCTGGGAGTAAACTATGTGAAATGTTTGATTCATGATCATGAAACAGATTACCGAAGATAAGTTCATGATGATGATCAGAAACCACATGAAAAAAACAGAATCAACAAGATGAAAATTCTGCATAAGTGATAGAAGTAAAAAAGTTCCAATTCATATTCCCATGGTAAGAGAAGATGAAATGAAGATGATGAAACTCGACGACGGCGGAGTGAGTGAGAGAGAGAGAGAGAGAGAGAGAGAGAGAGAGAGAGTATGAACAATTGACTAAATCATGAAAAAATTATAATTGTCATCAGAATTCATGATCAAATTGATTAAGTTGATCATTTGAGATGGTTGAAAAAAAGTAAACATGTTATAAATACACGATAAAAAAAACTATCATGACAACTCAATGAGTGATTACCATTGAAAGCTATCATCCTAATCATCATCATTATCATCAAGTGTGAATCATTTGATAATAATAAACGGTAAATATTATCATCATCGTCATCATGTATGAGATGAGAAAGATGATAAAATATTACAATCATTTTTTATCTAACATCCTTTTTCCTATTTTTCTTACTTTCATCTTCTTTATCTATGTTTCTCTTACACTCAATTCACTTCATCATCCTCATCTCAACAACATGTATCATCATCATCATCATCAACAACAATATCATACAACTGACCAGTGGTCACTTAAACAGAAAGAGAGAGAGAGAAATAAAAACAAGGATATTTTATTCATGATAATAATACAATTTACAGGAAGTTGGTTGGATATACAGAGTGAGTGTGGGTGTGGATAGTCAGATGTGGGTATCGCGTGAGTGGGAGATGATGATGATGATGATGAGGAGGAAGATAAAAAAAGTATATTATCTAGTCATTAGTACAAATAGACATAAAGTTGATGGAAGTGAAAACTTCAAGTGATGATACTGATGATGTTTTCAAATGGGAGAGGAGGTGGAGAGGGTTGATGGGAGGAAGGGAGAGGTCAGGAAGTGATAAAGGATGATAGAGATGATGATAATCATGATAAAAAGTAATAGATGAAAGAAGAAGCTTTTTAAATGATATAACTAGTTAGCTTTTTATTTATTTACTTTGTTTTCACCATCAACGAGATACTTTTCCTTGAACATTAAACTCAAACAATTGGACCTCGAAAAGACAAAATTTACCGTTAACTTTATATGATGTAAACACTTCTTACTGGTCAAGATAAATTATCGGCTCGAAAATCATTCACAATGAATTTTAATCCACATGATGAATCTTCATTCCAAGATAAATAGCATTTTCGCGTTTCTCAATGGTCAATTTCGAGTCTCTTTCAAATTGATTAGAACTTTTCTTATCCCTTTTCGATTTTAGGAAGAAAAATCTTCCAAAGGAATTGTTATTCTGGACAATGTTACCTTAGAAACCGCAGGTAACTTCAGGTGTGAAGTGACCAGAGAAATGGACTTTACAACTCATGAGAAAAACGGAACCATGGATGTAATTGAAATGTGTAAGTGTAATTGGTACAATTACAATTTCAAATAATCTAATCTCTGTCTCTGCCTGTTCCTCTTTCTTTCTTTGTGTTTTATACAATTGACCATCATGATTGACCACAACATTATCATGTCCAGTGCCTCCTCTCCCAGGAGATTCAAATCAATCTTCAACACCTCTATCAAGGACAACGATATTTATCATTGCAATTACTTCAGTGTTAATGTTAACCTGTTGACTGATAACGTTGATAATGATAATAACAGTAACTAAAAGTTGATTAAGTTAATTGTTGTTACTTGTGTGTATTATTATCATTATCATATTAATTTTACATCAATTCAATTCGGTTCCTTTTTATTGTGGCTCAATAAACAATCAATGGACATGATTGAATTTACAACAAAGTTACACCAATGCCTTGGACTAATTCATACAGTTAATCATCATCATCAACTTTGTTTCTCAATTAATATCATCATCAAGTGATGAAAACTGAAAACATCATCAGCATATATTTTAAAAAAGTGAAAGTTAATCCAAACCAAATCATTAGCTTATCAATTTACTAATTACTTTGGTTAATCATCTGTTAATTGTGCTAATTGTGAAGGGATCATAAAGGGAATCCATTTTGATTTGGAAAATTTTGTTTTTTGTTAATCAATGAAATTGTAAATTTTTATCATCAACATCATGATCCTGGACAATTTAACTTATCATGTAAAAATCAGCGGTTTTTAATTAATCTAATTAACACAGTTTTCTTGTTTATTTCCCTGTAGATTAATTAAATCAATTGGATTAATCATAAAGTTGCAAATTGTAATTGAGTTTTAATATTTAACTGAAATGATTAAACAAACGAAAAGGTGACAATTAATAAATTACTGTTTATCTAAATTGTTACAGTGATTTAAACATAATCTTTAATTGATTTGTCGACTTGACCAATGGTCAGATGTTGATGGATTTTTCCATTGGGTCAATTTTAGAAGGGGAAAAAAGTTCTAACAAGTTCGATGAATGAAAAGTTTTTTATTCGATTTATTTTTTCACCGAATCAAATGACAAATCAATTCGGAATGACCGTTGAATTATTGAGTCAATTAACTGGACAAACAATCAAAGTAACAGAAGAAGGAAAAAAAACTATCATCATGTTAATGAAATTCAGATGAAATTCTGATGAATGTTCATTGGAATAGAAAAGAAAAGAGAAACAAATCAAAAAAAAAAAAGAAAAAACTGTTCTCATTGCTCTTCAATCATCAAGGGGAGTTCGGTAAAAAGGTAAGATAGTTGATAATGGTCAGTATGAGATGACCAGTAGTCGAAAGTAATGAAAGTAATAAAAGATTTAGCCATAAATGTTATCCCTGTAAATGGACTTTCAAGATAAAGATAACAAGTTATTTTAATTTGATTCTGTTTTATATTAAGTATTTGTGTCCATCTGACTTATCTTTGTGCTGGTCACTCAAATGGACTTACTTACTGGTCATCTTTATCATCTTATGGTCAAAACATAAGAAGATCAAAGTAAAAAAAGCTAAATATAAATAAGACAAAACAAAAAGTAAAGTTTGTTCAATGACGATGATGATGATTATTCAACTCCCTTGATAATGATGATGATGATCAACATCAAATTAAATTTCAACATCATCAGCATTTAAACCAAACATTAAACTAACTCAATCAAGCGATTTGTTGATTGTCAACAATAATTGATTAACATTTTTCTTGCCCAATGAACAACTGAATCAAAGTTTGAAAAGTCTCTGAATTAATTTTTCCCCAATCATCATGGACAAGAATCACTTGTTTATAATATTCAGTGGGTTGGGTATTAAATTGTTCATCATCTAGTAATTGTTGTTATCTGATTGTTGTCCAAGGTTTAATGATGATTCTTGATTCCAATCTAATAGTTGACTGGACAATCAAAACTTATGATTACAATCTCAAGTGAGTTTGATGATATCATGAGCTAATGATTGGGCGATAACTTGATAATATTATTATTCTGTATTTACATTACATTATATTCATCATGTATATGAACATGATGATGGAGATGATGATAAGATTTGGTCCACTTTAAACACCCAAAATGAAAAGAGGGACCGAAATGTTGACCATGATGATGAACATAAGAGATGAACAAGAAATAAGGTAAACATTTCCGTTGGAAAATGGAATAGGAAATTCATAGAGAATCCATATTAATGATATTTTTTCTTCTTCTCTATCATCAGGGTAAAAGGAAGAGGTGGTTGGCTGGGTGGACAGTGGTCAAGTTGAATGGGAATCATGATGAAATTTACTTGAATCATTTTCCTTGTCAAAAAGTTTGAGTAAACAAACAGACAAACAACTTGAATGAATATGAATAATGATTATCAATGATAATATTGATTCTGTAATAGTTAAGTGTAATAATCAACTGATTATGATGAGAATCTAAGGAATGAACTTTTTTTACTCCATCTTCATCTTCATCTATTCATCATCACGGAAGTGGGAGGTTGTAGGGGAAGAGGGAAAAGTTTCCTCTCATAAACGGATGAGTTAAAGATCTGAATTCTTAGCACGGTTTTTGACCTATCATAATATTATCATCAACTTGAGCTCATAAATTTTGTCATGGTGATGAAGTTGATGAGTGTATATGAGGATGAGGATGAAGATGAGGTTACTAGTGAGTAGAGGATGAGACAGATGATATAAGCATCCGGTCATGGATGAAAATTGTCATTCAGTTGTGTTTCTTGTATGATATTTATGTGTCTCCGTTTTTATCTCAACATATTCAGGTAAAAATTTCAACTGAATCCATTGGAGCAATCAGAATAATAAGAAAACAACAAAGGCTACTTATCATCTTCATTATCATCCCAGTCATCATCATCTTCATCAGTAAAACCATCATCTTCTTTCATCATCTTTTATCTTCCACAAATATTATATATACTTTGAGTGAAAACTTTTTCCAACATCAACTCAACTCTTAACATGATGCAACTGAATCAGTTCAGATTTCCAACTTTTTTTTGTCTCTTTCATCATCTTCATCATCTCCCAAGACGATTCTCATCTTCTTATCCTCATCTCATCTTCAATCAATCCGATGATGAACATGATGATAACAAAAAATGTATCTTCTTATTATTCAATCCCTGATGAGATTTTATATCAGAATCAAGTTGATCAGCTCAGAATCAGTTATGATTCAATACTTTTAGTTTCCAATCATGTTATTAACATAATGATAATTATCACTTATCTTAATTAAAAGTGAATAGAGAAAAGCAAAAATTTTCTCTCTCTTTTCCAATTTTTCATCATCTTCTTAAAAATTCAATCTCATGCTGAGATGATGTGATGATTATCCTCATCCAATTTCATCATCATTAAAGCTCATGGTCAACCCATTGTCCAGTCTATTAACATTCAAACCGATTCTTATCCGTTAATCATCAGCAATCAAACTTTGTTTCTTGCCTTTGTTATTATCTATTAGCTGATCATCAATTATCAAAATTGGTGTTTTTTTGTTTCATCCTCATCCTCATCCTCATCATCTTATAACTACTAAGTAATTGGTCTTAATCTAATCCAGTAATTATTGATTTTGATTCCAGAAGAAAACAATCAACTAATAGTTACACCCTCGAGTTTATTATTATTGAAACTATGAATTGAATGTTAATCAAGTAAAGAAGCAATTTATATTCACCCAACAGATTAACTTATTGTCATAAATATATATTTTATCCTCTTCATACTGTGAATGATAATCAATATTATCATGGATTAATTCAGGATAATCATCAGAATCAATTTGATTAACACATAATCAAAATGAATCCACATTCAAACAATGAAAAAACTCAATGAACAAAAATCAATAGATAAAATGAAATCATCTTCATGATAATTCAACAAGATTCTCATGATAAAGATATAACAATAATAATAATATGAATAATTAATGAATATTATCATGAATGAATAACAAGGAAATAACTGAGAAAAGAAAAGCAAAAATTGTAACTTGCAATTTCCGGATTGTCCGGTGAAATCCATCACAGGTAAACAAAAGTATCAGATGATTTTCATGATAATAACCATGAGGATAAGTTGAATGAACAATCAGATTACAATTTAATTCAAATATTCATTGAAAATCCTGAATGAGAAAACATAATAATAATTTATTTACATTTGTCTTCTTGTTTGTGGTTACCAATCATTTGAATTTGAAACTTTCACCATGAGTTCATTGTTACTCGGATAAAACCAAAGACAATCCATCATGGTTATCATTGAATTTTATATTATCTTTCTTAATCTTTTACTTTCTATCTCCCCTTCAACCATGAAGATACATCTTTCATCGTAATCTTCATCATCATCATCATCATTATCATCATACTCTCACCAGAAAAAGAGTAAAACTTTCAGAGCCATTTGATTCCCATTCTTTTCATTTCTAATGATAATTGCGCCTTAACTGTAATTCTCATGATTCCTGAACTTTCCGAGTAATTAATTTGACAAAACCATTTTCTTGTATATTAATATGATAATAATAACGGCAATAAAATTAGTTGATTGTGCCACTTGGTTGAATTAAAATAATGTCAACTTTCTGGTTTCAAAGTTTCAGTTGAAAAAAACAAACTTTTTCCACCATGATAAATATACCACCGAACTCCCTCCCACTGAAATGATAATGATCATTACGATTATCATCATCATGATGATCTTGATGAATACATAGAAACCTTTTTAAAAGGATAAAATTTGCACTCTAAACATGGTGATGATTATCTATTGAAATGAGTTTCAATCTTACAATGATGAAAGTTCATGAGATAGATTCTGATGGAAATTGATTTGACAAAAAAAAGATTTCGAAAATTTTTTTCTTGTATTCATTGGAAATACAATATCCGATTCTGTCTGATTTTGATCTTTGATAATTGATAATCTTTTCTTACCCTTGGGTCATCTCCTTTGGTATAACTAATGGTCAATAGGGTGACTCATCATATTGATGAATTCAAAGTTAACCCCATGCTGATTTTATCTGCATTTTATGGTGGACAGAGTTTTAAAATTCCCCATGAATGATATTATCATGAAGTTGAACAATAGATCAGTTGAAAGGATAAACTCATTAGCATCATGATGAAGATATTTTTTTCCTCTTCGCAAACTTGCCAACCATTTGCACTCTTAATGGATGGTCAGTTTTTTTTCTCAGTTCTGCCCTGAAATTCAAAGAGAATTGGTCAAGATTCTTGTCGAATTTTTTTCTAAAAGTTCTGAACAACTATTCAAATATAAGATTCACTCTCTCAGTGGTCAGTTTTTGGATTGCTCTAAATGTTATTCAAAGTCAAGTGTATGGAGTTTATCATAATAATAGTATCTCTTTCACAGTGAATATAATGAAGTTTTTCCTCCTGGGGGTGGAAGATAAAAAGATGATGAAGAAGAGGGAAAAGGGCCAGGAGAATTTCTGAAAAAAGAAAGAAATTGAATTGAGTCTTTCTTTTTTCATCAGTCTTGTAAAGTGTTGAGTTTAAATTGAAAACAAGATGAATGTTGTAAAGTAAAGATGAGAGGATAAACTGAGAGAGAGAGAGAGAGGGTCAATCCCTGTAAGCATGATGACCATCACCTTTCAATGATGATAAAGTAGAAAAGAGGAAGATTATCTTCATCCCAGATTCTTAAGATCATCATGGAAACACACATATGATTCAAATTGTGATTCGATGAAAATGATTATCATTGGAAACAAATTGTTTGCGGATTTAGTTTAAACTGATAAGAAGATAATATTAACCATAACAATTTACTTTTCTTTCTTTCTCTCTTTCTTTTTATCTTCCGCATCCCAGTGATGAGATCTTGTTAGTATTATTTTCAAAGTCTTTTGTCAATGATAACAAATGATTGGTCAAGATTCTGTTCACGAATTCAGTTCGTTGCGAATGAACCTTTCATAATAATAAGAAAGAGGAAGATGATGATAATGATGAGAGAGAGAGAAAGTAACTTTTTTTTATTTATATCATTATCATCTTCATCCCATGAACCGACATCTTCATCCTTCTGGTTAAGAAACCACTTCACGGTATAAGTTTTAATCCAAGAAGATGATGATGATAAGGATGATTAGAATCATTTTGCTGCCAATCACGAGTCAATCCTGAGATATCATCTCACTATAAACATATTGACCAATGTCCATCATCATGGGAATATCAAGATAATTTCTGTTATCATGAATCACAATCTGGAACCGGAAATTCAATAACTTTTCTAATTTTCTTACAATATTTTTTTTCTTCAACTTCAATTCATCATTTTCTATTTATCCTCATTATTATCACTTCGACACAGTTTAAATTGTCTTGGTCAACTTTGATATCTTCAAATTAATAACCTCAATGACCTTTGGCAGTATATCAATCGTAACAGTTTCAAACTAAGGTCATTCTGTTAGGATTGACTCTCATTTGGTGATAATCAAGTTTATCATCATTTTGATATTATTATCATAATGAAAACCAAATAACATAATAGTAATTGTTGAATCTAAATGATTAATGAAAGAAAACATTTTAATATCAAATAATAGATTAACTTTAAATAAAAGTTATCAATTATCATTTGATATTATTTACACTTGGAGACATTTCAATACAATCACAATGAGTGATTAACGAGGGTTAATTGTTATATGAGAAAGATAAAAGAAAACTGAATTAAAATCATCATCATCATGGAAGATAAATAAAAAGAATCGATTATTTTTTTCTTCCTCAGAAAATTATATCAACTTATATTTTACCGAATAAAATATTTATATTATTTTTTTGTTTTGTTTCCATGTTAATGGTAACACAACAATCAAATAACAATCATTGATTGTTGATTATCTTTCAACTGGATTCAATGTTATAAACATTAACACTAAATGACATTAGTGGTTTAAGAGGCTTCAACCTTATGATAAATGTATTCTGAATCCATGGCTTTACTATCATCGTTATTGTTACTATTCAAAATTATTACGATTATTTATCATCTAGTATACACATTTATCCATATAAATGTGGGTACTTTAATCATATTTAAACAGTAATCATAATAATAACAATAATCATCATCATTATCATCATTATGATAACATGTTTGATATTATTTTCTTGTTGAAGTTAATTGTGATCGTTTTGAATGAGCTAATATTTTTTGCGAACATTAATTGACCTTGAATCGTAGTTTAGATTTTCAATGATTATTTTCCTCGATTTTGTAAATTAGAACTTTTTTTCGGTGTAGTAATTGTTTCTCTTCACTCGATGAATCTCTTTGATCTGGAAACAAAGAAAAGAAAATATTAGAGAATAAAATTTAATCAATTGTTCAAGTTTCTTATTTTCAAATTAATTAATTATTTGTATGTTTAAATGTTTGATTGTAATCAGTTGATTGTAATTACTTTTTGATTAAATAGTTAAAGAGGTTACGCCATCTAGAGGATGGAAATGTGATTGTGAAAAAATTGATTACATTTGGAAGATGAAAAATTCAAGTTAATCAACATAATTAGTGGTTTTGATTACTTTAAATTGTTACTCTTTCCATGATCAATATGTAATCAATTACATAAGAAATTGAAATTTAAAACTAACATAATCACAAGACCTTATAATCAAAACGTAGAGAGATCTTATCAAGAGCTGTAGGAATAATTAACAATCAAAAGACAGAAATTAACAATTAACAGTTGAAGGAAAAATTGTAGTTAAAACTTACAATATTAGTTTACGAGGTCACCATAAGTCTAATCGGTTGACAAAATCAACTGAATAGTAGGAAATGTTTGACATGAATCTTCAATTGTTTGAAAGAGGGAGAGATGAATCAACGATGATAATTAACCTTGAAATTTGATTTCTTTTTTCTTAAAGCAAATTGACCTTAATGGTGAAGACAAATTGCAATAAAACAAGTTGAAATGATTAAGTGCAAACATTGATTACGTTATTCAATTAGTGATAAAATCAATCATCACGAAAATGTAACCATGATGGTCAAAGATACTAAATCTTACTAATCAATGACAATTTCACCAGTGACCCAATTCATTGAATATCGTCATCAGTTAATTAGTTAAAACTCGATTGAAGGACAAATTACTACATCATATTCATGGAATATCATCACCAATGGAATATCAATTCGCTATAGAAAAAAAAATGAAAAGAAAAATAAAAATAAATATTAATGATTGAATCCATATTGTGAATTATTGATTCACTTGAATCATACTGAGAGTAATAGGAGTGATCAAGTTAGAATCAATCAGTTAATCATTGTGATTAAAATACAACAAGTTTAAAAGTTTTCTTCGACCGAAAATGATAATTAACATTGGGAATTTGAGATATTCGGTCGAGTGAAAGAGGTCAAGCTTATGGCCGTTTTTTTAGTGAAAGAAACGGAAGCGGAAGATAAGGTGATAATGAAAGTTTAGAATGATGTTTAACATAACAAATCAATGTAAACAATTAGCATAATGAGTGAAAAAAGGACTTATTTAAATTGAACATCCTTTTGTTTTCAATTTATCTTCATCCTTTTCTCAGTCTCAAGGCTTTTCCGTTGACAAAAAAACAACAACAATCTGAAAGGCCAAATATCCGGTTGGAAAAATGTATATATGATGAAGCAGATGACAGAAGATGAAAGTCGCCGGAAGTAGGATGAGATGGGAGAGAGAGGAGAGAAAGAGAATTTTTTCAAGAGGATGATGAAGACCGAGAGGGAGGGATAGGAAGAGAGAGAGAGAGAGAGAGAGGAGGGTGAAAGAATATTTATCTTGATGATTTTTTCCCTCCAAGAAGAAATAAACATTTCCTTTTATCTGTGATTTTTTCTGTTTTTTTTTGTTCGATTTCAAACATCTTACCTTTTCCACACCTCCCACCATCAGCATCATCATCACCTCCGCCTCCATAGTATTACAACCACTTAGCTCACTTATTAGTTTCTCTCTCTCACTCTCTCCCTCTTGGTAACAGTTTCCATTTACATTTTTCCATGTGAATGTTAATTTTGAAACTTATTAAACTGAAGAGTTTTTTTTTTCAAATCAATCATCTAACTGATTTAAAAATGATTTACCTTCAATTGTTGTTAACAGCAATTTCAATTGTCTCCACTTCGGCAGCTACCAAATCAGTGGTTTCAGGTTAGTTTCACTCTTTGCTTTAAGATTAATTAACAATGAATCACTAATTAATTTTTGCTCAACAGCTCCGGTTAATTGTGACAATTGTCCAGAATTAAAATACACTCATCATTATAACGCTAAAGGATGTAATCCAGTTTACAGATCAGGTTGTCCAAATTGTGTTGACCAATTTGATTGTCCAGTCACTCAAAAAGATTCAAATAGTGAGTAAACTTGATTTTTTATTTATCATCCAACAATCAGTTAATTGATCAAATCTGCCAAGAAAAATCTACCAATTAAAATATCGGGTTAGTAAAAAGGTTAATATTAATGTATATTGAGAGTTGTTTTTAATTGTTGTGACAATTTGATTTAACTGGTTAACATAATAATAAACACTTAACCTGATTAATTTTTCATCTTGTATCTCATCTTAATCATCCTCTTGATATAACCAATCAGATGATGATGATTGAAATACTTTCTCTTGAAATAAGAGTAAATCGTTGAAACGATAAATTGATGTATTGATATGATTAAATTAACTTACATTGGTTTTAATTGTTTGAAGAATGTTATTATGGTGGAGAAGCATATGAAATTGATTCAGATATTCGAGTATCCAATCCATGTACAATATGCCGATGTACAAGTCATGGTAACAATGAGACTGATATTTCATGTGCTCATGTTGAATGTCCAGAATTGTTTAACCGATCATTTCAAGACTCAAATGATACATGTTACTATTCATATAAACCTGGTCGATGTTGTGGTGCTAAGAGATGCCCCCGATCGGAAGATCAGGTCAAACCAATGGTCACTTGTTCGTATGAGGGAAAAGTTTATAAAGAAGGTCAACAAATTGAGCTTCCCGATTGTTACACATGCACTTGTACCGCTGATTTTAATGTCACCACGATAAAAAATAGTCCAGCTTGTCACCAACATATTTGCTATTTTAATACGAAAATGCTGGAAGATGGTTGCGTTCCAGTTTATCTTCCTTCTGGTTGTTGTTATTCCCAATTCCATTGCCGTAAGTAGAAACTATTATCATTAACAGAGGCATAAAATGTTTTACATATAAATTAGTTTAATTATGATAATGTTTCGTTTAGATTTGAATATTTGCTTACCTTTGTTTGGCTTTTTCGAATTTTTGTTTTGTTCTCTTCTCTTTTGATTGTTTCCGTTTTTGTCTCTTTCCAGCTCCACCCAACCTTGAACAGAGACGGAAAAACTGTCGCCAGGAACATTATTATGGTTATTGTGATCAGAATGTAACTCGTTATCGATTCGATTATGAAAACAGTACTTGTCTTCCGTTTACTTATTCCGGTTGTGGTGGTTCAGTGAATACCTTTGAATCTCAATCTGATTGTCTTGATTATTGCACATCACCCGATGAAGTTGTTAACACAAGTCTCACTCCTGGTCACTGTTTATATCATGGAAACTTGTATCCAATTGGATCTCAACTACAAACAACCCAAGGTTACACATGTACTTGTAATATTCCACCAGATTTTACCTGTATTATAAATAGTTAAAAAATCAATACAATTTGTAAATCAACTTGTTAAACATTTTGTGAGAAAAAGAAAACAAATAACAGCAAATGCTTAAAATAAAGAAACAAAGAAGCAGTTACCATAAAAGTAAAGGTATTCACCTCAACCAATTTAACCCTTTTCTCTTTGGTGGATGAATCAGCCATATTTCACCTAAAATATTAGAAAATAAAAGAGCACAGTTAACAGTAGAACAAAGAAAATTTAAAGAAAAAACATCAAAATCAACTCATTACACAATAATAATAGAATAACAATCAATAAATCAGTAAACGGAATCTCAACTCGTAACATTAAACACCATTTACCATTTACCTTTTAATCTCTCATAAGACAAATGGAAAATTAGAAGCGATAGTTTATTAGAGAATTAGAATAAAATTTGATGGTAGATGATCGACAATTAAAACGAAGAAAAAGAAAATAATTGAAACAATTAAAATTGAAAAAAGAAAACAAATTAATGAGAATCAACGAATCCTATTAGTAGCTTTTCCACTCAAGCGATGTCGCTACTTGTTGTTCTTCGAATTTGAATGTGAATCGATCCACCAGATGGAGCAAAACGAAGATTTTTTGGCAGAAAATTTTGTTTCATTTTCTCATTTGATTCAAATTCTCATTGATGGTGAATTCTTAACAAATAAACAGTGAAGCAAGTGAGTTTAAGCAAGCTTAGGAAGTGAATTTCTTTCTCTTTCTCTACATAAGTGAAATACATCAAAATGGCAGATCCAAATCACCCGAGAGTACGAGCCAAAAAAAGGTCTGGTAATTCTGACTCTACTGTTCATCAATCCAAGAGAGTTTGTCAAGAAGAATCTGAAGAGGTAAGAAAATAACTACTCAAGTAATACAAATCAATCTCAATGGCTCGAAAGAGTAGAATACTGTCACTTGATAATAGTCGATTGCTAACAGAATCCTTAATGATAAATTTTTTTCCTCACCTCTTTCCATACTCTATCATACGTAGAATGCGGATCAGGGAATACTTAAACAGTTACTCTCCTGCCTGAAACGCTTTGACACAAAAAACGAGATGAATATCTTTAAGCAATGGTCAAAACTGATGGATGATGAAACAATCAACATGGTGATACATGAAATTGAGGATTTCATGCTACAGCCAATAGACGAAGACTATTCTGATGAAGAAATCGCACTTCTTACCCAATTCCTCAAGTTAAGCCAAGAACCGGAGCCTACTATTAATAACTCAATTGCAGCCCCGACAATCGATCCAACAAAAATTCCCTTTAAAGATAATGAAAAACAAAATATCTTTATAAACTATCTACAGAAAAATAAGATCCCTTCCCACTGGCTGAATGTTGAGACAATTGAAACGCGTCCGATGATTGTTGTTACAATTACGGTTGGAGGGAAGCCGGTTGATGGATTTACAACAAAAGCAGCCTTCAATCAACTCTATGAGAAATATGGTGTAAATCACATTCACATTGAAAATTCGTTTCCTGCCAAGGATTCAATTAGAGTAATGGTAGATAATCAACACTCACAGAAAACAGTAATGGAAGAAATAAACAACATGGCATCTGAAAAATATAAAATATCGGCGATGATACAACCATTGAGAGACCCACAAATATATCTGTTACTAAACGAGATGGTCGATGAAAAAAGTAATTCTGTATGGATTGAGAAATTCAAAAAGTACAATAAATTGGATGAAAAACATGAAATTCATTGGGTTTCGTCGTCCAAGATGCGGAATGGCAAATACAAAACAGTTCTCTCGGTCAACTCGATCACCAGGTCCCTGATTGAAAGATTTAATGGGAAGGTAACCACTGGCTGTCAAAAAATCGAAGTATATGACAAGTTTAACATCATAATATGTGCCAATTGCTCCAAATATGGACATAGAGCATTAAACTGTAGATTCAAACGAGTTTGTGGACACTGCTCTGGTAACCACACAGGCAAATGCACCCAAGCTCCAAGTGATTGGTTATGTCCAGGCTGCAAAGGGCCACATTCTATCTTCTCAAGAGAGTGCCCGACCTTCTTGATAAAACTCAAACCTGAACTTGAGAAGATAAACCACCAATACAACTATGTATTCTTGGATAATACCAGAATCTGAAACTCATATGGACTAATTGCTTTCTAATGCTATTGACTAAACTGATCGAATTAGCTCTTGCCCATTTTGCCACTCGAATTGAATCTGGTTGAAAATAAAACGAAATGAATAAACAATAAATCATGCCTTCCCTTCTTTATTTTTCCTTCTTAATCACTCTTTTATTACATCTATACTAAATCATCAGTATAATCAAGCGCTACAAATAGAACTTGTTCTTTTCGAATACATGAATCACACTATTTATAACTCATTCGAGGGTACGCTTCGAAACATAAAGATCAGTATAACTATGATTAATTCGTCTTAACTGATTAACAATCATCTTCCTCATCTGTGGGCAATGATAATAATACACAGAATGACCCAGCTGGTTACAACCAGGACATAACCAGCTACTTCTACGATCCTTATAGGGACATCTGCCAGTCACATGCCCTTGACAACATTTGCCACATCTTGGTTGGGATCTACAATTTTTAACTGTATGACCATATGTGGTACAATAATCACACACACGGACGGATAAGCAATCATAAAACTCGACATCTCCACTTGATGTCCTGATTACTGGCTCACACATTCGGCTTCGCAATCCTGATGGTATCTCCAAGATCATTGTATTGAAACAGCGACCATATGTCACCCCCCTTACAATTATCTCCTCACGAGTTACAATGTCCTGGTAAATAAGCAATAACTCCTCCAGTACCAACTCACACCCTCCGCTGAGTACAATCGGTATAAGAACTTTGATTGTGGGTCTCTGTAGCTCTAAAACACTGAAGGTGAAACCGCTGGTTCTTAACCTCTCGCACAATATGTCACTACTAAAGTTGGCACAAAAGGTTATCTTCACATCCGCCACACCACGGGTTACCACCGCTCCGGGAGGAAATAAATTAGATAAAGTATTTATTTGAGCCTTTAACTGATAGGAGCTAATATCTTGATCACGACAGCTAATAACCAGAGTCTGTACAACATCGTATGGTTCAACGCGAACGATGCCAACATCCTTGTAAACCACCATTATGCTTGTTAGAGTCTCTTACAATGACTCACCACCAGGGGGTTGAAGTAACTTTGCTTATCACCAAAAAAACCTGAAAGAAAACCATTAGATGAGAAGTGAATACGTGTAATTATAAAACAACAATACAATACTTACTTAAAAGTGGAAAGTGACTCTATCCTTATCAATAGTAATAAATCAAATAAACCAAATTAACGTTAACTATAAAACTGTGAAACATCAGGACAAAAGATGAATCTGGTGAACCTCAAAGGCCTTCCGATTCTTGATGGCAAAGACAAAACCCTAGTGATAATCTGGTTTACTTTCCCTGAACAAAACAGAATGAATGAAGAGTTAATTAAAAACAAACTAATTGAGGCAAATGGTCTTAGAAATGTTAAAAGAGTGATTAAAGTGGAGGACAACTATAATACAAAGATATTTATCATCATGGACAAACAAGAGAGAAATACACTCTTTACCATGTATGGAAACATGATTGCCTTTGAAGCGGATCTTTTCTCGGCATTTGACTTACCTGACGTTGAATTAATGAAGCGTTGGATAAGAATTGATTCGGATAACACTGGTCTTAAGTTGAAACAATTGTTGACTGAGTGGGGCTACGAAAAAATGGTCTTTGCTCGTATACCAACTGAATACTTCGCTTGTTGCAATGAAAGCTACAGATTAAAAATATCCGCTGGCCAAATAGGAGAACATAAAAATTGCATAAGTGGACAGATGGCGCTACTCTTGGCCACGAAAAAAAGCCAAACCGGCTGAACTATATGCTTGATACACTTTCTCCTTCGCCTCTAACCATTATTCCCTATTTAATATCGTTCTTATATCAAATCAAATTATATTAATCCTTCTCTTTTTACACAAATACCTTCAATCCCACAGATACCAAAATCCGTTGTGCTCTTAGTGCTTATTGTGTTACTTGGAATACAAAATGACTATTGGCGACGAGAATGTTCACTTGGGGCTTACACAGTACAAAAGAGGAAAACCTTCAACACCATACACCTTGGTCAGAGATATCAACCCCAACCATGTAACAAGCTTATTGGAGATAAAACTTACGAAACCAAGTCAGGTACTTCCGGTTTATAATCTGTTAACTTCCGACAACTCATTGACAGCGTGGTTACGGTCCGGAATTGAAACGATCCAAAGAGGTTTCCTAATTAGAGTAACCAGAGAAAGACGATTAGCGGTAGAAGAATTGATTCATAGTTTAACAGACTGTGAGGACATTCAAATTAATCAGTTGGCAAAAAACCCATCATTCATGGTTGTTTACTCTGGAGAAGAGAAACAGGAAGAAGATATTTGTTCACAAGTGACTGAAAAGCTAAACCTGAGAACAATTTACAACTTCAGAAAGGACAACAAATATGGAGAATTGAACGTCTTTACCTTCGAGTCGAACCAAAGAAATATCATAATAGATAAAAATTGGCGCTTCTTCTTCAATGATGGTACATTGGCATTAATCTATGATAACATAAAGCTGATACAATGTCTAAAATGTCATACATTCTCCAATCGACATTCGATTATGGGTCATCAATGTGCTGAGATGCCACTCTGCTCAGTCTGTGGACAAAACTATCATGGGACTGAAGAAACTTGTGCTAATCCACCCAATTGCTGCAACTGTGCCATAGATGGTAAACCATGTGATCATCCCACTAACTTCTTCGCTTGTTCATCTTTGCGAAAATTGATTTTCTCACATGTGAACAAAACTAGAGGACGATTTAACATGATAAGACTACTAACATCTACTACTGACCCAGGATGGTAAACAGATTGATGGTTATGCACCTTTTCACCATCTGAACAAAATCTAACCAACACAATTAGGCCAACTACAAATCCATAACAATCAACCAACAGCAACAACCAACGTCTCCCTAATCTTTTTTTCTACTCTTAATAATTTCCTTTTACCTTTTTCTTTCCTCACTTCCTTACTACCAAACACCATTACCAATGAAATTGTTTTTTCTTTTCCCACATTAATAATCTTGTTCAATCGAAAGTGTATCTCCTTCTGAAAATAAAAATGGTTAGAATTAATCTAATGTGTTTCAACGTTAATAAAAGAGTACGAACCTACAAAAAGTGTCTCGAGTGGATAAATAAACAAGAAGCTTGTGTATCAATGATCAGTGAATTTAGCCCAAAGATGTTGACATTAAAAAACAACATAAAAATGCAATTCTCAGACGACGTAGCAATCTTGGTCACGAAAGATATTGATATAATCAGAACAGTAAAAGTCGGCTGCGGGTTACTAATAAGTCTCATCGAATTACATTGCCACCAATTTTGGATAATTTCTCTATACAATAGACCGATGACCTGTGAAACACTAAGTGAGCTTTGTAAAATCCTTGAACAATTAAATAGTGAACCGACCATTATCGGCGGTGACTTTAACATTGAATTACCCTCGTGGTGTACATCCCCAAGGATTGAAACAGGTGAAGTCAAAAAGAAGGCAAATGATCTAGAGGTACTACTAAAAGGACATGGTTTTCTCCCAATTCTTGGCCGTGATGTTGTCACTCGAGTAAGTGAAACAACAATGTCAAAAATCGACTGCATGTTGGCAAATTTTCCACACGTACTATTGGACAAGGTGACGCTGGATGACAAGAAACTATCGGACCATAAATCATTACACGCGATAATCCTGACAAAAGAACCGAAACTAAGTGTAGGAATACGTGGGGTAAAAATATTTCGCAAACTAAAGATGAGACAACTCAAGATAATAGAAACTATCAACGAGATTATGATGCAACCGTCAATGATTAAAAATAAACCGATGGGACTCGGTAATAACAGATATGCGAAAACAATAAAAAGACTCTCTCAGATAAAGCCAACTGATGATATAAATAAGGTGTTAAAAATACAAAATGAACAAAACAAGATCAATTTCAAATTATCGCATCTCGACAAGGTGAAAGATGCAAAGACCTTTTGGAAACTCTACAACTCACTGTGTGGTGGTTACGAGACATTTGATAGAGAAATGATGTTCACGCGACGATTTGTATTCAAGAGACAAAATGAGGTCTTCTTTGAAGGGGAAATCTTCAATATTGGACTGACGGATGAAGAAAAGGTTTGGATTAACAAATTTAAATGCAAAACCTCGTCCGGTAACGCAGATGATTTTACCACTGGTGAATGGAATAACTTCAAAAAGAAGAATAACAAATTAATAATAAGATTGATCGATAAGATATTCAAATGTGGAGAAATTCCAAACTTACTAAAAACCAGTGGTGGAACGGTAATTCCGAAACCAAATGGAGGAGAAAGAGTAGTTAGAACACAAAGTTTTATAATGAAAATAATTGACAAACTGCTACTTGAAAGAATCCAGCCAGCTATCAATAAATTAATCGACAATGAAATACAATTCGCCTACTGTAAAGGAAGAGAAAGACTTGACTTGTGGACGAAAATAATTGTCGGACTCAACAAGAAGACATTCATTCACTGTTTCGACATATCCAAAGCTTTTGATGAGATATCGAGAGTAAAGATACTTGATCGTCTAAAACCATCACTGTCAAGACAAAACTTTATGCTATTAGAAAGCTTCCTGACAAATCGCTTAACTCGAACTGTAAGAAGGAAAATAATAACAGTCACTACTGACGACGAAGGAACTCCACAAGGTACTTGTATTGGCCCTGCACTTTTCTCGGTTGGCATTGATGATGCACTCCATGAGGTAAAGAAACAAGGTCATATGATCCTTTCGTATGCGGATGACATCTTTGTGTTAACTGACCTCTCAGCTGATTACATTGAAAAAATCCTAATACATGAACTTGGAAAGGTAAATCTAAGACTGAATACTTCAAAAAGCTTCACAATTAACGCAGAACATTTCAAATACCATTCGAGGGCATTGAGCATGAAAAAAGCAGTTGGTTATCTAATTACGAAACCGGATATAGCAACGATCAAACAACTGATAACAACGCCGAAGATATCGAGCTCTGAGAAGTTATTCTTGAATGGAATGCCGATAATGGTAATCAACAAGATAATAACCGCGAAACTACAAAGTCTTGAATGTCTTGGCCCACAACACTTCCTGAAAAACATGATGAACATCAAATCAAATGTAGAAGAAACTCTAGCTTTAGGAAGAGATATTGTTGCTATAAATATATTACCAAAAGGAGCTGATCGATGGTGGGTTAAAACACTGAAACTAACTAATCCAGCGGTGAACTTCATCGTGAGGCATATTACAAATCTAATACGAAATGGTGACAAAAAGATTAAAGACAACATTGAGAACTGGCTTGATAAGAGAATGACAATAAACAATTTTTCGATGAAATGTGTAGTGGCGGGCAGATCATTACAACCACCAACTAAGTTAATAAACCTCACAAGGGAAAAAATGATTTGCTACAATGACGTGACCCGTAGGAGCCATGTACATCTGACAACTTCGCTATCAAGTAGAGGGAACAACGCAACACTAGCAGCACTATTGGACATCATAATTTGCTCTGAGGAAAGTCCTGAGGCGATATTAATTAACTCAGTGCTCCTACAAACAATTAGATTGATATCAACCAGAAAGTCGATAATTATACATTATGAGCGACTTGAAGAATGTGATCTGGTCCTTGAACCAACAAAGCTTATACCGATAGTGGGCCAGAAAGAAATAAAACCCATGATGAGAGAGCTTATACTGAAAATTGAAGATGAAAGTTACGAAGAGAAAGCAAATTTTTATCTAAAATGGATTCACTCGAGAAATGATCTGAAATATGTTCCGACAAAAGTAATACAAATGGTAAGAAAATGGTACATTAAACACAGAAGTATGGAGGAAATCAATAGGAAACTACAGCAAAAAAGTAGTGAAACTAACAATGATCAGGGTAAATCAGAGTATCTACTGTTGAAACTCCTAGAAGATACCCCAAATTGAGTACCTGAAAACGAGATGTCGCTACGAATGGAATAACATTACCTAACCTACAAAAGGTAACCACACACTCCATGCGTAACGCTAGGAGTAGACGTTTGCTCGTCTAAATTGACCATAAACCGGTCACACCACAAACAGTTAAACTGTTGTTGATTAATTTGGTTTCAATTTTAAATTCTTTTTTAGTTAATTTTTTCTTTTAACTTTGTTCTGAATCTTTTTTTAAATAGTAACAAGGAGAAGAAGAACAACAACAACTACAACTACATTAATCAAACAAAAATCAGACTATGAATAGTAAAAGACCAACTCCAATCACTGTTGATGTGTCAACAATTAACATCTCTGATCCAATTTATGGTCCCCTTTATGTGGATAGTTCAATATATTTATTTTCCCGTGAAAGTGATCAAGGTGAACCCGTGGAAATATTACCTCACCTTTATCTCGGAAGTGGTTATCATGCATCATGTAAACGTAATTTGGAAAAATTAGGAATCACTGCTCTTCTTAATGTGTCTCATAATTGTCCGAATCATTTTGAAGATACCTTCCAATATAAATCAATTCCTGTTCAAGATTCAGGATCCGAAGAGATAAGCCTGTGGTTTGACGAAGCAATTGATTTTATTGGTAAGAAGAAGATCTGAGAGAGAAAAAAAATTCTATTCTCTTTTACCAAATATTAACCTAAAATCCAAGAAAACAAAGACAAAAATCAAAACTAATTATTAAATTTTGATTGTTTTCTTTTTGTTTTCTTCCCCAATTACACATAAATATATTTTTTACTATTCTTTTCATTGATCATCTCGATGAATTTATATTCCATGAAAGAGAAAAAATAGAAAGTGAATCTAAGAAAGAAAAGAAAGAAAAAAACTAAGCTTTGTTTTGTTTTTTCTCTCTCTCTCTCATTTGATTGTACACATTTTTGTATTGATTGTAATGTGTAGAGACGCATGGCTAGTGGATCGATGAGAAAAGGCAAGTTAATTCATGAATGAAAAAGGTTTCATTGAGAAAAAAATCATGAGCATAAGAAAGTAGAGAAGAAGACAAGAAAAACAAGAATATCAAGAATAAGAGCTAAAAAAAGATGATGAGAAGAAGATGGAAAAGACTAAGATGAAGGTCTTCTCAGTATCGATCCAATAGTAATAATAATCTTCTGCTGCTGCTTCAATTTTATGAATCATTATGAGCCAAAAACTTCTCATTCCATTTTCTTCTTCTTCTTATTTTCTGTCTATTTTAATACGTTTCCTCTCACTCTCTCGAATCTTTGTCGTTCTTGATTCTTTAATAGTAATAGATTTTTACTCCCTCACTTGACATGATTCTCTTTCTATTTCTCTCTTTCTTCCTCTTTCCTTTCTCTCTCTCTTCTCACTCTATGGGTCACAATCCATGGGTGAAATATTCATGATGATAACTGAAATACCGCAAGACCGGAAGTGATTATCGACCAGACACGAGTGTAGAGTGAGAAAGTGAGAAAAATACGAAGACAGAGAGAAAGATAGAGAACTAAATTTTACTTAATTTTTTTTCTCTACTATAAAATGTAAACTTGTACACATATTGAACAATAAACAGGTCACAGTAGGTTCTCATTGTACCTTTAACAATGAGCGATTATGATCGGAGGTGTTACTAGTGATGAAGAAGAAGAAGATCGTTTAAACTTTTAAAGAAACATCTCTCATTCACTCTTACAATTTACTATCTTTTAACCGTCTCCTTCCTCCTCTTTCTCATCATCCTCATCACCACCATATCCATATATGTGTATGTGTGTGTGTGTAAGTATTTATGCTCCATTTTATCCGGACGGATATCCGCTTCTTGTTCGTGGGGCAAAGGGGAACTAGTAAAGCTTTGTATAATCGAGGTTAGAGAGCAAAGAGAGAAAGAGGAAGAGCTCCATCAACATCATTTTTTTTCTTATCCTTCTTTTTCTCATTCATCCTCATCATCTTCTTCCGGGCAAATGGGTCATTCATTGACGGTTTTTTTTTCTTGTTTCTTTTTCTCTTTCCCCCCATTTTTGCTGTTAATTTATCACAGATTCAATCAAACAATCTAACGGCAAAGTATTGGTTCATTGTCGAGCTGGAATCAGTCGATCAGCAACTATATGCATGGCTTATATAATGGCGACCAAAAAGTTACGAATGGAAGAATCCTATGAATTTGTTAAATCCCGTCGGCGAATCGTTTCTCCGAATTTTAATTTTTTGGGCCAATTATTGTGCTTTGAAGATAAATTATTCAACAATTCGAGTTCAGATTCTTTTAGAGACAGTCCAGATTCAATGTGCCCCGAACCAATTACATCAACAACTTAACAAAGTTAATACTTATTCTTGTTCAAAAAAAGGTAAAAAAAAGGCGCAAGAGAAATTATCAAATCTCAACGCAAAGTAAATTGTTTACATGATTTATCTTATTTTCCTATTTACTATAATTACTATTGTATCATCTCTACCATCGTCCACATCCTCTTTCATTATCATCATCTTCATCTTCATCTTCATCTCCATCATCATTATTACTATTCAATCATATCAAAAGAAAAAAAAAATGAATCAACAAAAACAAAACACACCTTTGAGAAATAATCTATAACAATTGTCTTAAGAACTGAATTTAAATTAAAAACCGATTGTAATTCATCTTATTTTTTTAATCATATTTCATGTAATCATTGATCATCTCAATCGTTTTTTGTTTTGTTTTTCCGAGAGAAGCCTAAAAAACACAAACTAAATTGTGACTTTTTATGAAATCATAATCAACACACTGAAACCGAATGAAATCAACAATTAACTAATTAAAAAACAACTTTGATTGTTTTCCCACATTTTGTTTGATTTATGTGTTGATATTACTATTATTTGATTAGTGGGAGGAAGGAGAGAGAGAGAGGGAGGAGGAAAGGAAGGATTGTTCAATATAATGATTAGTAGAGATTAAAATCAATGTACAACAATTTAACCGGAAACTATTGTTACTAATACAATTTATCCAAATATTAAATTTTCTATTGTGGGAATAAGTAGGATTTGCGTTGAATTTAACTGCGGTTGTTAAGTTAATTACACTCACATTTTTTTCTGCTTACTACAAATATCAGTGTGGGTTGAACATGAGGTGATCATGTTATAGTTCAAGAGAGAGAGAGAGAGAGAGAGATAGGAAAATATAAAGATGAAAATGGATGAATGAATGAATGAATGAGTGAGTGAGTGAGTAAGTGAATAGATGAATGAATGAGTGAATGGATGGAAAACATTGAAACAGTTCGATAACAATTTGGAAGATGAATTAAGTTAATCAGCTTGAGGGAGAATAGAAAAAAAATTAAGTCAAGTGGAAAATATAAAGAAGGCGAAGTTTGTAATTAATGAATTGCCTAAAATGAGAAAATTCTTGTGGCCATTGAATTATCTCAATAATGTCGGTAATCTTTTTTTCTTTATTAATGTTTATTATCCAAAAGAAAACAAAAAACTAATTAATAATCTAATTTCGCTCGATAAACTTGATTGTTTCTAATGATTTAACTAATCATCAAACATTTTGGTTCCTTTCTCCTTCTCTTGAACCCGTTTTTCGGATAAACACATTGCTCAAATTTTCTGTTCTCTCTCTCGCTTCACTCAGGAAACTATTACAATATCAGAAAAAGAGAAGAAAATTTAATTATTTGAGCTAATATGTAATTTAGAATTAGTTTATGAAATGAATCATTCCAATTATTTACAAGGTTTGGGTAGAAAAGTCACTAGGAAATCTGATTAGAGTTTAGAATTTGGTTTCTCTTTTGGTTGATTAGATGGTAGAGATTATAATTGGTTTGATTCGTTTGCCTTTAATCTGTCGATGAATATTCTTGGTCTTGTCGGAATATTTTTTCCTCTATCTACATTATTTCTCATGTTTATGTACCAATTTTTTCAGAAAAATGTTCATCTAATCAATCATCGAATCAGTGAAATTCGACTATTTAATTCTCGCGCATTTTTATTTGTTCTTTTCAGTTTTTAAACAAAAGGTGTCATCATTTTCCAAAAAGTGTTGATTCAATTTCGATAATAAACTTTTGAGAAACTTTTTTTACAAAGTTTGCTGATTGTTACTACCTGTTGATTTGGTTTTTCGCTTTTTGTACTTCTCAACAATTGATAATCATTTAGTCAACAGGTTGTTGTCCATCTTAAGGTTTATTTTTTTCTAAATAACCTCTGTTTCCGTATTCTTTTCATCTCTTCGTCTTCTCTATTCTCTCTCTCTCTCTCCGTCTCTTTCTTTAATTCTCGTTATTATATTTCTCAAATAAAATGTCTATTCCATCAAATGCTTCTAATCATCAACAGGATGAAAGTATTACATCGGATGCTCAGGAGCTTCAGAGGCGACACGAAGAAAACGGTGTTCATACTCCCGATACAAGTGATCTTAATGATGGCACTGCTCCTAGTTCTGAACCTGGTGCTCAACTCTATCCAACATTTGTCCTCACCAGCGAGGTGATTGACGATTTTGTCAATCATACATTTACTGCTCAGGAGTTTCAGAGACGTGCAGAAGCTGCTGCTGTTGTGATAAGTGGAATTAAAAGAGAACTTGAGCTTTTGAGTTTGTATCTCGAGATAAAAAGTCTTATTTATGATAAAGATTCTTGTTCGAGCCTTGATGAACAATCGAAGATCTTAACAGAAGAAGTAATTAGTGTCCTTGGTATCGATGTTGATGATCCTCTGTTGAAAATGATCCAAACAACTAGAATGTCTGTTCCATCAAATGTTACTCATCATAATCACCAACAGGATAACAATAAAGGATTAGGTGAACAGGAGCTTCGAAAACCTCGTGAAGAAGGGATTGTTCCGTTGAGTGAACAGAAATCAGATGTTCAAATTTTGCTTTCCTTTTGCAGACATTACAAACATGACCAATGTCATGGCCTTAAGAGAACATTGGAAATAGAAATTGAGTCACTAAAGCGAAGGTTAACTTACCCAAACAAATATTTCTCAAATGAAATATCTGTTCCATCAAATGCTCATAATCATCAACAGGGTGAAAGTATCACATTGGATGCTCAGGAGCTTCGAAAGCGTCGCGAAGAAGACGGTGTTCTGTTCAGTCGAATTAATAGAGAACTTGAGTTTTTGCGTTTATATCTTGAGATAAAAAGTCTTTATTATGATAAAGATTCTTATTCAAGTCATGATAAAGCATCCGAACAAGTGATAGATTTTATCAAAGAAGTAATTAGTCTCCTTGGTATCGATGCTGATGATCCTCTGTTGAAAATGATCCAAACAACTAGAATGTCTGTTCCATCAAATGTTATTCCTCATAATCACCAACAGGATAACAATAAAGGATTAGGTGCACAGGAGCTTCGAAGATGCCAGGAAAAAGAGGCTGACCAGTTACGGAAACAAAAAATAGGTATTAGACTTTTGCGTTCGTATTTTAGTGTACGAAGTCGTAATCATGTTATCGTCCCTGATTCGAAACTTGATGTCCAATTGAAACGAGAAATCGCTGGATTCCGTGAAGTGATTGGATGTCTTCATAACGTTAATGAAGATCCTCTTTCGGACGCGCTCATAACGGCCGAAGTGTCTGAGCCATCGGCTGTTGTCCCTCAACATCATAAACCGAAAGTTCAGTCGCTAAGAGAGTTAGCGGGCTTAGAAAATGATCCTAATCCTAGACCAAAAAAAATACGCAAGTTTTGAAGTCGAGTTGCTCAAAGCTTTAATGATTAGTTTAAATTGCAATGATGGTTCCAGGAGATGAAGGTCCAGATATGAACAATTAACTATCTTTTCATGACAATTTACCATCAAAATGTTTTCTCATTTAATTCCCATTTGATTTTCGAATTTTCGAAGATAGTGATGATGATGATGTTAATCCTAGAAAAAGAAGATGTATTTCGTGAGACAATGTTTTTTGAGTCGAGCTAAACGAAACTTTGGTGAATGATTAGTTTATTGTCGAATGAATTGTCTAAAATGATAAAACTCTTGCGACCATTGAATTATCTCAATTTTCATCAGTTGATTTATACTGATTACGATTTGATTAGGAACAGTAGTTATGGTTGATGGAGTAAAAAACGTTTCAATCGATTTGTATTAATTGATTTACCATTGATTGTGATTCTATTAAATGGTTTTCCAATCTATTTTTCCACTGGTTGCTGACAATTAAATAGCTTGTGAATTTACAATTATGTCCATTATAACGGGCACGATTAAAGGAAGAGGATTATCACTTGATTAACGTAAGCTTGAGATTCATTTAAGTGGATATAAAAGTGACACTGGACTGAGTGACCATGAAACTGGCGATGCCGATGGAGGGTCAAGCACTGGTTCGGTGGGTGATGTTTCCCACTCTCTTCTGACCAAGGCCAATTTACGTTCAAAGCCTGGTAGTAGTTTAAACTTTTCTTCACCGGCAATATTAAGTAAATCACTTATTATTAATACTTTTTACTATCTAAATACTTTATTGATTTCGTTGTGGATGTTAAATAATTGCTCCAAAAAACTGGCAAATTAAATATAATAGATTGGGAATCATGACTTATTCAAAATGATCTGCATGTTAGACCAATTGATTAGCTCCAGCGTTTAATTAGTAGCTAATCGTAGATGATTCCAAGCTTGATAATTAACTAGAATAGTTTTTGTTTTATAATTTCTAATTTTTCCCAGCAAAACAAGAAAATGATTAAGATTTCATTAACATTATCCAAACAATTGACTAATGGTGATCGCAAGTTTCGACTTCCTTTTAACTGACCAGCGTCCAGATTATGAATGAGGGTCCATCTAAGAATATAGAATTTTCTGTTCTCTCTCTCGCTTCACTCAGGAAAATATTACAATATCGAAATACAATACGAAAAAGAGAAGAAAATTTAATTATTGGAGCTAATATGTAATTTAGCATTAATTTATGAAATGAATCATTCTAATGATTTACAAGGTTTAGGTGGCAAAAGTCACTAGGAAATTTGATAAGGTTCGAATTTGGTTTTTATCTTTCAATTTAAAGAGAGTTTGGTTAATTACAAAGAGATTATAATTGGTTCGATTCTTTAGCCTTTAATCTGTCGATGAATATTCTTGGTCTTGTCGGAATCTTTTCTCCACCATCTTCATCCGCTATTTTGTAGATTAATGATTCAAATTCGTTCCATTGATAAACAAATGGTATCTTTAGTTGGGTTATACTTTCAGCATCGTAACCATAATCTTTCTTGTTCAATCCTTTGATGTAGATACAAGGTGGATTATTGAAAGCTCTACGGTTAATTACTTCCGCCATGAGAGGTGGTACTTTGTAGTATTGTGGTAATACCTTACGAGGAACATTTTTACCATATTCTGGAGCATTTCTAGCAATCTCTAAATAAGGTTCTTCCTCATGTTTATGTATCAAACGATAATCAGGTGTAGTTGGCAGAATCTCAGTTAGACCAGGAATCCTCGCTCCTCGATAATATTGCTCCGTGTAAACCAAACCAAAGGCTAAATCTTTATCCATTTGTGGATAAGCTTCTTTAATAATACAAAATGTTTTCTCTCCATGTTTCTCATTGGAATAAATTTTCTCCAATATTCTTCCTTTTCCAAAATTCTTTAAATTGATTAATATCTCGAATATACGTTTTCCATGATATCTGGATGGTTTTCCAATGTAGGCAACATTTGACATGATAGTTTACAATTAATAGATGAAACTAGATGATTGAAATTAGAATCGTAAATAGAACAACAATTTAAATTAAAGAAAACGAAACCACAATTAGACCAACACCAAATTAATTTAAAGATAAACATAAACAAAGTTAACCAAAAAAAGAAAACACATGATTACATTTTTAGTTTTTTCGCCAATAGATGTCACCACTAAGCGAAGAAAATTTTTTCCATTCAATCAATTGCTCTTAATCACTAATCAAGTTAATTAAATTTATCTACTAATATAATTAACCACTTGAACCTTAGTTGAAATTTTGTTTATTTGGTCAACAACAAGTAAGTTAAATCATCGAAAGCACTGAAAGTGTTTAAGTTTCGTTGATTAATCCAAACTGAATCAAGAAAATCATTAATATATTTTTAACGTGATTAACTTAATTACCTGATAACTTGACGTGTGGTGAATATTGTAATCAAGTAAAAAGTGGAAAAGAGTAACAATTAAATCAAACATATGAATGTGTGTGACAAAATGGTAAAAATCAAGGAATCATTAATTATATCATTAATTTGAATTCTCTCATGAAACATCCTAATAATCAAAGGGTAGTTAAAGTAACAACAATTAAAACCAAGTGAATATCATGAAAATGATATCGTAATAACAATATTACAATCTCAGTGATTTAGATAATAAAGCAAAATCTAAATAATTAATAGGAAAAGAAAACGAGATCAGTGACCAAATTAAATTGTAACCTAAATATTAGTACACAGGAAAATTAGAATGAAAAAATTAGGAGAGAAATTAACTAACCAACATTTTAATTATTCTCTCATGTCATTTATTTTATTCCAATTTTGAATCAAGATAAACTCTCTCTCCTCTTTATGTAATAACAGGGAGAGAACGATGAATATATAATCTATATAATGGAACAATTAATGAAACAATTTGACATAATTGGTTCAAACTCTAAATTTCATTCATATAATCAACAGAAAGTATCAACCATTAGAATCCATGATTATTATTGTTATTATTTTGACTCGAGAGTGTTACGCTTTGGTGATAATCATTTTCCACCCTGAACTTTTTTCTGGATTCATGGAGAGTGGAAAATGTATCGTGTGAGTTATATTGTTGGAGAAAGAGAGAGAGAGAGAGAAAATTCTGCTCATCTTCAGATTCACATTTAATCGCATGAATGATTAACTGTATTGAATAAATTGTTGTTTTCTACTCTTTAGAAATTGAAAGTTGACCATTGATCGTCCACTTCTCGTTTCGGATTAGCTGAATTTAGAATTAAATTGTTTCCATTGTTACTTATTCATCTTTAGTTAGTGTTTATCTATTTTCGTAATGATTTAAAGTGAATTAAAGTCGATTACAGTTGGATAAAAATGTTTACTCGATGTTTTCATTTTCTTTTCTTTTCAAAGGTAAACCGTTGATCTTTTCTCGCTTCTAAGTTAAATGTTACTTAATTGTTTCTATTGGGATTTAATTCAACTGTTAACTGTCTATCGGGCTTAATTTTCAATTTTAAATGAGTGTTGATCAACCAATTTCCCGAAGCAATGAGATGCTGCTTCGTGATAGACTCGATGGTTGCCTCGAGCCTTGGCAAGCGAGTCTCTTTGCTGGTATTTACGCCTCTGTAAGTCAATTTCAATGATTTCAATCCATGGATTATCCTTTCTTCATAATCCAAGCCTTTAATCCTTTTCTTTGTTATCTAATCCATCTATCAGTCTACCAGTATATTTGATTTACTTTGGAGCACCGCGAATATGATTCATGAAACTCATCCGATAATCTTTTTCATTCGTAAGTGTTGATCTTTACAATTTGTTTCGGCTCGACTTCAACAATTAACTTATTAAATTATATTCTCTATTGATTACAGTTCTTGCGATGGCGATTGAAAGTGTTCTCTTCATTTTAGCTTCGATCTTATTATTTTTCGGCTTGGCGAAAGTGAGTAAATTGCTGAATTCCATTTGCTTTGTCAACTTATTTTCTTTCGATTTTACGGTTTCCTTCTTTCGAATAGAAAAAATCTTGGTGTTTCATTCCCTGGATGATTTTGGCCATAATCGATATAACTCTCGATTTAGCTCATAATTTTGTCGAAATTTCCTTACCAGTGAGTCAACAAACTGCTTGTGTTCCTTTAGTTTCACAAAATGTTCCAGAAAGATTTCTACGTTGGGTAAGTTGATTAACGATTCAATTTGGACAATTAGAAACATTCTAACGATTTAGTAATGATAAGAATTAGAAATCCAATGTTACCTTTACGTTGAAATCTTTCTAAAATCGTTAATCTTACAAACTTTTTAATTCTTTTCTTATTCTCAAAGTTTTCATTATAACTTTCGAACTTTTTTATTCTCATTTTCGTATTCCTAGAAGCGCACTTATGCTGCTCCGTGTATATTGGCCTTAACTGGACTTTTAATCCGATTGTTTATCTGTGCAGTTATGGTGAGTGATTGTAAATCCTCAGTAACAATCAACATTAATCAACTATTATACTAATAGACTAATCTATTGATTATCCTTTTAGCTTTATGCACTTTACTCTGTTTACAGACAATATACTTTGTTAACTGATGGTACAAGTGAGTGGAAAATTTTTTATCAATTGTTTGTTAATCAATCAAATTAACGATTAATTAAAATCAAATTTTCATTTGTTATTCAGATTCAAAGACCAAAATAAAAGTTTATCCAGCTAATAGTGAAAATGACAACAACCATGACGATCGATCCAAAGCTTGAGAACTGAGATGAAAGTTATTAATTATTTCTAATTATTGATTAATTTGCTAAGAAAAATTTGAAAATTAAATGAACTTTTAATTGTTTGTTGATGTTTTTGTTAATCAAATCACGAACACGACGCACATTGAACTCTTTTTATCGATTGGCACAATTAATTCCCAATTTGTGGAAAAAAGACAAAACCATTTTAATGTAGAAATTAATGTGTAAATTATTTGATTATAAATAAAATAATTAATTAATTCCAACCATACACTCTTAACAAATTAACAATTAAAATCTTTGATAATGTTTATTTGATTTTCAAAAAAACGAATTCAAAGTTTTCTTTTCTTCTACCCAACACTAGATGGCGACACAATCGACCGTTTTTCTTTCGTTTTGTTTATCAATTTAAAAGCTTTTATTTTCTTGATTATCTTGACCACTTTAACCACTTTGACCACTGACTTAATCTCTGAGTTAATTTAATTGTTTCTCTTATTAAATTGTAGTGATTTAAACTGTTTTTGGTAATCATGGCTTCTGCAAATGCCACTGCGACTCAACAATCAACACCATCTTCTGCTATCTCTCAACTTTTACCATTGGAATTGATTGACAAATGTATTGGATCAAAAATTCATGTGATCATGAAAAATGAGAAGGAAATTGTTGGCCAATTGCTTGGTTTTGATGATTATGTGAATATGGTTCTTGAAGACGTAACCGAATTCGAGAATACAAATGAAGGAAGACGAATCAATAAACTGGAAATGATTCTACTCAATGGTAATAACATTGCAATGATGGTTCCAGGAGGTGAAGGTCCAGATATGAACAATTAACTATCTTTTCATGACAATTTACCATCAAAATGTTTTCTCATTTAATTTCCATTTGATTTTCAAATCTTTAAACTAACAAACACACTTAAATACACCTTCACACATCAAATTTGTGCTAAAATAATTAGTAAAGAAAATTTTCCATTAATTATTTTGCAATTCCTTTAATTATTTGTCTTTGAATTTCAAATAGTATAATTGATCCAGCAATTGCTGAGTTAAGACTATCAATTCCCTTCAAAATGGGAATATTAACTTTATATGATCTTTGATAGAGATTAGTTAAAGCTAAAGCTTCATCACTAATGCCTTCAGTTTCCCCTCCAATGATAAGAGCCAATTTTTTATCCGAATCAATGAATTGAGGATAATCAAGATCAAAATAATTTCTACTCGAAAGAGTTGAAGATGAGGTAAGTTCATTTGTTTGGGATTTTGTTTTCTCGGCGAAAATTAAAGTTGAATCTTTGGGTGGTAACAAAGTGGGTAAAGTTGACCATTCGAAATCGGTAATTAGATTACAACGAAAATGAGCTCCAGCTCCTGATCGGACAACTTTAGATTCCCATGGATTGGCACAGCCTTTGGTACAAATGATTCTCTCCACACCAATGGAAGCCGAAGATCTGATTAGAGTTCCCATGTTACCAGGATCACGAATATTATCACCAATCAGAGTAACCGGAATACCACAATTTCGGGTAGCAGAACTTTCTGAACTACTTGTTGGCTTAGCAAATAGACCAATGATTCCTGGTGGTGTTTGAACATCTGACAATCTATTCATCATATTCGGTGTTACTTTAATCAAAACTGGTCCATGATCTTTATATTCACCCATGTAAGCAGCGGTTAACAGAGTTTCTAATTCGGGTATACCTTGTAGGATTGATTCCTTGGTGAAGAAAAGTTTATCGAGCTTTAATCCACACTGTAGACCATCATGGATAATATAAAGCTAAAGCTTAATAGCAAAGTTAGCTGACAATTCCTCTCGATTTTGAAGGCATAAGCAATAGTTTATTGATCATTATCATCAACAGAAAAGGAAGAGAAAATCAAATTGATACTGAGATTAAATGGTGACAAAAAAAAATGTCAATCAAGTGTTCACATTGGAAAGAAAGATATTCATTAATTCAAGTTATACGATTTGAACAATTCATGATAATTACTAAGATGGAAATGAATTGGAATCCATTTTCAAGATACACTTTCTCATTAGACATCATTGGCTACTTGTTTTTTCTGAGAATCTCCACCAGTGATCTCAAGAGTTTCAATTTTGCTGGCTGTATCAGTCACTTGATCATCTTTTTCAGAACCATTAAGTCCATATTTAATATAACTTTGTAAGTCCTCAAGTTGAAATTTTATGTACTCTCGGTACCTTCTAGCTCGATGTTCTTCGTCGGTCTCTACTAAAAATTCATGGGAACGCATTCTCCTGAGGCCTCTTTTTTTTGGTCGCGAACATTCATCCGTGGATAGTTGATGAGGAGAGTCATCATTTGATGAAGAAGCCATTTTCTATTTGGGTTGGAGAGAAAAAGAAAAGTATAGAAACAGAGAGAGAGAGAGAGAGAGAGAGAGAGAGAGAGAACAAAATCAAAACAAAAAATCAGCAAAAGAAGATGAGATGAAAAGGATAAGGAAACAGAGGTTATTTTAACACCCAAATAGAGCCTAAGATGAGCAACAACCTGTTGACTAAATGATTATTAATCGTTGAGAAATAAAAATTAAACCAATAAACAAATCAACAAACAAAAGTTTTTCTAGAAATTGAATTTCAATTATTGGTAAGACTCAAGATCTGTCCGTCAGCTCGATATTTTCAATTCTCAGCTGATTTTTTTCGGCTTAAGGTTCGGTTTGATTGTCTCAGGCCTTTCTTTGATCGATATTTCCCTCCTTTCTTTTTCTCTTTCTTTTTACTTTCTTTTGCACTGTAAAACTTGTTTGTGTGAGAGAGCACAATACCGTTTTTTGCTTTGAAAAGCTATCTTGTTAGTTTTGATTCAATATTCAGAAAAATTTTAATTTCAATCACAAAAACTACAACAACAACCTGTACGTTAGATTTTTTTATTCGTTTGTCATTCGCAAAAGTTCATTAAATTTTCATTTTTTAGAAAATTAATCAATAATTAGAAATAATTAATAACTTTCATCTCAGTTCTCAAGCTTTTGATCGATCGTCATGGTTGTTGTCATTTTCACCTTTAGCTGGATAAACTTTTATTTTGGTCTTTAAATCTGAATAACAAATGAAAATTTGATTTTAATTAAACGTTAATTTATGAGTTTATTATTTATAAGTGCATAAAGCTAAAAGGATAATCAATAGATTAAGTGGACTAGTCTATGTCATATTAGTAAAATAGTTGATTAAAGTTGATTGTCACTGAGAATTTACAATCACTCACCATAACTGCACAGATAAACAATCGGATTAAAAGTCCAGTTAAGGCCAATATACGGAGCAGCATAAGTGCTTCTAGGAATACGAAAATGAGAATAAAAAGTTCGAAAGTTATAATGAAAACTTTGAGAATAAGAAAAGAATTAAAAAATTTGTAAGATTAACGATTTTAGAAAGATTTCAACGTAAAGGTTACCTTTGAAAAGAAAAGAAAAGAAAATGAAAACATCGAGTAAACATTTCTCTCCGACTGTAATCGACTTTAAATCATTACGAAAATAGATAAACACTAACTAAAGATGAATAAGTAACAATGGAAACAATTTAATTCTAAATTCAGCTAATAAGAGAGAATTAAGAACGTAAATTGTTGAGTCAAAAATGAGAAAACAAATTAGGTGATGACGAAGGACCAACTATTTGGTAAAAAGTGATTAGTCGATTTGAGCGAAGGAAAAAAATTGAAGTTAACAATAAAAAAGAAGCTTAGGTTTATAAACTTTAATAAATTTTCCATTAATTATTTTGCAATTCCTTTAATTATTTGTCTTTGAATTTCAAATAGTATAATTGATCCAGCAATTGCTGAGTTAAGACTATCAATTCCCTTCAAAATGGGAATATTAACTTTATATGATCTTTGATAGAGATTAGTTAAAGCTAAAGCTTCATCGCTAATGCCTTCAGTTTCCCCTCCAATGATAACAGCCAATTTTTTATCCGAATCAATGAATTGAGGATAATCAAGATCAAAATAATTTTTACTCGAAAGAGTTGAAGATGAGGTAAGTTCATTTGTTTGGGATTTTGTTTTCTCGGCGAAAATTAAAGTTGAATCTTTGGGTGGTAACAAAGTGGGTAAAGTTGACCATTCGAAATCGGTAATTAGATTACAACGAAAATGAGCTCCAGCTCCTGATCGGACAACTTTAGATTCCCATGGATTGGCAGTGCTGGTACAAATGATTCTCTCCACACCAATGGAAGCCGAAGATCTGATTAGAGTTCCCATGTTACCAGGATCACGAATATTATCACCAATCAGAGTAACCGGAATACCACAATTTCGGGTAGCAGAACTTTCTGAACTACTTGTTGGCTTAGCAAATAGACCAATGATTCCTGGTGGTGTTTGAACATCTGACAATCTGTTCATCATATTCGGTGTTACTTTAATCAAAACTGGTCCATGATCTTTATATTCACCCATGTAAGCAGCGGTTAACAGAGTTTCTAATTCGGGTATACCTTGTAGGATTGATTCCTTGGTGAAGAAAAGTTTATCGAGCTTTAATCCACACTGTAGACCATCACGGACAATATTTTTACCTTCCAGAGCAATAAAAGATTTCCTTTCACCAGTTAATCCACGGATAATCAATTTTGCTCGGACAAAATCAGGATGATCATGAGAAATATTCACATAGGTAAATCTATTATCAAAACGACAACTCTTGGCATCTTTCATTGACAAATGTTTTATATAAGTGGCATAAGATTTTGGATTGAATCTCTTTTTATCAAAAGATTCAATTACCTTACGGGGAACCTTTTCCGATGAAATTTCGGGAACAGGATAATAAGGATTTCCCTCTGAATCAAGAATCTTAATTATCGGCCTGGCACCAGAATCTCCACCGGCAGCAGCGATTGACAATCTAATCAACGGTTTAATTGAACAAACATGGCCACGAATAGAAGATGAAAGCATAATGAACAAAATAAACTCACAATTAACTAAATAAATTAAGCAAATTCCGCACAGAATATTAATCAACCAGATAATTATTTTCTTTATTATTGATTGAACACATGGTGAAGAAAATTGGTAAACTCGTTCGATCAAATTTTCGATTTTAAATTAATCGATTTTCTCTTTAGCTTTTCCAATGAAATGAGAAAAAAGAACAAAATACCGAAAATCGATCATTAATCTAAAATCGAATGAAATCGAAAACCACTTGTTTATGTTGAGCGAATTGAGATTTACTTTGAATTGAATGTTCTTGGTTTTTATTTTCCTTTTTTTTTGTTTTTTTTGAACATCGTTTTGCTTATTTAATATCAAATGCTGGTTTTCTCGTTTGATTAGTATCATTTAATTATCTCTCATTGATAAGAAGGAAAAACTGGTTCGACCTGATTGTCAATTGAGTTTTCTATTTAATTCGTTGATTCATCACCGGCATCTCATTTGTTGTCATCATTCAACTAAAAATTTTCTGTTCTTTTCTTGTTTTTATTTTCCTTTCCAATTTTATTCTTTTAATGTTAAATTAATAGTTTCTCTCACTTCCTCAATCATCTTCATCAACGTATCTTCATGTCTGAAACTATAGGAAATTATGACATACCAAGTTCCGCTAGTTCAGATGGGTATGATTAATTTCTTTTCCCATTTTGATTAACCTTTTATTTAGTTGTTTCCATTGTGTCTTTCGAGATGTTTGTCTTCAATCATATTATATGTACAACCGATTAACTTGAATCTACGTTTTGTAATTTGTCAAAATCGTTGATCGTTTAATCATCTTTTTCTATCTCTCTCTCTCTCTCTCTTTTCTGTGTTCTAAATTTTGTTCACCATTAATTAGTGGAAGTGCCGATGATTTATCTTATCCTATTAAAGGAGAAAAAACCGACGATCTTATAGGAGAAATGGGACTAAACAGTGAACCCATTAAACCGAAAGAATTGAATGGACTCAATTCGTATCAACCACAAAAAGTAACATGGGAACCAGTTAAAGCTAAAGGACCAACAAAGACAAGTCGCAAAGATGCCGAATGGACATTATCAAAGACGAAAATCTTAGCGACCAAATCTAATACACTTTTAAGATCAGGTCAACGGACAATCTACACTTCGGGTCGACCTCCTTGGTATGATGTCCAAGGACAATTAGTTGAACCTTTAATAATCGGTAAGTCATTTTCTCGATCCATCTCATCTCTTATGCAACCATTGATGATATCAAGTCTTTTTTAGATCAGATTTTAGCTTTTTTAAACAATTTATCTCTCAATTTACTTTTCTTTTTCTAGGTATTTGTGGTGGAAGTGCTTCGGGTAAAACTACAGTCGCTAGAAAGATTATCGAAACACTCGACGTGCCTTGGGTCACCTTATTAAGCATGGATTCATTTTACAAAGTAATATGAATGCTCCATGCAGCATAGATACAAATCTTTACTTGGAATTACCTTTATTCTTATATACTTTTATTTCTATATTTTTCCATCATCATCATTTTCTCGCTGATATGAAGGTTTTATCAGCCGACGAGAGTAAACTTGCTCGAACTAATGAATTTAACTTTGATTCTCCTGATGCTTTCGATTTTGATTTATTAGCTGAAACAATTGCCAAATTACGAGATGGTAAACGAGTCGATGTACCGATTTACAATTTCGTTACACATTCACGAGAAAAACGAACGGTAATCAACTATTCCTCTTCCTCAGAGTTAATTGTTATTATTTTGTTTCTAATTTTGTTTCTAATTTTGTTCCTTTTTTTTTGTTCTTTTTTTTGTTCCTAATTTTCCTGACCCCTTTCCAATTATAGAGAGTAACCTATGGAGCTAATGTTATAATTGTTGAAGGAATTCTGATATTTTATCATAAGAAACTTTTGGACATGATGGATATGAAAGTATTCATTGACACCGATCCTGATGTACGATTAGCACGTCGATTGAAACGAGACATTTCTGAACGAGGCCGTGACCTGGAAGGAGTAATGAAACAATATAATACTTTTGTGAAGCCTTCGTTTGAAAATTTTATTGCCCCAACTGTGATACACGCTGATATAATTGTACCTCGAGGTGGTGAGAATCAAATAGCCATTAATCTGATTGTTCAACACATACATAAACAATTACAATCAAGAGGAGCTCAATTAAGATCTAAACTATTAAAAAGCCATCAAGATCAACCATTACCTGGAAGATTGAAAGTCTTACCAATGACATCACAAGTTAGAGGGATTCACACAATCATTAGGAATCAAGATACAACTCGAGATGAATTTATCTTCTATTCCAAACGATTAATGAGACTTTTAATTGAATTTGTGCTTTCACTTCTTCCCTTTAAGGTAATTAACAAATTAACTTTAAAATCAAATGTCCGATTAATGTTTCAAAAAAAGATCTCGATAAGATTTCCAATGCGATCAATCAATGTTATCACAGAATCTTTCCTTAATGACTTTATTCAATCAAGCTAATCAAAGGAAAATTTTTGATTTCTGTAATTAACAAGAGTTAATAATCTATTATCAGATTTTTTTTTCTTAATTGAAGAAACAAGAATTAGCATATTGTAAAGTTGGATCTTAGAGACTAACTGAGTTTTCTAATCATTTGAATCTGATGTTAATTGTTAGGATGTAACGATTGAAACACCTCAAGGAGTTGAATATTATGGTAAACGGGCTGATGGTAAAAAGATTTGTGGGGTCTCGATTTTACGAGCGGGCGAGACCATGGAACAAGCGTTGAAAGATGTCGTGAAAGACGCTCGATTAGGAAAAATTTGTATCCAAACGAATACAGTTACAAACACTCCGGAGGTAATTTAATTTAATTGTTCTTTTAATTACCAATTGGTGAGAGAATTTAATTCATTTTTCTGTGTCCTTTCAGCTTTATTATCTTAGACTTCCGAAAGACATTAAGGATTATCGTATACTCGTAATGGATGCAACAGTCGCTACCGGAGCAGCGGCCATGATGGCGATTAGAGTTCTACTTGACCATGATGTACCCGAAGAGAATATTATTTTATGTTCATTGTTAATGGCCGAATCGGGAGTCCATTCAATTGCTTACGCGTTTCCGAAAGTCGTTATCGTGACCACTGAAGTTGATCCAGAAGTTAACGACAGTTTCTACATTGTCCCAGGAATCGGTAACTTTGGTGATAAATTTTTCGGAACTGAATCACTTTGTCCAGGTCCATAATTAATCTAAATCATGACAGGAAATCCAAAACATAATGGGAACAATTTTTTTAATACTCTCAATGTAACGGCCTTTTTATCAGTCTTTTTACACACTGAAATCATAACAAAGGAAAAATCAATCAACTAATATATCTCTTGATTTGGTTGTGTCCATTATCTAACCACTACCATCAAGAAATTCATTCCTATTCTCTCTGCCATTTTGTTTTTCGATTGTATTCCAAATTATTTCGATCTCTATATTTTAATTTTTCCTCTTTGTAAAATCAAATGTTTCTTTTCAAGTCTTTTCTTGTTTACAGAAAACTATTTACACTTTATCCACAATGACTTATTCTCATTGAGAAATTATGGTCAACTTTTCATTTACTTTTCTTCCATTAAAATAAACACATAAACTCATGGATTTAATGAACATACAGTACACAACCAGATAATGAGACTGCTGTGTAAAAGCTATTCTTACGAAGTGTCCATTGCCGTGACGACGTTGTCGTAATTGTCATCGACAATGGAAAAGAAAGAGAAAATTTGTAATTAGGGACCATTGAAAAAAATTGTCTCATTGTCTGGTTGTTTACTGTATTCAAATTATTCAAGTTGCAAACTGAAAAAAGAATCAAAGAAGAAAAGAAATTCAGAACAAACTAAATCGATTCAGTTGAATATGATTGTAATTCAGAGATTATTAATTAACGATTGTAGATGCAATCCAATACTAATTACGAGAAAAGTCAAAAGTATCACAAATCTGATCAATCAATTGCTTTTCTCTTTCTCTTCGAAAAAAATGGCTTCCCCACCTAATGATGACCCTCATCACCCAAAGGACCAAGAAACAGAGGGCTCCGGGGAAGACAACTCGACTGATATGTAGAAGAGATATCGAAAGTGTCTCCTCATAAATCAAAGAGTAAGGAGAAATGAAAATTAATTTGAGGACAACTGGTACCATCATCTGAAGGGATAATAATTGAGTCTGATTGAAGAGTCAACTCATACTCATGGTCAACATCAGACCATTTTTTGTTGGCAGGTTTAACAGAAGCCTTGGCTAAAGTGTAGATTTTTCCGACTTGAATCATATCAAAGTACAGTCCATTCACTTAGTTTAGGAATCGTCTTCTTTTGGGTCTAACTCTCTTGAGAGTTGAGATAAATTTATGAAATTTTATATTTTTATTTCCAGTAACATGGACTATGCATATGCCGAATATAAAATTCTCAGCACTAAAGGCCATTTAATTATTAAATTTCGAAGTTTATTTTATTGAAAATGATATTCAATTAGTTTAGGAATTTGGCCTGAATCGAGGTAGCATAGAAACTGGTAGCAATTAGTTTTCAATCATCAAAACACTAGAAAAACTTTTATCTAATTTTAAACAAAAACAGACGAAATTTTATGGAAATTCAATGTCTCGAATGCGAAAAAATACTTTCGAATGTTCAAAACTAAATAAAAGTTTTTTCCAGAATTTAGAAGATTTAAAACCAATCGTACCCTATGAGTGGACTATTATTTGACCTTAGAAAAAAATTTCAGAGTAAAATGTCGATAAATGGCTTTTTTATGGACAAAAGTTCGAACTCGAAAGTTAAATTCCCATACAAATCAATGTTAATTTAATTTTCTAATTATTTCGTTAATTGTTTGACCGATTGATTTGAATTTTGGCCTGAATATTACAATAAACTAATTGAATTATAAGAAAAAAGATCAGATCAGTTTGATGCAGAACTATCTCGATTTTGGCCACATTCCTAAACTAATTGAATATCATTTTCAATAAAATAAACTTCGAAATTAAATAATCAAATGGCCTTTAGTGCTGAGAATTTTATATTTGGCATTTGCATAGGCCATGTTACTGGAAATAGAAATATAAAATTTCATAAATTTATCTCAACTCTCAAGAGAATTAGACCCAAAAGAAGACGATTCCTAAACTAAGTGAATGGACTGTATTTATCACACTCGGTACGAAAGGCTGTAATTCGAATCTCCCCTGATCCATCTTGTAAATTAAATGAGAACAAAGTATTTTCACCCTTTGCGTTATTCCAACTTTTGAGAGTTCCTTTATTGGTAACACGACCTCGAATAGCCCATTTATTCTGGTAAGGAGTGATCTGATTAATTGGGAAAATAGCCTCTTCTCTAATAGAGGTATCACTCATGCTTATATCAGCTTGATTGGGAACACTACTGAAAGCTTTAGCTCCAGATCTAAATCCATTGTAACCACCATTTGTTGACCCCCCTGAGGTACTTGAGACACCATTTGCAAATGTGGATGAAAGGGAATCATTGGCTATAGAAGAACCTTCAAAAGGTGGTGGATTACCAATCTTCCGTCCGATATTAGCCCCAGGAGTAATTACTTCAGGCTTAGAGATGAGCAGAATCTTTTTGTTGCTTCCTCCAGCGGCTGGATTACAAACATAAGATGTGTTCACTAGAATTTGACAAAAAGTTTGCCTTATTTTTGTCGTTCTTTCTGATTGTTTATAATTAATTAAATTATACCAAATGATAGTTTAGCTTTTCATCTACATCTATGAAAAATTTCGAAAAATTCTGATAAAAGGTTTTCGAACAATTAAATTATTTTTAAAAAAATTTAAATTTTTGTATGTTCTCTATGTAAATCTCTATGAGAAATTAACATGGTGAGTAAGAAGTGGGTACCAAATGCGTTTTGTCCGAATTTTCAATTCAGCATATTTTTAAAACGCGATTTCATGATAACCTTTTACCTTTACAGTTTTTGTTCATGACCACAGAGCATCTTTTGGTACTTTTAAAAATTCGATATGACCTTTGGTTCGCTTTAAAAGGCCATTAACTCGAAAAAAAATGGTGAAAAATCCTATTTTTTCGATTTTTTTTAAAAATTTAATTGTTCGAAAACCTTTTATCAGAATTTTTTGAAATTTTTCATAGATGTAGATGAAAAACTAAACTATCATTTGGTATAATTTAATTAATTATAAACAATCAGAAAGAACAACAAAAATAACGCAAAGTTTTTGTCAAATTCTAGTGAACACATCTTATTTATTTAACCGCATAACAGTATACCTTTCAAATTCGCCAGCTTCAACTCTTTGAGCCATAGCACAACCATTGGTAAGAAAATTTACCATCAGAGAGTAAGAAACGATACCTTTGAACACTATCAGCGGAGACATTTTTTTGAGCCAAAATTTGGACGATTGGACGTTCAACAAAACCCCCAGAAAGGATTGTTCCAAGAGCACCTTCAGTTAATCTCGGAGTAGAAGCCATTACAAAGAAAATAAATTTCACAGAAAAACAGTAAACAAAAGAAAGAAGAATAATTTGCCCAAATAAATTATTTGGGCAAATTATGTAAACTGCGACATCCAACCACTTCACTTGCTTTCAGTTGTACAATTGATACTTAAGTTTTCTTAATATCGATAAAAAATGTTTAAATTAGAATCAAGTGGAAATTTTTGTAAGATATTTTTTTACTTACTTATGTAAGCTTTCCAGATTCATATTAGTGTTTATTCCTAATCCCTTTCTGTAACAATAAGCCCACAGTTTACGTCGATTTGTGTAATGAGACTGAAAATATTCAGCAAATTTCAACGTTTGCTGATCTGCTAACAGATATTCAATGTAACGAGAATATTCTGTTTCAAATTCACTTTCATTTGTGATTCTCAGCATCTGCGATAAACTTGTTCTCACTTCTTCTCGCTTAATGAGATCAGGAATTTTTTTTATTATTTCTATCCCATGAATGAAGTATGTGCCAAGCACAAATCAACTGATTCTCAGGGTTATTCATCACCGAGCACCATGCATTAAAATAAGCTGGATAACCATCAGACATGAATGTTTGAGATTCAATCGAACCAACAGTATCCTTTATGGCTCTGAAAACTTGATGAATGTGTCTATTCTCTCTGAGAAGAGAAATGCGAATGGAAATCCATTACTGTATCAATCGATATGTGGATATCATGTGGATAATAATGATAATCAGATGAAAACATTAGAAAGAGAGAGAGAGAGAGAAACCGAGAGAGAGAAAATCAAGAGAGAGAGAGAGAGAGAGAGGAAATTAAGAAAATGAGAGAAATATTATACTCACTTGTTATCATTACTAACTAAAATCGTAGTTAAATGGAATTGATGAGCATTCGTACCATGTGTTGAGTCGATGCTTGTGATTTTTCATCCGTATTTTTTGAACATAAAACATTGTGTCTCATTCATCATCGAAAGCATGAATTGTTTGTGACCTTTCTCGTATAATAATACTGGCTTATCTGGCAGTTACTTAAATTGTTGCATCCACATTTCGACGCTCAAAATATCATCAGAATGTTTTTTACATTACTCAATAAATTTAAAGATGCTTCAATATTTTGGATATCTTTAGCCGTAACAAGGTGTTTTCTTTCTAATTTAGATTTGAGTGAAGCGCGTATATTATTAAGATCCAACGACCTTGGAACTTGTGATGCTAGCTCAGTGGCAATCAATTCACGATCATGTTCAGGGACATTAAGAAATTTAAGTTCACATTCATGTCCAACATGATTTGAAGTGAACTCGACTGAAACCGAACCACTCGTAAGATTTTTAATCGCTTTAATAAAAGCTGGACATCGACCTCCTATTTTTTTAGTCCCCTGAACTCTTTCTTGTCGCTTCTGAGCTTTTGTATCGTATGATCCACTTCTACAGCAAGTATAATAATAAAATTCTGTTTCTTTAGTTTTACGAGCACCTCGCGAACTTATGAAGCTCGAGCTTTCATTCAACTTGAGTTTCCAATCAAGAAAATTTAATTAAAATAACATAGATGTGGATATTATCAATCTGTTGAAAAATTTCATATTGAATGATAAATAATAATTGGAAAGATGCTAAAGCAATTGCTTCAAGTTCAACTTCTATTTCGTGAACTTCATCCAAATGTTTATGTAAGTTGAATTGTCAAAAAATTGGTCTTGCAAATAACACAATCAAATCCTTTTAAATTTACTATATTTTTATGTATAGTTACTTTGTGTTGACTTAAATTAGATGACTTGGTGAAAGTCCTTTCACAAATACAGTAAAACCTCTGATAATGGGACTCTCCGAAAATGGGACTTTATGATTATACGGTCCCTGCCAATAGGCTTAAACAGTGCAAAAATTAATTGCTATTTGCACTAATTACTGTTGACGAGTGAGAATAAGCTATTTCCACGAAGTCCCATTATCAGAGGTTTTACTGTATCACACAAAAACTTTATCATCACAATTGAATAAGGTAATAGAATAAATGAAGATAATTGAAAACAGTGGCACAAAATTTAATTGTCAAAATTGTCGGCGATGTAAGTTTTTGCAGTAACCACGCGTTCATCAAATAAGGTTCCTTCCAGGCGTTTTTTTCTTTCCAACGATCTGGCTAATTTCCTTCTTGTTTGGGTGATGGTGAAAGTAGCATGGAGAGGGATGTGGTCGGATGGCAGCAGGGGAAGTGTCAAATCTGGTTCAATTTGGATTATGTTGTCCGAAAAACAAAAATAATCAATTGAAGAAGCACTGGGCACATATGTTGGCTTATCGTGAATAGGTTTTAAACCGAAATCCCTTAACATGAAGTTCAAACGCTTCGAATTCGGAGCACCACCATCTTCACTAAAAAATGTATTTTCAATATTGAAGTCGCCGACCAAAATCAAACCATTCACTGGTTTGATATCGAGGTTTCTTTGGTCGTAACCTCCAAAGGTCAATAAATCGAGACCTGCATGAACTTTTGGTAGCCATTCATACCATGGAAGGTCTGGCCTATGGTAAGTATTTACATTGTATGTAGCCTAATTTAAATTTACCAAGAGTAAAAATTGCAGCGTTATAAAAACACTCCGGCCCAATATCAACTTTTTGAGGAGACAAGGTCGGAAATTAATATTTTCATATTGTGGGCCGTCGCCGTTCTGTTTGAACCAAACCAATGAGTTCTTGGCAAATCATAGCCTCTTGTGGAGCCGAACTGTGGTGAAGCACCAAATCCATTTAACTTCATCTCTACAAAAGATGCAGCCACTTCTTGAAATCCACAAATGAATTTTTTTCTTCGGCTTGTTAAGAAACTAATCGGGTTTTGGCAAAGATTCGCATCACCACGAACATTGTGGCTGTATACATGTAACATAAAGAAATAAAAAAGGTATTAAATTTCAAATCGAAAATCACCAACAGATGAAACAAAAAGATGATCACTTAAAAACGGAGAAAAATAAAAAAATATTAAGAATAAAAAGCTTAAAAGAAAAAAGCTAAGAAGCTTAGTAAAAAAAAGAATATTAACCTTTTGTTTTGATTCATCTTCTGGGTTTTTTTTTGAAAAATTTTGATGAACAACAATTGACAAAAACATAATTAATTAAACCAAAGGATATTGATGAGAGGATAGCTATAAAAATGGATTTATACAAACCCAATTAAGAAATGGAGGTGTAACATGCGCTTTCCTACCGATTTACTCATGACCTCATGAGTAGATAGCAGCTTATTGGTAGTGTATTAAGAAGCTACCAATAAGCTGCCATACCTGCATATTTACAAGTTCAATGGCTTATTGGTAGATTTACAACACTATTTAATTTAAACAAAAATATAAAATACAATTTATATTTTTCAATTTAATTTTTAATTTTAATTAATTGAATTAATGATTTTTAGCAAAATGCTCTGCTAAATTACTTTTGTGGTTGAACAATCTTGAACATTGTTCACACTGAAATACAATCTTGTACCTACGGTGCATATGCTAGAAGTATAATCATTCTGGTGTTTGTCTTTCATCGGCTTTTTGCCACACTGTGAACAAAGACAATAATAGATACGATCACAAACAATATAATATTTATGCAAATGTTTTTTGAATCGTTGATACTGTTTTTCTGTGATTGGTTTCCCTTCTCTCAAAACCCTGTATGTATACTTAGGATTATTATAAAGTGAAAAAATCGTTGATTTTTGATGAATTGAATTATATTCTTTGCAGTAGATTTCATGGAGGCAATCGGCAAAGAATGAATCCCCGTATTCATCTGTAATGTATTTTTTAAAAGCATCTAAGCTTAACATTTTTCCATATTCACAAATTTTTTTAATTGATCTTACAAACTTGAGGCTGGGGCATCAACTCCCTCTTCATCTAAAAATTGAAATGACTGAGTTGAAGCAGTATCACTCTGGTCATCCTCCTGTTCATCTAGCTGTTCATCCTCCTGGTCATTTTCCTGTTCATCCTCCTGGTCATTTTCCTGTTCATCTAGCTGTTCATCCTCCTGTTCATCCATAATAAAGGGTGTTTCACTTAATTTCAGACAAAATGGGAAGCTACAATTAGCGTATCTTACCTGAGATTAAATGTAAATCAAGATAAAAATTGAATTTTTGTTGATAAAATGGTCAAGAAATGATAAAATCGTTGTGATTATCACTTTTTTACCAATTGTCTCTTAATCTTTACTTAATCTATGGTGAGATACTCTGATTGTAACTTCCCTTTTTGTCTGAAATTAAGTGAAACACCCTTTATAACTTAATCTAATTTAATTTGAATTTAAAAACAGTTAAAAACATTTAGTTAAATCAAAACATAAAAGGTGAATAGGAATTTATTGGTAACATCCTGATGGATGCAATGATTTAACATTATTACTACAGTGTATTTTCTGTAGCTCCTCCTGTGGAGGAAAGTTGTTCCAGACAACTTCAGGGAGGGAAATTACAATAGATTTGGTTTACAAATTATTAGGTAAAAACAAAAGAAAATTTACAAATTATATTAATTGACTGGTGGTTAGTTTGATTGTCCAAAGATCCAATTTGATGATTGTAAATAAGTACCAAGGGTTGAGGTGGAAGTGGAGATGAGGTCCAAATAAGTTTAACTCATTAGGTATGATACGAGGAAAAGGAGAAAATATTAGAATTTCAATCTTTTAAAATGTGAAAACACTTATTTTGATTATAAATGTGAGGTAATTTTAATCAATTTGTTTAATTGTATTTAAAGTATAAAATTTAAAGTATGAGTTAGAGAAAAGAAAGTTGTATCAAATTACCAACAAAACTTACCAAGAGAACAAAAAAGGTTGAAGTTATTACGACGCAACAAGAGTCTCAGTTTTAAGAGTAACAAAAAACAACTGAAGTAACTGTTGAACTATCGTGATTTTGGTACCAACTTGATCCGTGTGACAAGATAAACAATAATAACATGAAATTAACCTTTTAAATTCACAGGTAAAATTAATTAAATTAAAGTTTATCAGGAGCGATAAAAATCTTTTTCAAAGAAAGAGGAAATACTATTGATTAATTCTGCCATCTATTGGAATAAATCATAATCAGGGAGATTTAAAGATTCGCTCAGGATTCAGGCTACGTGTCCAAATAAGAAAAAAAGTCAAACCAGAAGAGAGGAAAAAAAGACAAGGAAAAGAGACAGAGAATAGAAAAGAAAAAAATTGACGGATGAAGACAAGAGAAAAAAGAAGAAAATGAAAGATCGTCACAAAAATGAAGGAGAGAAGAAAAACTCTAATTGATTTGAATTTAATATCAATTTAGGAAAAATGATTAAACGAATTTCATTTCAACATAATCGATATTGATATTTACTTTTACAGTAAACTCTCGGTTAATGCCTATATACTGCCTGCTCGATAAACGCATCAAATTGTTTTATTTTGCGCCATACGACTAATGCACTATACATTATTCTTCAGGATAACCTGAAGGTCCTAGACAGGCACTGAACTAACCGTTCACTTTACAAAGTTTTGTTTTGTTTTTGTTTTTTTTTTGAGTTTAATTTCATTAGTTTAATTGCATTAGTTTAATTTCGTTTGAGTTTCATTTCATATTTGGTAAAGTTGAAATAGGTGCCGTTTGTTTGAAGGTAAAATCAGTTCCAAAGATAGTTTGACTCGTTAGGTTTGTCATAAAGAAAAGGTGAAAATAAAAATAAAATAAAATTGGAATTGGAATTGTCATAAAATAACTGACATTCAGGTAAAAGAATAGAATTAATATTATCAACTGATTAAAAGCTTTAATTAATCTACGATCTTAGATAATCCAAAAGATAATTTTACCTTTAAATGTCACCGATCCAATGGAGTTAATAATGGTTATCAAGATATTTTCGCAGTAAATGACATTGCATTCCACCCACAACATGGCACCCTTGCGACTGTTGGTTCTGATGGTAAATTCTCATTCTGGGATAAAGATGCTCGAACTAAATTAAAGACCTCCGAACAATTAGAAAAACCAATCACTCGGTGTTGTTTTAGTGCCAAAGGAGAGTTATTTGCTTATGCGGTCAGTTACGACTGGTCCAAAGGCCATGAGTTTTACAGTCCACAGAAAAAGAACAACATTTTTCTGCATCCATGTTTCGAAGAGTTAAAACCAAGAAGCAAGACCTAAATTTTAAAAATGGATCAATTTTCTTTCTTTCTAGCTCTTTCTCTCTCTCTCTCTCTCTCTCACTATTTCTTTTCTTCTCATCTCCTCATAAATCCAATACCAAATATGAGAAAAAGTCAAATGTATCACAGCTAATGAGCTCTGTTAATTTTTTAAACCTGAAAACAATTAAAACACAGCCATTCATTAAGTGAAAAATCAATCGACTCTTTAATTTTAAGATCGAATTACAATTAATTTAATATCATACACAGAGAACTGATTGTTATTCTGTTAGCGTCAATAACGATTTCTCATCATTGAGAATTGAGTCCAAACAATTGAGAAGAAACAAAGAAAGTGAAAGCAAACCAATCAAATGGTTAATTAAACTTTCCAAATTGTTCAATATAAATGAGATTTAGATTAAAAGTGTTAACAGTTAATAAAATGTTAAAATTTTGTAAATGTTAAAATAGATGGTTAAAGTTCCGATCTGCCTAATGATTCAGTTCCGAAATATCTGTCACCATAGTTTCCAATTCCAGGGACAATATAGTAACTATCGTTGACTTCTGGATCAACTTCGGTTGTCAGAATCACGACTTTCGGAAACGCGTAAGCAATTGAATGGACTCCCGATTCGGCCATTAACAGTGAACATAAAATAATATTCTCTTCGGGTACATCATGGTCAAGTAGAACTCTAATCGCCATCATGGCCGCTGCTCCGGTAGCGACTGTTGCATCCATTATCATGATTCGATAATCTTTTATATCTTTCGGAAGTCGAAGATAATAAAGCTGAAAAGTAAACAGAATTTAAAAAAAGAAAGATAATTAGTTTGATCAGCATGGAGATCATTCCTAACTAATCAGTTGGATTGTTGATATTACATAATTTAGCTGATTAAGATAAGTTAACCTTATAATGCATGAATCAAGAATCATTAAAACAATAAACATTAATCAGCGTGTTAACTGCATGTTAGACAAAATGAACAACTATCAAGTTAATCACTTCCAACTCCAGGAAGCAATCAACAAGTAAGAAATTAAAAGATACAAATCTTTTAATTGTATAGAGGGACAATTAAATTAAATTACCTCCGGAGTGTTTGTAACTGTATTCGTTTGGATACAAATTTTTCCTAATCGAGCGTCTTTCACGACATCTTTCAACGCTTGTTCCATGGTCTCGCCCGCTCGTAAAATCGAGACCCCACAAATTTTTTTACCATCAGCCCGTTTACCATAATATTCAACTCCTTGAGGTGTTTCAATCGTTACATCCTAACAATTAAAACCAAATTCAAATGGTAAGAAATAAACAACTCATTATTTTGGTTAGATAAACATTGAGGTCTTAACAATAACATATTATGATCAATTGTCATGGTAAAAGTTATTAATAAAATGATTGTGATGATTTGTGAGTATCTGATTAAGTTGATTAACAAAACAGTAATCTCAAGACTCTCAACTAAATCACATTAAATCATTTGATTAATACTTTTAAACTCCTGTAAACGGTGGTAATAAGATTAATCAATGGATAAAAAAAGACGAAGATAATCAACTTGCTAACAAGTTGATTTATAAATTTACGTAATATTTTTGTTCGAGATAATTATGCTATTATCTAACCTTGAATGGTAATTGACACATAGCAAATTCAATAAGAAGCCTCATTAATCGTTTGGAATAGAAGATAAATTCATCTCGACTTGTATCTTGATTCCTAATGATTGTATGTATTCCCCGAACTTGAGATGTTGATGGTAAAACTTTTAATGTCTCTGGTAATGGTTGATTAAGATGACTCTTAAGTAATTTAGATCTAAACGCAAATTTTGAAAAAGAAAAAAACAATTAATAACTAAAGTACAAATCATTTCACCGACTTGTCACCAAATTTTTCCATGATCCTTAAATTGACCCATATTCTAGTATCAAGGTCATTTCGTGGTCGAAATGGGTTGGTACAAATTTGAATCAAACATGACCACCGAATGACCTTGAAAGTCGTTTTCATACAGAATGATGTTGATACTAGAATATGTCAATTGAGTATCGCTCAACATCTAATAACTTGGGTCTGGATAAATACTCAAAGATCAAAGGGTTATTCGAGAAATAACTTGATGAAAACTTGGTGAATTTAGTAAATGAGTGAGTCAATCAAAAGAAATTCAACTGAAATTGATAATAACCTTAATTGAGCTCCTCTAGATTGTAATTGTTTATGTATGTGTTGAACAATCAGATTAATGGCTATTTGATTCTCACCACCTCGAGGTACAATTATATCAGCGTGTATCACAGTTGGGGCAATAAAATTTTCAAACGAAGGCTTCACAAAAGTATTATATTGTTTCATTACTCCTTCCAGGTCACGGCCTCGTTCAGAAATGTCTCGTTTCAATCGACGTGCTAATCGTACATCAGGATCGGTGTCAATGAATACTTTCATATCCATCATGTCCAAAAGTTTCTTATGATAAAATATCAGAATTCCTTCAACAATTATAACATTAGCTCCATAGGTTACTCTCTAAAATTGGAAAGGGATCAGGAAAATTAGGAACAAAAAAAAAGGAACAAAAAAAAGGAACAAAATTAGAAACAAAATAATAACAATTAACTCTGAGGAACAGGAATAGTTGATTACCGTTCGTTTTTCTCGTGAATGTGTAACGAAATTGTAAATCGGTACATCGACTCGTTTACCATCTCGTAATTTGGCAATTGTTTCAGCTAATAAATCAAAATCGAAAGCATCAGGAGAATCAAAGTTAAATTCATTAGTTCGAGCAAGTTTACTCTCGTCGGCTGATAAAACCTTCACACGTTATCAGGAAAGTTCCAATGATTCAGTAGATGATATAATAAGATGATGGAAAAATACAGAAATAAAATTATAAGAATAAAGAAAATTCCAAGAAATTATTTAACTACGTCTCTCATTTGGTATATGATATTAGTTGTCTTTCTATGTTCCAAAGAAAAATGATCATTCATATTACTTTATAAAATGAATCCATGCTTAATAAGGTGACCCAAGGCACGTCCAGTGTTTCGATTATTTTTCTAGCGACTGTAGTTTTTCCTGAAGCACTTCCACCACAAATACCTGAATAGATTAAAGTTCATTGCATAAAAAAAAGGAAATCAGCTGATTCGATGAGTAAGCAACATGATGTTCACATGTGGTGAAAATCATACATATGAGATTCAAATTGAACAATCGAGACTCTTACCGATTATTAAAGGTTCAACTAATTGTCCTTGGACATCATACCAAGGAGGTCGACCCGAAGTGTAGATTGTCCGTTGACCTGATCTTAAAAGTGTATTAGATTTGGTCGCTAAGATTTTCGTCTTTGATAATGTCCATTCGGCATCTTTGCGACTTGTCTTTGTTGGTCCTTTAGCTTTAACTGGTTCCCATGTTACTTTTTGTGGTTGATACGAATTGAGTCCATTCAATTCTTTCGGTTTAATGGGTTCACTGTTTAGTCCCATTTCTCCTATAAGATCATCGGCACTTCCACTAGAAAACAATTAATGATAAATAAAAATTTGTTGGGAGTAAAAGGAGAAATGATTTAAATGTAAATAATACAATCAACCAACTGACTTTGGAATCACAGACAATTTTCGAGTTAGAAACACTGATTGGCAGGATTAGATTCAAGTGGTTACACAGAGATAAACATTTAGGTACTTCGTTGATTGTGAAACTAATCAGTTAGTAAATTACATTAATTAATCGATAGTAATTAAAATTAATCTTACCCATCAGAACTGGCAGAACTCGGAATATCATAATTGTCCACAGTTTCAGACATTAAGATGATTTAGAATTCAGATCAATTCAATAATAGACTAGAGAACCGGATAGGAATCCAATCAAATTGCCTTGATTATTCCAGCAATTAAAATGATTGTGGCAAAATCAGCATTTGATTAGCAAGTGAATCAAAATAAAAAGAAATACAAAAAATCAAATCAAATGTAACGGTGAAAACAGCGCCATCTGGTGAGGGAGGAAAATGACTCGTTCGAAAAATGAAAAAAAAAATTTTCTTTTTGATTTAATGATTTGTATTTGATTTATTGAGAAACAAGTGAATTTAACAAATTTTAGATTACAAATGAGATCGATTCGTTTAATAAGAAGAGGTGAATTAATCAATTGGGTGGAATTAATTTGAAAGATTGTGATCGCAATTCAAATGTACTTCTATTCTTAACTTGTTGATTGGGTAAATTGTTGGATTTTGATCGTAATAGAAACCAAATTGTAACGAAAATTAGTGTTGTAACAGTTAAGACTCCAATTAATAGTAACCATGTTTTAGAAATTGGTAGTTCACAATCTAATAGGAAAGTGTACCTTAAACATGGAGTTAATTTAATTTCATCTCGATAATTATCAATATCAATCATGAATTGTTTATAAACACTTTGGTCACATTGGTCAATAATTGTTGGCTTGAGACAATCAAATATCATAAAGGGAAGACAACAATTAACTTTAATTTCACTTTCTTTATTCAATGTAATGTAAACACTTGAATAACATTCAATCAATTGATTTTCTAGTGATGAACAATTCACAATCAACAATTCGAGTGGAGCAATTAGTTTAATTATCTCTTTCTTGTCTGTTAACGATGATGATGAACAATAAGAAAACTGAATCAAGTTAATCCATAATATAATCATAAAAGTGGTTGTTAGTTTATCCATGATGATTTTAATGGTTAACCGGAGGACAATTAAGGAATACAATTTGAATGAAAAAAAAAATTATTCAGTTACATGTTTGTTGGGCGTAATTAAATTGATTCATGGTAAACATTTAACCAATAATCAGGTTTTTAATGATTAAATGTATTTTCCTGATTTACTGTGATTAGTAATAGTAAATGACACTGTCAATAACAATTAGAAGATAACAATTAGATCATCAAAATTATTCTAATTATCCTGATCAGATGATTTCCATTCCAATCTCGATTATGTATAACAATCAGCCTAATTGTTCAAATTTTCCAATTGATTGAGTCTAATTTTACTATCCATTGATTAAGATGAGCGAAGAGTACAAACCAAGGTTGGATCAACAAGTTCGACGATGAAGTTGATCAACTTTATCTGTTTCGAGCTCACATCTAATAGATTCTTCAATTACGATATTGAGATGCTACGATTGGTGACGAAAAATTGTCAATCAAGTGAAAGTCAATTGTCTTGAACAATTGATAACTTTGTGGCTCGAAGTTTGTTGAACAGAAAAAAGTTTATTTTCGAAATTAAATAAACACTTTTTCACTCCACAACTCGAAAATGATAAAACTTTGGATTAACAACAAAAATGAATTAATGAAAATGCGCCAAAATTAAACAATCTAATTTCACTGATTCCATTAGTGATTAGAAGCATTTTTTTACCGAAAAAGAATTTATTTGATTTTTGATCAACAAATTGATTATATTGATTCAGATCTAATTGTGAATGAGAGAGTTAAAAACGACACGATGATTGGTTGATTCTTCGTCGATCGAAATCGTCAAAATCATCAATCATTATCATTACAATTCTGATAAATAGTGATGCAATTTTTTCTTGTTGATTGCTTCCTGGAGTTGGAAGTGATTAGCTTAATAGTTGTTCATTTTGTCTAACATGTAATTAACACGCTTATTAATGTTGATTGTTGATCATCTATTGACGCTAACAGAATAACAATCAGTTCTCTGAGTATGATATTAAATTAATTGTAATTCAATCTTAAAATTAAAGAGTCGATTGATTTTTCACTTAATGAATGGCTGTGTTTTAATTGTTTTCAGGTTTAAAAAATTAACAGAGCTCATTAGCTGTGATACATTTGACTTTTTCTCATATTTGGTATTGGATTTATGAGGAGATGAGAAGAAAAGAAAGAGTGAGAGAGAGAGAGAGAAAGAGAAAGAGAAAGAGATAGAAAGAAAATGGATCCGTTTTAAAAATTTAGGTCTTGCTTCTTGGTTTCAGCTCTTCGAAACATGGATGCAGAAAAATGTTGTTCTTTTTCTGTGGACTGTAAAACTCATGGCCTTTAGACCAGTCGTAACTGACCGCATAGGCAAATAACTCTCCTTTGGCACTAAAACAACACCGAGTGATTGGTTGTTCTAATTGTTCGGAGGTCTTTAATTTAGTTCGAGCATCTTTATCCCAGAATGAGAATTTACCATCAGAACCAACAGTCGCAAGGGTGCCATGTTGTGGGTGGAATGCAATGTCATTTACTGCGAAAATATCTTGATAACCATTATTAACTCCATTAGATCGGTGACATTTAAAGGTAAAATTATCTTTTGGATTAGTTGGTGTCACATATTGTATGGCGACTCGGCCTTCAACACTTCCCAATGCAAAGCCTGAAGGTGCTTGTTTTTTGTCCAAGAAAATAGATAGACAACGATTCTGATATTTAAGTGGTGATTCAATTTTTCTAAACTCGGAAGGTTGATTTTCCAATTGGTAGACAATTAAACCACGTCCGGCCATTCCTACAACGGCCATTGGATAAAATACATCGGCACAATAGACTCTCTCAGTAAGAGGAAGGACTAACATTGGGTTAGAAGATCGAGTATCCCAGAACTGTAAGAAAGACAAAAAAAAAACAATTTAATAAAAAGAAAAGCAAAATAAAACATCAATCAATCTTTCATTACCTTTAACGTTTTATCCCAACTTCCAGTCATGATACACTGATAATTAGGAGCTTTAATCCAATGGACAGTTTTAACTGCATCATCGTGTTGAGCAATTTGCATTTGTTGATTACTATTGAGATCCCACATTCGGACAGTTTTATCGCAAGAGGCTGAGAAAACTTTAGTACCATCCTGAAAGAAAAGGCCAAAAGAGAAGGGAAAACTGTTAGTTTTTAGATGAAAACAAAAACTCAATCGTAAGAAATGACCTAACAATTAACTACTTACATCACTCCAGGCAACATCTAGAACTGGACCTTGGTGTGATTGTTGTGCTTTTGGAACTGATTGCCAAGTTGATTGGTTTAATTGATTTATCTCCCAACAACGAATCTGATTATCCCAACTACCGGCAATCAAATAGTTAACGGGTAAAGCAGGTGGACTAAAAGCAAGGGCAGCAATAGAATCGTCTGGGGCATTTCCAACCTCAAAATCTTTCATGGGATTATGATTTTGGATTAGATTTGATGTTTGACCGAAACCACCAAATGTTGGTTGTGTAGATGGACTACCAAACAATGAGGTAGAAGGAGTAGTTCCAAACCCACCAAAACCACTCATGTTTTAAACCTAAAGATGAACAACAACCTGTTAACTAAATGATCACTAATCATTAAGAATAAAAATAAATCAATAAATAAACAGGTAGCAACAATTAGCTAATCAACAAACAAAAAGCTTTTCATTAAAATTGAATCAACGCTTTTAACTGAAAAACGGTGACACCTGCTGGTTGATAACGAAAAGAACGAGAGAAAGTGCGCGAAAATTAAATGGTCGAATTTCATTGATTTTTATGGATGATTAAGTTGTTTTTTCGAAAAAGAATTTATTGATTGTTGATCAACAAGTTGGTTACATTGATTTAGATTTAATTGTGAATGAGTTAGTCAAAAACGGAACAATTGTTAGTTCAATGGAAAAAAAGAGCAAAAAATGAATAAAAGTGAATCGAAAAACAAAACAAAACAAACAATTAAAAGTTTTCCATTGATTCATGAGGGATTAACAATAAAGAGATTAACATTTTTACCTATCAGCATCTTCTGAGTTAATTGCATCTTCGAAACCTGAATCATCATCTTTACTTGAATTGTCTGAATCAATATCTCGATTGGTTGTTACTGGTTTACCGTTTCCATTGGGACCAAATTTGGGGAAACGAGGATGTTGAATGACAGCACCAAAGCCTCCGGCAAATGAATTGGATCCACTTGATTGGGCAAATCCAGCGGCAAAAGCGGCGCCAGGACCATTGGTTTGAGCGTATCCACCACCGGTGACACTACCGCCATTTCCTCCTTGGAAATTGGGAAAGATTCCACCGAAAGCTCGAACAGGCGATGAATCAAGAGAGGGTGAAGACGATGATGACGAAGATGAAGATGAACTGGGTTGAGGTGGAATCGCAACCGAAGGTGAAGCGATCGGTTCTGAGGCTGGAGATGGAGCAATGGTCGCGGCCTCATTTCTGGCTAATCGATATCGACGACCTGTTGATGGACGTCGAGCAGATGATCGTCTATTAGTATTACGAGTATTTGGACGGTATCGTCGACGACTTGGTGACAATTCTTCCCTTTCAATGAGTTCATATTCATCTCTTAATCGAGCAGCTCGAGTTCGTTTAACATTCCGTTGATTGGTCAAAGGGGCAGCTCTTAATCGAGATGAAGTTTGAACAGCACCTCGATTTCCAGTATTTATGTATCCAACACCAGGATAATATTGTCGTGACTCTGAGTGAGCGTAAACGGCACACAAAATAACACCCAAAGTTATCAGATAAACACGCATTGTTTTAATTTCTTGAGTATAAATATAGATAACAAAGGTAACAACAATTAAGCAGCTTTAAGATTGGAAACTTTGATAACAATTAAATTTTCTCACTCTCTCTTTATCAACCAGGTAACAAGATACAATCAAGACAAGATAAACTTCAATGATAAAGATCAACTAATTGAATAACTGGATGGACATCACATTTTTATATCTCAAAGATAATTTGATAATCTCTCTCTCTCTCTCTCTCTCTCTCTCTCTCTCTCTCTCTCTCTCTCTCTCTCTCTCTCTCACCTTAATCCTCTGATTGACGATTTCTTAACTACAATTAGATAACCTCCCTCTCCCTCTCTCTCTCTACTAATCAAGCCTTGATGATGATCATCATCTACTCTTCCACTCACTCTCACTCTCTCTTTCTCTAAATCATTTAAATTTTTCTCATCCTAATGTCTTAATACTTTTCTCATTCTTTAATTTAATGTTACAAAGTAGAAAACAAAAAACTAAATTACTTGTCCTCTAATTGTTAGGAATTCATCTTATCCTTAATTTGTCAACATCGTTCAAGGTTTTTCATGGAAACATTTTCATGGTTAACCAATCTCTCAATTCATCATCATCATCATCATCTTTTAACAAGGTCGATATTTTTTATTCATATACATATTATAACACTTTACTTGACCATTTAATGTCCATTAATACATATAATAGTAAATATCAAACTCAATATCGATAAACGCAGTTAACTTGATAATCACCATAACCACTGACCAGTTGACCAACGGTTCTAAATAATCATTTTTTTACTATTTTCTTGAAGAAAAAATTTTATCCTCATCTTCACCCATCATCTTAATCCTCTACCATCTCTAAATATGGATATATCCTGGATAATAATACAATTAATAATAAGGAATCATCTTTATATGTTTTCTCACAAACTAGTTAATCTATTACAATTATCTTGATACACTTTGATCACAATGCTCGCACTCATTTGGTAGTAGATGGTCATTCTTAATGGTCAAGAGCATCATTATCATCAACTGATAAATTGTTTGATGAAATAGTTTGAAAGTAGTTTTGATAATATTATTTATCTTTAACCATCATCAAAATGATATAACATAAGTAACTTTCGAGGTTTATAAATTGCAATTAATTTACCTTAACTAAATCCGATTATCATCATCATCATCATCTTCAATATCGTCGATTATTTTTTTTTTATTTATCTTCCGCCATAATTTTTATCCTCATCTTCATCCTTAAATCTATTATTTTAGTCTCTCAAGACTTGACCATTGATTACATTGTCTTCCCAAAGATTTTACTCAACTGACCAGTAGATTGTTGGTAAACTATGATTAAAGGAAACAGAGAAAAGTGACCATTAAGATAATCAAGAAAACACAGAATTGAATTAGTCAAACCGGAAGAGAAATATAATAATAAATGTATCAATATTATCTAATGATTAGTTGTGATTAAGATGAAGATGAATGAAATCAAATCAACTGATTTCCTTTTAGAGTCTAGACTTAATCTCTTCAGATTAATCATCATTTCTCCTTCTCTCTCACTCTCTCGTCATCGATGACCATCATCACTCTATTATCTTCATTGGTCATTATCACTGACCGAATGTAATTGAAACAATCAGAACTTTTTTTTATTCTGAAAAAGAAAAAAAAATTACATGGTTTCTTTTTTTTCCTAATATTTCCATCACTTTATCATCATCGGATTATCTTCATTGGAAACAAACCTTAATCCTATTGGATTGATAATCTTTTCAATTGTCTTTCTCATCATCTTCCATTTGCTATGAGATCAAAGTGAATAATTAAACTAATCAATAACTAAGCCAAGAGGAAAAGGGTTAACTCAACTTGATTATCGTTCCAACCATGAAGATGATTAACTGAGAGAAGATGGATAAGATTAAGAGAGAGAGAGAGAGAGAGAGAGAGAGAGATAAATAAAAGTTAATCAGCTAATCAAGAGAAGAGGAATCGAATTTTTTTTCAATGGAACAATCCAATTGAATAATTGGTTAGCTAATTGTTACCTGTTCATCTTTATCCGGATCATCGTCGTTGGAAAAAGTAGCCAACTCATTTTCTTACAATTAATCAAACAAATAACATATTCGAATGGTTAATCGCCTTGATTATCTTCTTAATAATCGTCTTACCTTAAGTCAAATATCTTTAATCACGCAACGATAATTTTGACCTTCGTTAAGATTTAGAGGATTTGTTTTCCATTCTCGTGCCGTTTTCCAAGCTAATCGTCTCTTTAAATTGTCTCTTCTTTACAATCCACCGTTCAACTAATTACTTCGCTCTCATGCCCCAACAATTAACTCTTTCCTCTTTATAATTAACTAATTTTGTAGCTTTAATAGTCTTTCGTTGACTATAAACAGCAATTTCTATATATATGAAACTGTTTTAATTTAATTCTTGACAAAAGTTTTAATTGTTGTCATTTATTATAGAATAGAAGGAGAAATAGGAAAAAAAGGAAAACAATCGAATCTAATTAACACAATTCACTTTATAAACAATCAATCAATATTCTTAATCACCATTAACTTCTCACCTGTTGATCTTTTAATCTCAAGATCTTGAGATTAATCCTCTCATCATAATCAAATTACTTTCACTGTGATTCTTAATTTTTCATCAATTAAATCTCATCAAAATGCAATTACATTTACATAGATTTAAAATTAACATGAAGATTGAAAAAATCGTAACTACAATTAACAATTTAAATGGTTTTCTTATTTTCTCAATGAAAATAATAATAATATCTTGAGATTAACTCTATGTTTTCATCATGTTTTAAATCCAGTGACATGATTACAATCAACATAATTAAATGTTATTTACATATCAATCAAATTAAACTGCAAGAAATTAAGTTAATCAAATGGTTGACTAATTTTTAAATGACAAAATAACAACAACTTGATCCTCATCAGTTTAATGGGTTATTAATATTTTAATTGTTTCGTTTTTGTTAATCTCTTATCCTGAGAGATTATTTTTTTTTCATGTTAATCAACAATTTCTCAGGCCTCCTAATCACAATTTCATCAGAATTTAACTTAATTGCTTTACCTTAGCATTTAAATCATATGATTAGTTTAATTTCTGCAAAGAAAATCTTCTCAACAACAATCAAGTTGATTGATAATCTCAATTTCTTACAAATCACTTAATTAATGATAACCTTTCCCTCGTAATCAATAGTTAATTATTGACAATTAATCTAAAAATCGCAAAATTGACATTTCAATAACCAAATTTACAAGATGAATTGAAAAGTTTTTATTAAATTGTTATCATAATAGTTAATCAATCTATCAGATCAATCAAATGATAGTTAGTAGTTGGTTAAGTTTGTAACAATTAACAAACAATTAACCGCTAAATTAGTGTATATCAATCAGATGATTTGAATTTTTGCAACAAATTGATTGGCAATCAACTGATTGTCATTAATTTTGTTACTATACTAAGCCAATTAATATCAGTGATCGTTAATCATTTATTCAATAATAATGATAACAATTTATTGTAACAATCTAAAAATATAATCAACTAAATCATGATATTTACAAAGGTTTTCCCATGAGTAAATGAACATGATGACTAATGATAAATTCAGATTGAAATTTAATCATTTCCAAAGACAAACAATTTAAATAATTAAAATGATTAATATATTAATTGTAAATCTATAATTAGATTTACAAAAAAAAAGTTTTCACTTGAAAAGTGAAATAATCAACAATTATTATTATCTCAACGTCAACAATTTAAATCATAACTCAATTTAAGGTTATAATATTTTCATATTAATAACTGATTGTTAACAATTAACTTTACATGAGTAGGATAAGTTGATTGTGATTGACATTGATCAGTAACAATCAAATTGTATGGTTGACATTTCTCACCATTAATTAAATATCTTGGGAACAAATTACCAACAATTTAAACCACCATCATAATCATCATCAACAAAGTGATTAACTGAATCAAATTAAGCTACAATTTGCCTTGACGTCACAATTAAAACCTTTTACTATTTGTTAATATTATTAACATGATCATGATTGTTGTTTAAATACAACTAATTAACTTGATAACACTTACAATTAATATTTAAATTGTTGTTTTACCATTGACTGGATTAGTGAGTGTCTCAAGTAAAATTAATAGTAAACAATTTAAATTTTAAGTAAGTTAATAGTTAATTGTTAATTTCTGTTAATTATTTTTACATAATTTTAGGTTATAAGATTAGGATGATTAAGTTATTAAATTAACAAGGTAACTCACAATTAGGATAATAATAAGTTAATCACCAGAAAGGATTTAGATTAATCAACAATCAAGGTAATAGATTAACAATCCTACCGGTGATTAAGTTTTCACTGCACAAATGTTAATTGTTGGATCAATAGTTGATTGTTGATTACGATTAATTTAAATGATTTCGAGTAAAAATCTTAATCTCTTGCCAACAGTTAATCATTAACTGTTGCGATTAATTTACATTTTAATTGCAATCCTTTTAATCATAAATTGTTATCTCTGTTTCCACAATTACCACCACAACAATTAACTAGAAATTAGTAAATTAATTTAAATTACTTTATCTAGCCGCAATCTTAATCTCCCACCTCACCCGTTTAGAAACAATTAATACTAATTGTTAATTGTTGTCCCAACGATAATTACAACCAAAGGAAAAAGTTAATTAATTACTCTGAAAATCTGATAAATATTCATTTACAGGGACAGATTAACTTTCAAATTATTCAACAAATTTTTTTCACTCTCATTATGATTACGATAAAATCAATTTATGGGCTAATTAATTATCAATGATTAACAATTAGTTTATCAATCGGTGGTCAATCTAAAACTGTTACAATTTAGTTATGTGACAATTAACTGCGGAGAAAAATGAAATAAAATCTCTTGATTGTTTGGCTATGTAAGAAAACAATTTACTAATCATGAGGCTGCGTGTTTAATGGTTAATCATTTGAGTTCACTCAATAGTTCATGGAGTGAGATACTGAACTCTCTGAGTTTCTGGAGAGAAAAGTTCATTCCCAGAATTTTCAGATTCAGAGAAAAAAAAGTCACTCGATTTGAGGATAAAGTTGAGAATAGATTGAAATCTTTCATGGAGATCATGTAAATACTATTGAGAAAACAAAAGCAAAGTTAATTGTCATTAATTTCCAACAATTAACTAATCAATCATGATCACTATTGATTAACCGAAACCGAAAAAAAACCGATCAAAAGTTTAGATTTGTTTCGCTTTTCAATGATTAGTTAAATTGTTATCTAAAAAAAGGGCAATTGATTAAAATTAACTCAAAATCTTTTCTGTTTGTAATTGTTGCTTATTGATTATCATCGTTAACCAATTGGCCTTAATTGTGATTGTGTTTGTTTTCATATTTGTGATTCGTAATCAACAAATATTTACACGTTGATTTGTTCATCAAACAATCAGATTAAATTGTGCAATTCAAATGCCGGTTGTAACTAATTATTCAAACGATATCTCATCAACTTTAACTACAAGTGATGATTTTAATTCAACCTCATCATCTTCAATGTTATCATCATTTTCATCATCATCACCACCAACATCACTATTAACGTTACCTTCACCATCAAGTTCATCAACAATAATTGTTTCAGAGAAATCATTTCTTGTTTTAACTAATTATCACAACGAATCTCAATTAGATCAAATTTCCAATGGTTTATCCTCATCATCTTCATCATCCATCACCACACCCACAACTTTGTTAACATCAACAATTTCCTCTTTTTACAACAATAACACCTCGTCAATTTTATCATCATCATCATCATCATCAACAGATGATTACCTGTCCACTTCTAACTATAACAACTGGACAACAGTGACCACATTGATTAATGATTTTTACAATTCGACCAGTAATTTCAGTGAGAGTGTCAATGATTTCTCATCAACCTCTTCCTCTTCCTCCTCTTCCTCCGCCTCTTTTGCCTCCTCTTCATCCGATTCCGATTCTTCAGAATTTTTCTCCTTCACCTCGACCACTTCCTCTTTTTTCACCTTCCTCCACACCCATCGATCCCTAATCTTTACCTTACTCACCTCAATTATCCTCGGGGCACTTATATTATCCACCATAATTGGTAACCTGTTTGTGATTGTTGCCATTTGGATTGATCGTAATTTACAAAATATACAAAATTATCTTGTTGCCTCTTTGGCAGCGGCCGATTTCATGGTCGCTTGTCTGGTCATGCCATTAGGTGCCCTGTACGAGGTTCAAGGTCAATGGTCACTTGGTTCCGTTTTATGTGACATATGGACCGTTGCCGATGTCCTTTGTTGTACAGCCTCAATACTTCACCTTGTTGCCATTGCACTTGACCGTTACTGGGCAGTTAACTCTGTTACCTACATGCATTCACGATCACCGACTAAGATTTGTTCAATCATCATCTCCGTCTGGTCAGTTGCACTTATAGTCTCAATTGGACCAATTTTAGGTTGGAAAGATCCGGAATATGAAAAACGAGTGTCCATTGAGAAACGTTGCCTAATATCACAACACATGGGATACCAAATATTTGCCACAATATCAACATTTTATGGACCCCTAATGGTCATCCTATTTCTTTACTGGAGGATTTATAAGGTAAGTGACCATTGAAAATTCATAAAGAAACTCAAACATCAATCAAGATAAACAATTGAAAAATCTGATCCAAGTGAAAGTTAATTGAGAATCTACTCTTTCAGTAATCAGTTAATTACAATATTATGAATATCGTTACATGATTATTAACCTCGTTCACCTTTTAAATTGTTACACTGACGATTTTCATTGATAGAAAATTTCAATTCCAATAATGATAAACTTCACTTATCATAATTGAACTCTAATAATGGATGAACTTTATTTACCTTTCTCCCTCCCATCAGCCGATCAACAAATGAATGATTATATAAACTACATCATAATTACACTAATTCAATTTAATTCAGTTTAGATTCGATAACGATAACAATCAATTTCCATCGTTAACAATCAAAAACTATATTTTCTTATTATCATTACATTAAATGGAAACAGAATAAGAAAAAAACTTTGTCATTTCGTCAAAAACTTTCGAGCTACATTAAGTATTAAGTAAAGAATGAAAAAATTGTGATCACAATTAACTAATTATATTCATCAATTGAGCTTTTATACTAATACAATCTTTAAGTTAATCAATATAATTGGAGTTTAAATGGTTCATTGAAATGAATGAAAAAAAAAATTCGAAACTTTTTTTCTCTACTAATAAAAGTACAACGAATTTATTTTTTTCATCATTACAATTGAAACGATTGAATGAATCATGTGAATGAATTAACAAATTACTCAGGTAAATGATGACGATAAGAAAATCTCAAAGATGATTAGTTAATTTATGCTAAATTAAAGGCCCCAAAGGTATTCACAGGTAACATTGTCAATTGAATTACAAAGTCTCAACATTTGATTACAATCAAAAAGTAAACTAAACAAGTTAAGTGGTAATCATAATGATAATTTGATTTGCTTAATTCATTTTGAGTAACAATTTAGTTAATTTAGTTGTTGTTTTACTTTGTTTTTTTACACTTAATTTACATAATTGTTTGGTTGTAATTGTTTTTGATAAACACAATTAATGATTTCCTTAGATTCCTTGAACCTCAATTAGCTTTTCTTATGTTCAATTGTTGTTTAAATTGTTAACAATCTAGTTAATTAGCTACCTTTCTTTTGACCCTCTAATCTCTTACCATATCAACTCTCATTATAAAACAATTAACTAATTATATTAGTATTTCAAGTAAATTGTTTTCTTCTTGGTTTAATAGTATCTCTGTTGTTATTCATAGTCACAAGCAACAATCAGTTGATTGTTGAATCAAAGTAAAACTTGTTGTTAGTTAATCAATCGGAGTCAATAAGGTTTCAGTTGATTGGGAAATTATATTTATACTTAATGAAAAAATTATCAATTTAATTTATTACAATTGTTCAATCAATTGAATCTCAAGTGATCTCAAGTTGACCTTTTGCTTTGTTTAGTTTTTTATATATCTCAAAGTTCAGATGATAATTCAAATATTATCATGAAACCATGAAACTGATGAGCAAAAAAATAATGATAAATTTTCTGATAAAAATAATAATAATAATCAATCCTAAAACTGGGAATCATATCAAATGCTGAAACAGAACAAAAATTTTTTATATAAATGTTATATCGTCATGACGATGATCCTAATTGGACTTTACTAACAATTATAATTGTTCACGTTCATAATTGGAAAACAAAAAGTTCATCTGAGCTCATGTTGCACCCTAGATTTAAAAATAACCTTTAAAATCCAGGTAATATCTTTAAATACATCATGAACATTTTCCTTAGGGATAAGTTTTATCTTGATGAAACTGATACCAGGGAATCTGGAATCAATTAGATTGCATCAGTCAGGTTATTGAATATCAGTGAATATTTCTGATCCCTTACTGATTTTACCTGTGATATTATTGATAAAATATATCAACAGGGTAAAGAGAGAGAGAGAGAGAGAGTGGGATGGAGATATTGATGAAAAATTTTACATTGAATATTATGATGAAATTGGATATTTGTATAAATAAATATTACTAAGAAACTTTTGATTCTCCCTGAACATTTTTCCATGAGTCTATTTTCATATGATATTTTAATGTAACTGAAAAAGAAAATGAAAGATGAGAGAGTTCAGCAGTTCCATGATCAGAAATCAAGGAAGAGAGAGAGAGAGAGAGAGAGACCAATAGTTGCAATGTAAGAATAAGATATTAAAATGAAGTATTCAGTAGCATGATGATTAGTTGTATGAAGAGAAAAAAAGTTCTGTCGAAATCTTCAGAACTTTTTTATTACTCAGAAAAAGTGAGAGATAAAATGGTAAGGTAAGAAGATGAAAATATTAATTCCTGAAGAAATAATTGTAAGATGTTTTCAAGATGTTATGAATGTTCTGAATGGAAAGTTCTGATTCTTTGGTGGAAAGGGAGATAGACACAAAGAATTAGAAAATGATGGAATAGAAGAGAAAAAATTCGGAAAAAAACAGAAGAGAAAAAAAAATTCTACTCATCTTTTTCATCTTCTACTCCATCTTCATCTTCATCTTCATGTGACAATTTTCTTGTTCCATGATTTCTTCCAGTTCTAAATCAATCCATGAAAAAGTTAATTTAAGATCTAAAATGATGATGATGATGAAGACGAAGATGATGAGGATGAAAGATGCTTCAAGATGATGGTGGAAAATTTTATCAGAGAGAAAGAGATTTAAATCAATCTCCTTTTAGCTATATCATGGGATAGAATCTCAACCTTCATGATGGTGAGAATAAAAAAATTCTTATTTTACTTTTCACCTTTTTTCATTCTTATTATTATTTCATTCCAACTGAACTTTTTTCTTCTTTCTCTTATCATTTCTGATCGAAAGTTTTTTTCCAGGAATCTTTCAGAACTTTTATCATCTCTCTCTCTCTCTCTCTTCCATCTTTTTTTCCATCATTTTGTATCTTCACCTGATAATATGTTGATTCTATTAACATCATGTTCTTTTCATGATGCTAACTTTTGCTTCCAATTTGTTTTCTATTAAACAGAAAGAAGAAAAAAAAACTTCGACAACTTTTTTTCTCATCATCATCATCACCATGTTCATGAGTTTGGTGTTCATGATGATAAATCTGGAGAGAAAAAAGTTGACAGAGAAGAAAAAAATTCTGTTGACAAAATTTCCACTTTCAAAATACATATTAATAGTTCTCAAAGTGAAAAATATGAATATGATTCTTTCATTAATTCAGCTTCTTGATTCGACTAATTAATTTTATCAGTTGATGATTAACTCACAAGGAGAAAGAAAAATTCATTAAGATAAACATGATGATCATGATGGAGAGGAACGAGAAAAAAAATCGCTTCATGAATATTAGTCACAATGAACAACAATTTCCATTCACCTTGGAACCTTTTCCTATCAGTCAAATCTCTCTGACAACTTCCGCTAATAACGATAATCCTGAACTCTTCAGGGTTCATAATGATGTTCATCAGGATTTGGAATTTTTTTTCGCGGTTAATCTCATGTAAGCAAAAAAGTTCAGTTTCAAGTGAGATTATTTTCCTCGGTGATTTATGACTTCTTCCCTCTCCTGTCTTGTTTCATCCATATTATCATTCCCTAAGTTTTTAATCCCCAAATGATGATAATGATTATATAAATATTACAGAATTATTATTATTATTATTCCTCCCCTGCTCAGAATAAACAATCATGATGATGATGCTCGAAACTTTTGTTCAGGTAAAAACAAACTACATGATTTCGTGATCTTTTTTTTCACCAATACAATTGCTTTTACTTCTGATTTGATTGTTATGTTGTCTCATAAGATTAAGTCTAATAATTGGATTTGCGAGATGATTTAAATCACAAAGGATTGATGATGATTATGGTGAAAAAGATGAAAGTTCATCACAAAGTCTAATTAGATGTTCAGTTTGATCAGGAATCTGAATCATTATTATAACATGGTAACAATTTTTTTCTCTCGCCATGATAAAACAACGTCAACGAATTTGATTCACTTGATCTACTTTTAAGGTAATTGACACTTTCTTTTCATGGTTTAATATTTATTTATTGTTGATCATGATTTAGACAAACATTGTCACCATGATAAGTATATTTGAAGAAATGAGCAAATTTCATGATGATTCTGTTAATCATGATCAGTAATCAAACAGGATTACAATGGTTATCAAAATGATTCCCTGGTAAGTGGTTGATCTCATGCAGAGATAACTTTGTTTCTCGATTTTCTCTCTTTCTCTTTGGAATCCAGAACTTTGTTCATCATCATCATGAACATTATCTATCAGAAATAAAGAGTCCCTAAGGTGACTGAGTTTATAGATTGTTGTAGTTATCATAGATCATGATGACTACTTTTTTTTATCATGAAGAGAGCAAAAAATATTCCAATAGTCACAACGATTATCTTACTAATATTCAAGATAAAAGTGTTATTGAAATGATAATGATAATAAGAATTTGAATAGTCTATCATGATAGAATTGAATTTCGATCAACATTATCTAAAATCGAATTGAAAATTTGAAGTCATTTCATAAAAAGATAAAATATTTCCACTTCTTTCTCAAGACAAAAGTTTCGGTTGGAAATTCATGATAAGTGTTGATAAAATGTGTTCGATAACTTGGAATGAAACTTGTCACAAGTCATTTTTTTCTCTCTCTTTTCCTTTTAGTAGGAATTAGAATACAAAACAATAACAATCAGAATTTACATTGGAACTCATGTTGATCATGATAACATAATGTAGCAGAAAAACAAATGCAAATTTAAATACAGCGAATCGATTTAGGAGGCGATAAACATGAATGGGAAGAAAAGATTGAAAATATAAAACAAGAATCATCACAATTATCATGAAATGAGAATCGGAAAAGTTACATGAAGAGAGAGAGAGAAAAAATTTAACAATCATGATCACCTCTTTTCGTGCATAAAATTTGATGCAAATTCTTAATCTTTATAACCATGATAATCTCTTAT